AGGGCTGCTGAGGCTTATTATTGGAACCACCCACACACTCAGGACCATAAAACTAGCCTGATATAAATCACTGTGAAAAATGACCCTGCTACATAAACATTCTCAGAGACTTCAGGGCTTATTACTACCCCCATTACTCATCTGTTGTGATCAACCTCATTTGTGGATGCTACATTGATGTTGGCCTAGTTCTGTTGAAAGAGATTTTTATTGTTGAATTGGTTTCAATAGTTCAACTGCATATGATCATTATTTTGCACATATGTAAACCTCTTGCTTGGTTTGAAATAGTTTCAGGCTCACCCATCCTACACAACCAATCAGGGTCCTCAAGGTCTATGACTATTTTTCTACCACCCCCACCTACCACAAACAAAAAAAAGTTATTTAGAGGAAAACTTGTATGAAAAATAATTATACTTTAAAACTTTATAGTGCACGTAAAAGAACATTTTTAGAGTGGGATCAGGGAAGAAAAAAATTGAACTGCCTGCAGGTATTGAGCAGCTCAGCAGACTTAAGTTTAGCAGGCACACTCCTTAATTAAACAACTGAGCTACTCATGTAGACATGAAAGGAATATTCACATATAAAATTTATTTTTACCCCCTTAGGACATTAATATATCTGAAAAATTGTAATATTCCCTTTTTAAGACACATGCACCGGGGCATTTTGTCACCTTTTAAGATGGTCCATGGTGTTATCATTGTGAGGTATGTCCACATTTTCTTGTCTTAAAATTGTAAATTAAAAATTATAACTATTTCACTAACAGAATGCAAATTACTTGAAAATGTTATAGTTTTAGAATTGCACCACCATAATTCACCATTAATTGCAGCAAATTCTATTCATTGACAACTTTTGTTTTTATTTGCTTTTTGATGATTTTTCCCTCATTTTAAACTGGGATTTTCTGTGAAATTTGAGGGGAAGGGCATGATTTCTACCTAATTTTGACCATAAAAGTCTTGTCCAGGAATATTTTCTAGATTTCATTGAAATTTCTAACATTATATGTCATTTACATATTATTTAATTTTTAGCTGTGTAACATTAACACTGTGTCATTGTATGTATGATGTGTAATCCCTTAGCTTAATTGTTATGTTTTATGAGGAAGTAGTAAACTTAATGTTTTTTTAATCTATAAAAAGTATTCTTATATATATACAGTGAGATTATTTTTTTTAGAATATTTGACAAAGATTATGGGACTAATACAACTGCTTCAGATTATTTGAGGTGTAGAACATATAGGTAGTCAGTCAGAGGAGATGAATCAGTCTTAATCATTGCAATTAAAGTTCATGCAGTTAATTATGTAAAGCATGTGATAAACACCTTTCTTCTCATTTTGTCATGTTCAGGGTTAGATATAAAGCATATAACTTGTATATATACTATATGACCATGAGTGAGTCATAATTTCATTTTTAAATAATTTTTTCATTGAAAATCCAAATTTTATAAAAATTAACTTATTGTGAGGTCAGTTTTAGTCCAATTTCCATGATTTTTTCACTTAATTCAATACGTTCTATTTCCACTATGGAAGAGTTATACTTCTTAGTGCGCTCTTTTGTGAAAAAGTCGGAAAATGTACAAATCTCGCGGGATTTCTGGGACAAACGTAACATAAACATGTAAACAATATGTTGAATGTCGATGAACAAATCCTAACAAAATGCAAATGAAATATTTTATTGTTGTGGACTTTATATACATCAAGAGTAAGAATGACAACGATATCAATTTATATCTATTGTTGATTGTATGTATCTATTTATCGTATGGTACATCTAATACAATACACATGCCTTGGAAATATATCGTATAGTTTATTAATGGATGATAAATTAAGGGTTCTTGCTCTCTTACATATGTCTTTTAGTTCTTCTATTCTTTAATTGGAATGACAAATACATTTAACATTTAAAATTGGATTGAGATTGGCATGTTTTGTATTTTCCGCAATGCCATTCCGCGCCAAAGGCGCCTCTAATTTTGAAGAGTTCACTAATGGAAATCAAATGTATTGTGAAGAATTTCTTGTCTTAATCACGATGCTGAGCAAAATGATACACTAATCATTATGAGCATGCTGAGAATAATGTATGAAATCATGAAGGCAAAATATCCAACTTCAAATTACTATGGTTTTCTTAACAAATTTTAGCTGTAAAATTTCGATTTCTTCTTTGATGTGTGATATCATTTGAAGAAACTTCAAAAAACTCTGTATTTTATGATGTTTTAGTCATAAAAAATAGCCATAAATAATATTGCAATACTTTTTTAGAAGATAGGCATTTTTTAATGAAATATATAGTGAAAAAATATAATTATGTCTCACTTGTGGCCAGGTACAGTATGTTTATATATATTTATGTACAGTCAAACTCTGTTATATATCGAACTTGACGTGACCATGACCAGATAAAGAGGATTCAAGATAATGAGGGGTAATAAATATTAAGAGAAATTGGTTGTATGTGGGAATGCCAACTTGCTTTTACATATCCTTGGTATTCAAAATATGGGTGTTCAAGATAATGAAGTTCAACTGTATATATATATATATATATATATATATATATATATATATATATATATATATATATATATAATTATATAATCTCTTTATCATATGAGACAACATTTTAACTTAATAATGACTAATTTAAAAAAAAAACAAAAACTGAACAATATAAGACCTGTATATTTTATTTTGTTAAAAAATTTTTAGCCAAATATTTATTTCATGTATGCACACGAAGTCTTGCTTTAAAAAAGGCCATTTTTAAAAAATCTTTTAAAAGGCAGCTTATAGATTTTGATCAGTAAAACTCCTATTAAGGAAGTAGACCTGCTTGTTTCATATTTGTGTAACATTGAGGAAATACATAGGAAAACAATCAAACCGCTCAGGTTGAAAAAAAAGTCCCTGTCTTACAAAGTGCTGGTCTGTAGGTGACAAATCGTAGCCCAGAGTCAACATGTAATGTGTTTATCATGTCTTATGCTTGTTACAACAAAAACACTGGTCTTACACAACTGTAAACAGTTTACAATAAGTAGTCAATGTTTGTGTGTATTTTTTTGTATGATCAATATTTAAGGGTTGTCTTGTAAGTCTCTAATAGTAGACTGAAATTATAACATATTTCTCTTTTGTTGAGCTACCTTGCACTTGCATGTTATTGAGTACAATGTTGATAAAGATGGAAGCAGGTGCTTGCTTCTAAGAAATTTTAATGAGCATACTTTATAGTCAAAACCATCAAAAAGAAGTGTGGAATTTTGTAATTATATTAACTTTGATAGTAATTTCACTGAATATTGCTGAAGCATTTTCACTCTTTTAAATGAACTGCCAGTCAATGATATATCACACCTTACAGCATTTTTTGCATTTATTATAAAAATATTAATAGCATTTCTTTTATGTATTTTCTTAAGTGTATTTGCAGAGCAAAGAATGGTATGTTTCACCAATTTGACCTTCATTATAATAATAGTGTCTGTACCGTAAATAGTGATTGAGATTGATATTATGAAGTTAATTAATTAAAACACAGAGCTTACAGATAGTTAGATGATTCGAACAATTAAGACTTGCCAATTGCCCCAACATATACATGACAAGATATGGATAAGTTTGCTTCTATAGAAGTTCTAGTTTACATGCTGTACATCATCTTGAACAAATGTAAACTGTAACCTGGAGAATTCAAAGAATTTGATCCTGTCCTGAATGAAATCTTGAAAAGGTCAGTGGCATTTTGATGTAAATCATGGCCTGCACCTTGTGAATGGCCCATCTTACCCTGGGGCAGTCCTGGCCTGCAGTTTATAAGGTGTTATAAAATAGCCTTTGTGTTGTGTATTGCTGTCATTTAACACTTCAGCAAGAGTTATAATGACCCTAGTCGACCCTTTGTCATGTCCCTGGGGCTGCAGTTTGCCATTTTGATGATGATGAGGGGACATGTTCACTTTTGTGGACATTGATTCAGTTTATTTGCCTTTTGATTTTACATTATGTACTGTTACATTTGGGTCAATCACAGTGACAGGGTGGATATTTTGCAAGGCTGTTGAATGTGTTCTTATTTTGAAATATCTTTATTAATATTCACTGTGATTTCCTGGATTTTTTACCATGCAAGTTTGGGAAGCTTTTACATTCTTGAAGTTAATGATATATTGCATACAAGATTGTTGCACTGATCTATTTGTGATGAGAAATATTTGGTTATAGATGGATTCAATTAAATTTCTGACAAGTTGTTGGAACAGTCTTCAGTATCTGTATTAAGATGAATGTTTACGATAGAAGGATGTTTGAAATGTGAAGATGTTTGATTGTGACGATAAATCATACACAGAAAGAGAGGATTGTAGAGATGCTGATATCTGTGATCTGTTGGGTTTCTGGAGAGAGGCCTGTGGACTGGTGGTCATTTTTCTGTCCAGTGTCAGTGTAACGGTCACTTTGTCTGCATCCTGTTTACATGTGGGTATACCTTACATTGACACTTGTGTCTCATGAAGTTTCTCTAGATGTAATAAAATCTGCATCTACATTAGTGAAAAATAACTGAATACATGTAAAACACTATAATATATGCATATAAATATTGCAGTCTATTGATGTCATAGTGATCGATACATATATGCACATGTATAAATTAATCTGTATGAAGAAAAGATGAATATTTTATGAAGAATAATAATTTTGGGTATGCCAGGTACACTTGGTTAAAGAGATGTCCAATACAGTATGTGAAAAAGTCATAATTACAGTTTGTTTTGTAAGATTACTATTGCATTATTGTGTACTTCGGGGAAATGGAAATTACTTCTGAATTTTTTGAAATGTTTTCTGTAAGAAAGTCTTATTACGCATATAGTAGTGAAATGTGGTTATAATAATACAATGAAACAATTGGACAAGATAAAATTGTTTAAAATTTGATATTTTGTCTTTTCAGGCCTTTGGAAATGCCAAAACTGTCCATAATAACAATTCCAGTAGGTTTGGAAAGTTTATCCAAGTCAATTACAAAGAAAATGGAATGGTACACGGGTAAGTATTTTTTTTTATGCCCTGCCATGAATATGGCCAGGGTACATAGTGTTTATCATGTCATGTCTGTTGTCCGTTCTCCCATCTTTCTGTCGTCCTGTCTGTCCGACCATCCCAATTTGTGATTATCTCAGTTTCAAAGAGACTATTCATTGACAAGTTATTCTTATCTAAATACATTTACTGATCCATATTGGTGAGAACTATTCAAGTGTATCCAAAATCTTTTATGTTGACATTCCCAATGACTTATGACTTTACTATTTATTGTCACAGTGTATAAAACTCAGTTTTAAAGAAACTATTCAAGATATTTTCATCAAACTTCATTTAATACACATTGATGAGGGATGTTCAGCTGTGTCATAATTTTCTGACCTTGACCTTCCCTGTGACCTTGGCCTTGATATTCCTCATATACCCTAATCTGAAATGAAGAAGCAAGATACATTTCTTTTCATCATGTACATCCATTATTAATGAACCCAGGGTGGGGCATTCATGTCCTATGGACATATTTCTAGTTTTCATTTACATTTTTGTCAGTAAGCTTTTGAAGAAGGAATAAGTATATAATTATTTGAAAACATTTGAATTAATTTGTTACACTTTGATTGTACAGTATATCAAATAAGATCACAGGATGGGCATTTCATTGTACAACAAAGAACATTATACTTTGTCACTTACACTGACTTTTTTGTATTAAACTTATTTTTCTGTGATAGTTACTGTAAATATCCCTGAATTATTACATTCAGAAAGAAATTGTTTTTACGTTATCTCTTCATTTGATAATAATAGCACTCCTAAGTCTCTTCAATGGCATCTGAACACATAGAGTAAGAAAACATGAGGAAGTATATATACATGGCATGATAAACACATTGTCACATTGGCCTGGTGACATTCACAGTAATTCAAAATGTAGAGCAGTAGGGAAGAGGACCAATTAGGACTCCTACAGTCTTATTTATGTCAGTAGGCTCCGCTTTGTTTTTCTTTTGGTCAAATTTAAAATGCAGTTGATTATATATGTGTTTTAGCAGGTTGGTTTGATGGGGAAGAAGATTCTATATATATTAATTTAATAAATTTTTGGTCATCATATAAAAAAGATATACACTTACACTTTACCTATTAAATGAATAGACATTTTATTGTTTTTGTTGTATGAAAAAATCTAAAACTGATATTTCATTTACATTTTCATTACTCTCATGTAACTTTTTCAGTGCAATTGTAGAGAAGTATTTACTAGAGAAATCCAGGATTGTGTCACAAGCTAAAAATGAAAGGTAACATTTCTGTATCCAGCTTTAATATGAGGTTGTGTAAATCATATAACTTTAAATAATAAAAACTAAGTCATAAAATTATGAGTGTATCATTGACATTGTTTTATCATTATCACCTATCTATTGATGCTGTTGGAGCAAGCATGAATGTAACCATTATAAACTAGACACTGGCTTTGATGTTGGTTTGAAATACCATGGACAAGTGTCCAACAGATTTCTGTGATTCAAACTATTACTTGCTTTGCAAGGAAGTAGGAGTATAAGCACATGCCATCTAATGGTCTTGAGAATGCTTGACAGTTTGGCATGTTTTCTGAAACTTTTGTTTTGTAGGAATTACCATGTATTTTATTATCTATTGGCTGGGGCTGATGATCAGGAAAGAGAAGCGCTACACCTGTGTAAACCAGAGGAATACCATTATCTCAGACAGGTAACATTCAGCTTCTTAAACTGGAATATTTATTTACTTTTTATACTCTGATTGCAAATAACAAACTTAACATATGCTTCAGTTATACATAAAGTCAGTAACACGGAAGAGATACATGAAAGTACCTATTTAGTTGTTTACTCAGATTCTAGATTATGCATCAACATTTATTGAGAGAATCGGAACAAATAAAGAGGAATTTCCAGATGAGTTCAATGTAAAGTACATAGCTCTACCTAAATTAAACAGCTGTAGATAATTCTAAATCATGTCTTAAGATGTTAATGCATACATTAGATTATTTTTAAGAGTCCAGGAAATGATAAAAATATAAATTTTCAAATCTTCTACAAAAAAATCTTATGATTGTTACTTATGATGACATCATTTGACTAGTGACCTACCTTAAGACATTGTGAAATTTGTTAGTCTTACATTTGAGTTACCAGTAGTAACCATAGCTTGAAATTGCTGGTAGAGTGAGGACATAAGCAACATTTTATTTTAATGATATGTTTTGCACTTTAATTGATCTTGATGAAATTGCTGTTACTTTTCCAATGCTAACACAGCTGATACTAGAAATCTACATCACTACTGGACAGGGCTATCTATAAAATAATGTTTGTTTGCTCTCATCCGACTCATGACAAAAATATTGGCTCGGTAGGTAGGTTGGAAAAAAAAATTTTCCCCGGAAATTTTAAACATTGATGCTGAATTTTCAAAATCTGATAAAATTGAAGGTATTGATAAAATTAAAGTAGTTGTTGACGGGATAAGAAAATTCCAGAAAGAAGAAAAAAATATTCATTTCCTGGAGGTGTAAAAGAAAAAAATTTGAGTCAAGTGATTTTTAGCCAATTGGTCGGGAGAAGGCAAACAAGCAATTTTTTGAAGGTGGCCCAGGTTGATGGGATTCAGAGTTTAAGAATGGGAAAGTAAATTCCACACAGAGGAATTCACTACTTCAAAAAGAATTTGTTATAATCCCCACCACCTCACAGTATTTAAATGGGATTCCTGTTGACTTTTCAGTTGTCTAAAAAAAAAAAAATTTAAGTAATGATGTAGAAATTGGAATAGTTCTTCGTTGTAGCAATTTGATAGAGATTGGGATGTTTTAGTTACCTTGGTCAATGATTATTGTATTTTGACAGAGTGGCTGTTACACTTTAGAGGGGGAGGATGAAGTTCATGAATTTGCTCGTCTCAAGCAGTCCATGGAAATGGTGGGCTTCTCCATCCTCACACAGAAAAGGTCTCTACACAGATTTCTCCAGTGCATCTATATTGTGAAAAAATAATGGAATATAGTACACAGAAGGGTCCAAAACGAATTTTAACATCTTTTTCATTAGAATAGAGTAGATTAAAGGCTTGTGATGTGTTTTCTAATGTTGAAATCTGGCCTGTACATATCTTTTGATGATTATGAAATGATTTTGTTCTTCCAGGATATTTTCTGTTATGTCTGCAGTGCTGCTTTTGGGAAATGTAGAGTTCAAAAAAGTAAGTCATAAAATGAAAAATGAACTTGATAAAGCATTCAAAAAATACTTGCTCTTTAATAGATTGAAAATCATTTACATGTTTATAGTAAATTTTCCCCATAGCAGATCTTCCCCCAGAAGGTTTACTACATAGTAAATAAGTACTACTTAGTAAATTTCCCCTCTCTGGAAAGTTAACTCTCCAGTAAACATTTTCCCGCAGAATGTTTCTCCATAAGGTAAACATTCCCCATGCATATTCTTCCCTTGGAATTGAAAACCAGTGATATTCAAAGTTGATGATAAGGGTATTCCTCATTAAAAAAATCTTCAATGAGTTCCTGAGTATTTTAGCACTCTAATTAACTAAACTGATATGATATGGGTATAAATATTGAATTTCAGTGCATGATACATATCAGAATTATTCATCCAAATTGAACTGAATTTCATGTTCAACTCAGCTTGATTGAATAAGATTAAAATGTGTGTGAAAAATCACAAATTTTTGGAATGCAAAGCTGAATTTATATCCAGGTAGAAAATGGCTTTTTTATATGATATATATACATGAGACATCCAGAACTGCAATTTCCTTGTCTGGAATTATTTTTACAACAGTTTTACGTCAGAAGACTGCATGTGATCAAAATTTCAAGCTTGATATTCACAGGTTTCAATATCATAGGATATGGTATTTTATTATTGATAAATATTATTGAAAAATATGACTCGTACATTGTTCATCTGGTTTTTAACATTATCTTGGGGGTTCTTGACATTATTATTAATTTAATAAGTGCCATTAAATGTTGAGTAAAGTTATGTGTTTTTGCTGAAACTCAATTATCTATTTACAAAAGAGGAATAATTAAAAAAAAAAAGCCCAGTCAAAACTATTATCTTTGAAATTTATATTTTATTTATGAATTGCAAAAGCTAATGTACATTGGATGCATGTTTTTAGCTCTACTGGTCAAAGACCAAAAGAGCTTATGAGATAGTAAGGTGTTGGTTGTCTGTCCATCTGTCTGTCTGTCTAGCTGTTTGTCTGTCTGTTTGTCTGTCTACTCCTCCTACAGTTTTGGTCTGATCTCAAAATAATTTGGCACACATATAGACTACACTATGATACATAATTCTGTGTATCAGTTTTTGATTTCGATAAACAGTGTTGCCCTGGTTACTAAAAATAGACATTTCTTTGAAATATTTTCAAAATGCTACTCCTCCTACAGTTTTAGTCTGATTTCAATATTACTTGGCATACAAGTAGACTACACTAAGATACATAACTCTGTTTTATCAGTTATTGATTTTGCTGAAAGGTGTTGCCATGGTTACTAAAAATTTCTAATACCTTCCTAATGTATTTCTTTGAAATACATTCAAAATGCTAGTCTTCCTACAGTTTTAGTCTGATTTCAATATTTTTTTACACACAAGTAGACTACACTAAGATACATAATTCTTTTCATTGGTTTTTGATTTTTCTGAACGGTGTTGCCATGGTTACTAAGAATAGAAATTTCTTTGAAATATTTTCAAAATGCTACTCCTCCTACAGTTTTGGTCTGATTTCAGTGTTACTTGGCACACAAGTAGACTACATTAAGGTACATAATTCTGTTTATCACTTTTCCATGTTGACAAAAAATAAATAGAAATTTCTTTGAAATATTTTCAAAATGCTACAGTTTAGTATGATTGCAATAAATCTTGCCACAAAAAAGACTATACCAAGGATCATTTCTTGATTTATTGCTGTTGCAACGTTTCAAGTCTAAATGCTAAGTACTCTTCTCTTCCTTCGTTCTAAGTATAAACCAGTAGAGCTATAGTCTCAGCAGAGACTTCTGGTTCTATTTTAGAAAGGGGACCAGCATCATGATGAAAGTGTTACCATCAAAAACCTGGATGTTGTACAGACTGTATCGGGTATTCTAAAGGTGAGCTAAATATACAGTTAATTTTCTCAGTAATAAAGTTTTTATTGATTTCATTAAATTTTTTTGTTAAAATTCTGTTAACAAGTTCAAAGATGATGTCATTTGCAATTTCTGATGTCAAAATAGAGGGATGATAAGTTTGTGTAATCAGCATAGAAAATTAAAGCACAATTTTAGAATTGGATGTGTAAGTTTTACGAAAGCACTTTGTTAGAGTTTGTAGACATTTTCTTTTTCTCATGGATTTCAATTTGGTAATACCTGTATAAGCGGAAATTTTAGCAAGGATTCAATTTTGGCATTTTCAGTGAGGATGCTGCGATCAGCAAAATTAAAAATTGCTAACAATTAATTTTGCAATGGAGTAAACCCAGACTTTCTAGGCATTTTAAAATTGCTAAAATTATTTCTCGCTAAGATTTAATACCAATTTTTTAGGACAAAGCACTAAAATTGCGCCTTGCTAAAAATTCCACTTATACAGTATTAGAATTTTTTAAATGTGTTTATAAAATTGTATTTATGAAAATGATCAGAACAAGATGTTTATTTCTTTTTCAGTGCTATTTGTCTCAAATTACTGATGCAATACACACCTTAATTGCGGAACAATTTGCTTTTGATGTGATAAGAAGCAAGAATTTTAATTGTTTAATTGTCTTTTTAAGGTGAAAGAGAAGACACTGGTGGAGGCCTTAACACAGAAGCGAGCCACTGCTGGAGACGAGACTGTAGTCATGAACTACAGAATGCAAGATGTAAGAACACATTCTACCTTAGTGCTGCATAAATATGTACTGTTACTTACAAGCTGAATCAAATTAATTTACAGTAAAACTCGGTTATAAGGAAGTCAGCAGGACCTTAAATTTTACTTCTATATAACTGATATTCTTTATAGCCATGTATAAAATATAGTGAAAAATCTTCTATGGGATTTGTAAAAAGTAGTCTGTATAACAGAGATTTCCTTATAAGTGAGTTCTTAACTTCTGTTTTTCTTTTGAGTCATTTTAGTCTCTTGTGTTTCTCCCCCCTGCCAATCATGGTACAAATAATGTATATATTTCTTCAAAGTGATGTTGCATGGGAAATAAGTCTATTCTTCATTTTATCATGTTTTAGGCCATAGCCACTCGTGATGCCATGGCGAAATGTTTGTATGGAGCACTGTTTGACTGGATTGTTCTCAAAGTGAATCAAGCTCTGCTAGCTAAGAGACACAACAGTGATCATCAGGTAAAGTACCCCTACCCCCTTCTCCCCCCCACCCCTACCCCATCTAACTCCCAGGCAGAGGATTAAATGTTCTTTATGTTTAGTATTAATAGTACAGTATGGAAAAAGAAATCAGAAAGATTAAGGAACATCTTTGATGATTGTAGCTGGTACATGTAATTCTAGTTTAATTTATGAAGGAGAAAGATTCCTTGTGAATTTGATATTTAAAGATGGTATATTAATTCAACCACTGTTAATGATTGCACCATGATATCACCATATTTGGTTTTCTATTCGATGTCTATAATTTCAATTCTGTGTCCAGAATTTATATATAATAAAATATGAGTCATCTCTTTAGCATTAATTTGGATAGAGGAGATTGGCTACTTATGGCTGTATTGTTTTTATTGTTGTGTAAGTTGAAGTAATGATGAATTATACAATTTGTTTACTATGCAATTGTTTGAAAAAGGTACAGGGCATGTACATTTACATCTCAAAGGATTATAGGAATTGCCTTCCTGACTTAAATGGTGGGGAAATGTTATGGGTTCTGTTATTATGTGTGGTACAGTTTGATTTATTGAGTTATGTTTAAGCTATAATAAGCTAGTCATTATTTTATGTTTAGGATGTATTTTCTGTGGTAAGTCTATGCAGTGTATTTTGTTCTGAGTACATGATGTGCTGTGCATGATGATAAATGTAAGATTTGGCCCACAGAGGATGAAATGTTCAGCTGATTTGCATGGAATGATATTTCATGAACTGAGATTGACTTTTAAAATGTAGTTAATAGTGATAGTTATGGTGCATTGTGTCGTCTTATGAATCAAGAACTCCTGTGTATGTTGGATGTTGTGACCCCCCCCCCCCCCCCAAATCATTCTTTGGTGTCACATTGACCTACAATGTACTTATGTGCTCTAGAATTAGTAAGATAAAATGTGTAGACCAGTATTTTGTTTGAATAAATTAGTCCTTGTTTCTCTCTAGATTTTGATTCCCTTCATATAATTGGAATGTTTTGATTCATCAAGTTTAATTGAAGAGGTGGAATTTTAATATAAGACTTGTTATGTCATATACAGACTACTCAGCTGATCTGTGTAAAGAAGCTAATGATTTAAGAAGAAAACTAGGATAATTCAAGCATATAAACCTTGTAAAGGTGCTGCCTAAATAAATTCCAAATAGATATTGTTTGTTGTGGTTGACTCCTCATCAAGCTCATGGAGACAAATAAGTTTACTATCATTTCAATCCAAGTTAAAACTAGTACAATTTGACATGCCTGTATTTTGGATTTAGTGTTTGTTTATTTCTTGGTTTTAATTTAAAGTTTTCATTCTTGAAGTAAGAAAACAGGAAAAGAGGCATTTTAATTACTGATATTGATCTAGTTTATTTATAGTCCTGTGTGCATGTTTTGAAATTTTAGTCTGTTTAACAATAATTCCTACAAGAGGAGAGTTTGTGCCAGATTTTGTATTTTTTATTGACTGTAATCTTAATTTAGTGGAATTAACATAATTTGGCAGGTTAGAGGACTTTTTTTTCTGTGCCATTTTATAAATACTGGCAAAACATAGTTTTACATGAATGTATTCAACTAACAGTGTTTTCCCAAAGAACTGGCTACCGGCCAAATTGACCACTTCAGTTGATAAAAATGCCGCTTTGAAATTATAAAAAAAAAAATCAAAATTTGATTGTTGTACAGTCCACAAAGATTTGTCATAAACCTCAACCCAAATCCTGTTGGAATTGATCTCTAACCCGTTTCTTTGAAATAAAGGGAAAACACTGATTCAATTGAAAAATAGCTAGTGCCAATTCAGATTTTGCCAAATAATCCCATCTGACCTATATTTATGCCAAATTTTGAAATATACTTTAATAAGTATGCATACAGTATTACATTTTTCAGATATAATTGAATGTTCTGTATTTTTATGAATACCTGATCACAAAATTACAACAACAACAAATTTTATTTTTTCTGAATCATGTTTTCAAGATGGATTGCTGATTTGAATCTGAGAATTTTAAGTTCATTTTGTTCCTGTGTTACTTACTCATGTGTACATTGTACTTTTGTATAACACATTTACCCTATTTATTCACAGGGAAACTCTATAGGTGTGCTTGACATCTTTGGATTTGAAGATTTTAGCAAAAATAGCTTTGAACAGTTTTGCATCAATTATGCAAATGAGCATCTACAGTATTATTTCAATCAACACATATTCAAGTTTGAACAAGTAAGTATTTTTTTTAACATCTCCTTCATTTGTTTTATTTCTGAAGATTATGTACTTCCACTTCCTGTGTCATAGGACAATGTGTGTTCATATGCATACTTTAAGAGTCTAGAAAATGCTGTATAATTTAAGGAATTTTAATCAGATTTATTTTGGTGTTATGACCATTTATTAATAATAATTCCAGGAAGAATACAAGAAGGAGGGGATTCAATGGAAGAACATTGAGTTTATAGATAACACTGGCTGTCTAGAGCTTTTTTCAAGGCGGCCAGATGGACTGTTCTGTCTACTAGACGAAGAGTGCAAGTATGTGTTCTGTACATACTAATTTTCCATCATTTATGATTTGCATTATGTTAAACAGTGTTTGTTAATTTGGCTGCCTTTATAACTTCTGATAAATTTTCAGGTTGTGACATTTTATGTATTTCAGTTTTCCTGGTGCTACAAATGAAACTTTACTTTCCAAATTCAACCACCATCACAAAGGCAAAACATATTACCAAGTGCCAAATGTCAGAGAGGAGTCCTTTGCTATTCTTCATTATGCTGGCAAAGTCAAATATCTAATCAAGGCAAGAATTCATATTGAAGTGAAGATACATGTACAAGATTTTTTTAAGTTCAATCCAGCTTGTAGATTTCTAAAAATATTTTTAAAAAATATATATATATATATATATATCTTTTTGTAGGACTTCAGAGAGAAGAATGTGGACCAGGTTAGACCAGACATTGTCAGTGTGCTGAAGAGCAGCAATCTGGCATTCCTCAGGGAATTGACAGGTGAGATCCCTCACAGCAATGACCAGTTGATGTCAGTTTTGAAAGTAGCTTTACCATTAACATTTGTGTATGTTTCCAACTTTGATCAAGTAGATGACAGTACTTCTTATACCTGATTGTAGGTTTGGATCCAGTAGCGGTGCTTCGATGGTCTATCATCAAAACTCTAGTCAAGAGTGTGTTTGCTTTCATAGCAGCTGGGCGAACCTACAGGAATAATGGGGGTGGGTGGAAAAGAAGTTATAAATTAGTTAAACATTTAAATGTGATTTGTTCACCTTTTTGTACTAAAAATTCTATTATACTCAGAGAAATGGAAATAATAGTTCTTGAGTTTGGGTTAAAAAAAAAATTCTGTTTTGCTGAAAGGAAACAAAATTTTGAATTAGTATGGCGTACCCTTTTTAATAAAGCAGTTAACTGGTTTCCCACTTTTATTTTGCTTTAAAAATGAATTAAGAGAGCTTTTCTTTTTTTCTTAGGAGTAAAGAAGGATGTTCAAAAGCAAAATAGAAAGAACTCTTTTGACTTTAATCTGGTGGCAGGAGAAAACCTGTTGAAGTGAGTTGTATCCAGCTACTATTTTCGTACACAAATCCAACATACTCTCTTCTCACATGAATACCCTGAGTTATCTCCCTTAGCACAGCTGGTTATTTTGTTTAATTTAAAAGATTACAGAGGAAAAGAAATATTGATCACAATTACTAATTATTGCTTAATGCAGTAAAGATAACCAGGTGTTGTTCTCTGCCTGTCTTCAGATATGCTGTATCTCTTCTACGTTTGGTATCATTTACTTGACATTTTATTTTATTTCAACAAAATTGTATGGGTATTAATCAAACATTTATCTTCTGAATTATGTCTTGCGGCTCATAAATTTTAAACTTCTGGCTTTCATTATATACATGTATCTGAAGCACAGTTTCCAAATATATGCAAAAGAATCTAAACTCTACCTATATATGCCACAAATAGAAATTAGTAACAAAACATAAAAACTGTTTGATGTTTTGCCCAGTAAATAAAGCATTCTTCATACAGTCCTACCTCAGAGTTTGGAGTCCTTCATATGAATAAAAATTATTGCACTTTGGGACATTAACTTTTTTTAAAAAAAGAGAGAGAAAAGGTTCCATATTTTTTTGCACATGTTGAAATATCTGACGTTAGACTGTATTCCCTATTGGACTTGTCCTGATCTTGGCTTTGATTTTGTAGTTACATGTATTTTTTGTCCAGATTTTAAGTTGCGTGTGATTTTGTGGCCTCCATTTTTCTGTTATTGTTAAACCACAGATTCTACACTATAGCCAGTACCATGAAACTTTTACGCTCCATTCAGTAAGTTTGGAAGCCTGAGGTTTTTATTTGTTTTAAGTGTGGGCTTGTTGAAAGGTGTGATTTTTCTCTCTTCTTAACAAGAAAACTAAAATTTGATATTGTCAGTTTGTAATTTTGTTTTGTTGTGCTGAATTTTGATTGTTAAAACTGTCACCATCTTCAGAAATTTAAAAAAAAAAAGTGTAGAATATTTTTTGACAATTGGCCTAGTTTTATATTATTTAAGCAAACTTTAAATTGCAGTTTTGAAATTGTGTTGAATTTGATTTTAGATACACTTAGCTTTTAGATATGTTTATTTATTTTTTTTGCATGATTTTGTAATTATTTATGTTGTATATCTTAATTTTCTTCAGCTGTATGAGTCACTGAAGGATTTCTATTTCCTTTAAGGGTTTATTGTGCCTAGTTGCTAGATTGCTTTCCGTTATCTCCCTTGCATGATTATATGTATGTATAGAGTTTTCTCATCCTGATTTCCCTGCAGTAGTCAACACAAACGAGGACACCAGCCATACTCTCCTCTTCACATACTCCCTGACATGGATGACAGTGGACTTCCTGATGATGACAGTGTATTTTTAGACTTACAGCGGAGTCCCAGTGAGGTTCACATGTCTGATGAGGAAATTCGGATTTACAGAAAGGCCAAACATGTTATATTGTATGTTCCTCTGCATGCTGGCATTTTGCATGATTCTCTTACTCTTTCCTACTTCTTATTTTGCCTTACATTTTTTCAACATTAATGTTTTTGTTGTCAAAATACAGTTGATGCAAGTGCTTTATATGAGATAAACATCAAGTAATTTAAAATATAATTGATATTCAAAGTTTTAACAGGTCTAAAAAATTTGGAAACATTTTTGGACAGTTTGGAAATGAATAAAAAATCATTTTCTCTAAAGCCTTTTCTTGAAATTTAATTTTTAAACCTTTTTAAGGCATAGTTTTAAAAATTCAGAACATATGTTTTCAGGAAAAACAAGTCATTCCGACCAAAACCAAGACCCCCAACAGTAAGTCAATTCTTTAGGAATGAGTTCTTAATGATAACATGAGAAGTCAAGAGAACTGTTTTTTAACATGTATTTGGCTATCTAAGATTGACATTTTGTTTTTGATTTGTAGATGCTGAGGGACATTAAAACTCTGAAAGCTATAGCTAGTCGTACTATGACTAACAGAATCACTTCAAAAAAACAGCCAGCTAGTGTCAGTGCCCAGTTCCAGGTGAGTTTTATTATCAGTCACAGTACCATAATGATCAATACATTTGAGTTCTTCCATGTTTGACTTGGCTTTCTCAATATATTTCAGTGGTCTCTGTCCAAACTAATGACAACATTACAACAGGCCAATCCATTTTTCATCAGATGTATCAAGTCTAATGCTAATAAGGTATTTTTCTCTCATCAGAATACTGAAATGCTGTTCAAAGATATTGAATTTACGAAATGAATCACTAAAAATGCTATGTTTGTTTCTGATTTGTAGCTACCCTGCACATTTGATGATGTATTGGTGCTGAGACAACTAAGATATACGGGAATGTTGGCTACAGTCAAAATTAGACAATCCGGATACAACTACAGACTCACATTTGAGGTATGCACTACTATACTGAGAGGTGGTGTGACAGCAGCCTCTCTAACTAATATTTATATAAATCAAGTATTTAAGGAAATTCTTCTATATATTTATAAGGATGTGTACTTTATTTATTGCATTTTACTTATATATATTGTGCCTTGCTCATTGCCAAAGTAATATTCATATACACTGCCAAAATAGAAATTTATATATATGAATGTACATACAGACAGTCCTATTTTATGATTGTGCTAATGAGTACAGGATGTACGGAGGACTTGATTCTGAATACTATAAACTAACTTTAAACACATGGAAGAAAATCTGGCCAATGCAGGAACATTTCCAGCTTTTGGGTATTTAAAGTCAAGAAAATTTAAAGACTTTCATTTATATGTGGCAGACCAGTTTTCAGTGGGAAATTCAAGAATGAAATATGACGTATAATAATTGGCTGACAGTAAACTAGAACAAGTACACATACAGTATTAGTTTACATTCTTTCTGTTGATTAAAAAGAATGTTCTTGTTCACATACAGTGTTCACCCATTCATGCTGTTTTAATGTCAATTTACTGTGAACTAAGAATCTTTAGATTTAGGGTTGTTTTGACAGTAAAAGACTGTTTTAAAAATTAATATATGCCCCTGACATAGTCATTATATTGTCTTTTTCAGGAGTTCATTCAGCTTTATAAGATCATTCTTCCAAAGGGTTCCTTCAGTTCAAAAGAAGATGTTGCTGAATTTTTAGAATCCAAGAATCTAGATAAAGATAACTTCCAGATTGGTATTACAAAGGTAAAGGGAGATTACTGCACTGATTTCCAAGATTATTTTTTGTTTGGGTTAAAGTACAGTACATGTATTTGCATTTATCATGTTAGTACAAGGAAACTTATTATAGTATGTAGGAAGAGAAATGAAAAAAAAAGTTAACGTTCATTCATTTCATCGTTGACTATGTCGTTCTTTTTAGGTGTTCCTTCGGGAGTCAGAAAAGATCTTCCTTGATGAGGCTTTACACTCTGCCATTATGTTGCGAGTTGTGCGTATCCAGCGGTGGTTTAAGACTATCCTGGAACGCAGACATTTTGTGGCTTTAAGAAGTAGTACAATAGTTATACAGGTAACAGGCTAATGATTATTTAGCGGGACACTTGTGTTAATATCAATAAACTTTATCTTGGAAGATTAAATATTACGTATGTTAGTCAAAATTTGAGAATAGCAGTAGTTAGTAGTTGGAAGTGTATCATTTTGAGGTAGTTGTTCTTTTAAATATATAATAATGTACGTAATAATAATGATGGGCATAAATTTCAGGCCATAATTAGAATGTATCTTGCCAAGCAGCGTAAACTAAAGCTGATTCGACAACTGCGGGCAGTTGTTACCATTCAGCGATACATGCGGGGTTGGCGAGCAAGGCGACATTACCTGATTACAGTCAATGCTGTTATACTCATACAGAGCTGGTACAAAGGATGGAGGATACGCAGACAGTATGGACAAAATTCCTAATAAGATAGCATTTTTTGAGTGCATCAAAAAAAAATTTCACCTTCTTCAAGAAAGAGAGTTTTAAATTCTTATGTCTTATTTACTAAGTGTATTGAGCTCAGTGCCTGTTTCTTGGAACAATGGTGTAAAAAATACAGTATATTGGGTATTTTCTGCAATTTTTGGGAATGGCACAAATCTGCAAAAAATGCAGTCGCAAAGTATTAATAAAATATAATGCATCGTCTTTTATTCTCAAAGGTGATAAGTGGGACACTGGTCAAGGCAGATTTTAGCCTGATTTAACCTGTAATTTTATTAAATTTATAGCAAACTTTATATAAATATAAATAAATACTTACTGGAGTATGAAATGAATGTTATTTCAATACTAACTTTAATAAAGTAGAGTAGCAGAGTTTAATTTTAGCTGTGATTCTCCCTTAACATGGTCAACATTATTCCTATATTTAAAAACTTAAAATGTTGCAGTGTTGTCCTACATCTTTGATATTAAGTAGTCATATACCATAAATGACTTTTTGGCAGATTTATGCAATAGCAGAATAAAAAATGCAGGAATTAATTTGCTGCCTTGAAAGGGTCAAATTGCAAAAATTTCCACCAACAGAAAATACCCACTAATCGGTACTGGATTTAATCTAATTTCTTATAGTCTACAGCAGTGTACTTCAGGTCACAAAAAGTGATTGCTCTTAAAATAAATTAACTTGAAAAGTACTCTTAATTCAAAAGTAACAAAATCATAGTTTAACATTTCTTCATGCACTACCAAATATATCTGAAAACAGATACCGAAGTCAAATTGAGGAGGCCTTGGAAAGAAGGAGGGAGGAAGAGAGAAAACAGAAACAAGCTGACACAACGAGTGATGAGGGTGTACTCAGTACAGAGGAGCTAGATCAACAGCTGCCATCAGAGGCCAGACGTCACTCAGAGTAAGTCAATCAAAACCACCCAATACAGCTGTATGTCATCTCCATATAACTCACTGTACTTACATAGTTAACAGTTATAGTGAAAGCAAAAGCTTGTAATTTTACACTTTATATATGTATGCTGTGTATGATAAAGTCTTGTGTAGAGTGTGCATCCTTTTAGTAGTATTTTTATGTCAAGTTTTTAAGTTTGTAAGGGATGCACAAAACCAAGGATGAAAGATGGGGATGTGCACAATGTAGACCACTATACACAAGACTTTAAGGTGTTTTATAGTATATTTATATATTTGCATTTAAATATATACATGTATAACATGCATGATTATATGAAATATGAATATAGTTATGGAAACATGGTCATTGGAGTGATATTCATATGAATTTCAATATACACTGATCATATGTGGGAAAAATGCCTCCAGAATTTCTTTTGAATTGATCGGATGTAGGAATCTAGAAAAAAAGATTTAAAGAAAATGTTTAAAGCAATATCAATTCATTTTTTCTTGAATTTTGGAAATCCTAGGCACTAAATACATGTAATGTGAACAAGAAAAAATTATGGTTTCTGAAATATTCCTCATTAAGCTGAAAATTTGCATTTAGCTAAAAAAAAAAACCTTTGAAATCTTTAAATTTACTTGAGTCCTTCTAAAAGGAATATTTTATGGCAGCTTGGTTTTGAGAAATCAAGGAATGTGTCTTGACTGCCTGTTGATTACTCAATATGTATCGGTATAGCTTCTGGTTGATTGTCATTTAAAATAATCAGGAGCAGTGGAATCCATGAGGTAGAGGATTCAGAGTCTGACACTGTGGACTCCAAGATAAAGGAAAAGTCCACTTCTTATGCTAGTCCTGTCAACCCCCCAACTATCGTTTTGGTACAGCCCACCATCAAACATCCAGATGATGAATTCCTTAACCAAGCTCGTTCCACCTCTAGGTAAATGGTGTATCAAAGAGCTAGCACTGTTTTTCCACGTTGTTCCACAGCTTTCTCTGTTTCAACTCAACCCAGAAATCATGTCTGTTCAGCTGTTCAGACTAATCAATTTAGTTTGCTGATTTCTTTTCAGTGTTCAATAATTTTTTAATTGTAGGAAATTTATTGTTTACAAAATATTCAAATACTTTTAGTTTGCTTTTAATACATAATTTTTTCCCTTCCTGAACTACCCCTTACTCCCCTTTTTTAACCAAAGAGCTTTCTGAGGGTGTTCTGTTTTAGATCTGTTTTAGTTAGTTAGTAGTTCTGTAGTGTTACTGCTTGAATGATGTAGATATTGTAGTTAGAATAATGTACTATAAAATCACTTATTGTCATGGGGTCAAATTTTCATGGTTTCAGAAAAAAAATATTGGTTCCTGGGGATTTGATTTCGTGGTTGCCTTGTGATTTGACTTCATGGTTGTAGAGGTGTTTAGTTGTTATACATTCCAAATTTACATTTCGTGGAGAACATAAATTGATTGATCTCTTCATACTAAAAAAACACCAAAAATTAAACCCCCACAAAAATGAGTGATTTCACAGTATATTCACATGTATATGTACTTATTTCAGGATATTCAGAATTAGAAAGCAAATATATATACATGTATATGATAACAGTTTTTTTGTCGAATTCAGATTTTGACAGTGATCAGGAAATAAGGCACTGTAGCTCTTCAATATGAATCCTGCAATAATAAGTACATAAACATGAATACTGTTTAGTGACTGTGACATGTTGTAACTTTTCTGTAAATTCAGTAAAATCACTATAGAATTGTATATTCAAAGACAGATACTTGCATGTTTGGGCCAATGTGGATTTTACATTTCTTTAACAGGAAGGGATCGATTGGGATGAGCCACATCTGGGGCATGAAAATTAACAAAAGCATGCAGTTTTTTTATTTTTTGTAAAAGTGTGTTTTGTATTTTCAGATTTAATTTTTGTTTTGTTGTTGCCAATCTTAAAGTTTTTGAGTTTGTTTGTCACACATGTATCAATGTATAAAAATTTCATCACTAACTTACAAATATCTAATTTCAAGAGAATCAGAGGAATTTCAATTTAGATAAAGAATTTGCTATGTATTAAAGAGATATTTGTGTATTACATAAGTAAACTCTTCATTCCTGGTCTTATTTTTAATTTTCTTTTTTTTTTAAAACAGAGTTTCAAGTCTTGCAAAGTCTTTCCAGGTAAGCTTAGTGTATACATTAATGGTTGTCATTAAATAATGGCAGTTGATAAATATTTCATGTTTCCTTCTAATATGCATGTCTCTGGAAGTTATTAATCTTTTTAAATTGAAATCTTTAAAGCTGGATGATATTGTTTTCATTTAACTTGGAATTATCAGTTAATTGAAGGGTGCAATCTAAAAAAAAATTGATAAAAACTGCATGATACATGTGTTTGTGGGTACATTTTGATAGGAAACAGTTAAAGAGGGTGCCAGTCAAAAAACTATATATTTAGAAAGAGGGCCCCATAAACAAAGAACCAGGTCATTTCCTGCCCCACTGGCCAAACAAGAATCTTTCTCTGATTTGGTAGGTCATCTGGCTGTTGTAACTGGAGCTTTCTTGGTGTATCTGCTTTTGTGGTTTTGTTTTACGGTACCAACCCATGTATATCCGTGTATTAGCCTGTGTATTGTGTGTGTTGGCTTTTATTTGTTAACTTACTGTGTATCTACACAACCTTTTTTCCCATCCTCTTAGATATTGATTTTACAAGTTTTTAGTTTTAAAAGTTTAATTTTTGTTGTTTCTGACTTTTTGATTTTACCCTGTACAGTCAAACCTCGTTATCTCGAACTCAATGGGACCGAGAATCTGAGGATTCAAGATATCCAGGGTAAAATACTTATGGAGTAAGCGTTTGGGACTTCCAAATCACTTATTCATGGTGTTCGAGATATCAGTGTTCGAGATACCGAAGGTTTTTTTCTAGATGTAACTTGTATTCTTATTTGCCTATCAAGAATTATATGACAGCATTAGCTATTAGTTACAAAGATTTAGCTATTCTTCTGCCCACTTTACCAAGTAAAGCCATGAATATGGGCGGGGCATATAGAGCTTGTCATATCCATCTTCTGTCCTTCTGTCTGTCCTTCCATCGCACTTTGCGTTAAGCTCATTTCAAAGCTCAGTTTCAAAGAAACTATTCTTTAAGATATTTTTATCAAACTTCATATGCTGATACATATTGATGAGAGGTATTCAACTGCATCAACAATTTTTTGACCTGGACCTTTCCTTTGACCTTGACCTCACTTTTCTTAAATTAGCGTTTAGCTCAGTTTTAAAGAAACCATTCAAGATATTGTTATCAAACTTCATATGCTGATACTTCTGACATAAGCTATTCAACTGCATCCAAATTTTTTTACCTTGACTTTTCATTTGACTTTAACCACACTTTTCTTAAATTAGTGTTTAGTTCAGTTAAAAAAAAACATTCAAGATAGTGTAATCAAATTTCATATGCTGATACATACTGAAGTAAAATTTTCAATGGCACCAAGATTTTTTGACTGTGACCTTTCCTTTGACCTTTTCTTAAATGTGTTTAGCTCAGTTTTAAAGAAACCATGCAAGATAGTGTAATCAAGCTTCATATGCTGATACATACTTATGTAAACTATTCAAATGCATCAACATTTTTTTTTTACCTTGACCTTTCCTTTGACATTGACCTCACTTTTCTTACATGTGTTTAGTTCATTTTTAAGAAACCATTCAAGGTAGTGTATCAAACTTCATATGCTGTTACTTACTGATGTAAGCTATTCAACTGCATCAAAAATTTTTGACCTTAAACTTGCATTTTAATTAGTTTCAAAAAAAAACATTAAAGATATTTATGTGTAAGAGTATGCACTTATACATGATTTGGTGAGAATTTATCATCTGTATCTTTAGATTTCAATTTTAATTTTAAAGAAACTGTTCAAGATATTCTCATCAAACTTGCATTACTAAAATACCTTCGATGAGGCATTCATGCCCTATCGACATATTTCTAGTTTACTGGTAAATTATTATAATACTCCCCCCCCCCCCCCCCCCCAATACAAAGTTTATAGAGGGGGTATATTGGAATCAGAATGTCCACTGGTCTGTCTGTTTATCTGTCTGCAGAAATGATTTTATCTAAACATGTTCTGAAATAACTGCATGGATTTGTCTGAATTTTTTACACGTCTCACTAGGATGCCAGATGGTTGTGATTAAGGTTTATAAACTAAGGAGAAAAAATATAATGATTACTATCAATGTTAACATTGTGAACACTTTTTAGATCCATAACATACTTTTAATGACTTAGTACATTTCTGAAAAACCCAGTGGGGGTATTTTTTTTCATTCTGGACAGTTCTAGTTCTGTTTGTATCATATTTAAATTTGCTTAGAATGTTTCAATGCATGAGATCCAGACCGATCCAGTCAGTGCCCAATATCTGGCTAGAGTCATGTGTTCCTTGGAGCTTAGATTTCAGGATGTTGTGTTTCAGGAACATTTCTTGTTTTACAATGTCTTTTACTACTTTACAGAAGTCATGGAAAAAAAAGTTATAATTTTGTATCTTGATCAAAAGCTTCAAGCCACTCCTTATCTACATTCCTTATTTAGCATACAGTCAAATTATTATTTTGTTTTATGCTTTTTAAGTAGCAGGTTTAGCTAGCTTTTGTGATATGTATATGTGTACCTATATTTACAATTTATTCATTTGCTGTACAATCTATATATGTTTAAAGTAATGAATTCAGAAATGCTGTATTATGCATTATACTTTCTTATAAACATTTTGTAGGGATACTTATATTGCTTACTTGACCATGTTACAGGAACCTTCTACCCCATCTCCTACCCCCTTGTCCCCCACCAGACTTAAAACCCTGGAAGAGACCCTGGGTAAGCGCAGGGAGGAACATGGAGAAACCCCTCCCTCACCTCTCGGAGATTTCTCAGGGGCCCATAAAAGTCCATTTAGGAAAGCTCGTCGCCACTTCAAGAACTTTGTAGGAGGTAAATGTCCACCGGAAATTCATTGACATATAGATAAAACACTCAGAGAGTTAATATCAGTAGATTCATTCCATTTTACACCATTTGTTACTATAGATAGGTTTTCTAGTCTCTACATGTATACCGTATGTACCTGTTGTTGGATTAAGGGTGTCACCTTAGACATTTCTTTTGTTTCAAGATAGCTGCAAGAGTATTTTAGATTCTGTAATACCTTGGTCTTATTTTCTGAAGTAAATGTTCTCTAGTCTTTAGACAGTAGGTGTCAATTGTGTTTTTATTGTCGTTTGTTACAGGGAGTCTAAAAGGCAAGAATCATGATATCATTTCATATAGCCATCGAGACATAATCATATGGAGAATGGATCAGTGCATGATTTCTCTGTCACTTTGCATTTTGTTCTTTGTTCAATGGTCTGATCATCCAAAGATGAATAATAGTCAAGAAAAGTCTGAAATGTCTTTCTCTGTATAATTATGTCTCAGAATAGCTAACCTCCAGCATTTGGCGTTAGTAGATAGAGTTGGTCAACTAACCATTTTCTAAGTTTGCCTGAAAATTTATTTAAACTGCACTATGTAGAGTATATATATCAGTTTAGTAATTTTTTTTAACTGCAGTACAACAATTACTAATTCAAATATCTTCCATCCCACAGTAACATTCATATAATTCTATCATGAAGGAACCCCCCTTTAAAAATCTTTAAGAATTAAAAAAAATAAAGCAAGGTAGATTGATCAGACTGCTTTCTAACTAAATTTATTTTCATTTTCCATTACTTTACCTAAAAAACTCTGATCTGAATTAAATTTTCTGAAACCGATCCATCTCCTTTCCCGTATTGCCTTCACACATGAACAATATCCTGTGTATATGATCTTTTTTAAGTAAGTGTGGGAATTTCTTGTCTCATTAAGAAGCGACGAGCTGTATGCCACCAATCGGATCTAGGTCATCTTCCTTCCGATTCCTGCGACACAGGAGCAGTGAGTAATGTGGCTCAGCATGGTTGACTTGAGTAGGCTTGAACCTTTTGGACTTTACTGAGCTACTTAAAAAAATCACTCCTATATGTGCTGTGTCCATTAAAGCATGGAAATTCATATTTGATTTTCATACCCATTATAAAAATGACTCAAGATCAGTGCATACCCATATATCAGTTTAAACTGTGAAGTTTTATAAAGGTATTAATGTGTACATGTATATCAGGCTATTTCATTGATAAGGCAGAATAATTTATTGTCTTACATCATTGATTTCTAATAACATGTTGTGTTAGAAAACTGTTAACTTTCTTTCACAAAGTTAACTAACAAATTCTTCTATATGAAATATTAATTTTCCTAAGATTCACACAATATTCTAGCATGTAAACTATCCAAAGAATGAAAATTGTAACTATTACTTGACTTGAATTAATCTACTGTATCATATGATTCATTCTTCATTTACTCATCAACTTCACTAATGGATTTCATAAGTTTTCATTAACATAACTTTTTGTTTTATACAGTTAGCTCATTATACACTGCATTACCCGTGGGCATACCATAAAAATCATATACATCTTTGTAATACTGAGTGGTCATTGTATTAGCTTAGGGAAAATTGATTGAGAATGTAAATTGTTTTAACTTTATAGATAATGTGGATTGCAGTGAGAATTGATGTGATTTGAATTGTTCACCCCTGTATTAAAGTTTGTTTTTGTTTAAATTGTTTGAATTGGATAGCTGACATTGAATTAATTGGTGAAGAAAAGTTTACTAGATTTTACGTAAACATTTTTTCAATGGTTATATCGTAAACACAACAGGTAAAAGACAGGTGAAAAAAGATGATGACAGCGACGAAGATACTGCTCCAGTCCAGCTCCAGAAACCAAAGCGACCCCATAAATGTAAGTAAATATAAAGCAAGGTGACCTCATTGATAAGTATTTATAGCCAACAAAATGATCTACAAAAGTCAGAATATATAGCAAACTTATAACTAGAGAAATGTAAGTAAATGACAAGCAATCAGCCCCCATGGATGAAAGTACATGTATAAAGTTGTCATAAATTAAAAAAAAAACACATAAAAATGTAAGGTGTATATAAATGTGTAAAGCAAACAAAAGGACACCTCATTTATAAGACTGAGTAGCGTGATGACCTTATAGAGGTACAGAGCTTAGGTACTCAAATGTTGATCTGAATAGAATTCTTTACCAGTTTATGACAACTCTTAATAATAACAAATATGAGTGTTTGAATATAACAATTAGAATTGTTCTATTTTAAACTTTTCTTTTAATAAGATGTTTTTATAAACTATAAGAATTTTTGAAGACCCATGCTTTATGATTTTGGTATAACTTTGTTACATTTATTTTACATGACTGTCCCTGATAGGATTTTTTTTTAAATTTCTTATCAAACATTTTAAATTTGTAAGCAACTTGTGTAGGAAAATAAACATGGCATGTGGAAGCATTTAATAATTAGCTGGATGTACTGAAAAATATCCAAGTAATGAGGTGTCAGAAAGTCTTTTGATTTTGTCATTCATGAAAATAGAATTGTGATCTAATATTTTTGTTTAATAATAGCTAGAGCTTATCTCTGTTACATATTTTGTGTAATACAGGTGATTGAAATGTGATGATTTTACTGTTCTATAATTCTTTTGAGGTTAAACTTCAGAGTGTATTTAATGATGGAGATTACTTCTGATTATGTTTCTATTCTGTAGAAAATCTAAATACAAACTAAGTCAGTATTTATTTTCAGTTGTTTTTTAATGTTAACAAATCTTCAAGATTATTATAATTTCTATGTAGATTTTATAATGTGTATTATGATGATGATCACTATATACATGTACATCATATTTTTGAATTAAGAAAATTAATAAATCAGCCCTTAATTGATTTATTTTTGTGGTAGTGAATAGATTACCCAGAATAAAACTCCCTAGTTTATTTCAGTGGGTGTCCAAGTATTACCAACAGAGGTTTCCACTACCCAACCCTCCCCTGCCTCACCTACAGATGTCAAGTCTGCCGATGATCAGCGGTCCTCCACTGAAGATCTGGCACGTAAAGGACGGAAGAAGCCTCGACAGAAACAACAGCTTGACAAGAAACGGTCTGAATCACCTGTGCGGGGTAACTGGAAGGTGGAGGGAACCTCCGAGTGGCAGTACCCCGCCGATCTTGTCATCACAGAATTCTCAGAGTTTGCTAACCTGGATATATTCATTTACAAAAAGGTAGAGTACAGCTGTGGACAGGTTGATAATATTCTTGGTAAAGAATATATATGAAACCCATAAATTATATGTTAATAGAAGGGCAATATCTTGATCTGTTTTATGAGAATTGCATATTTTATGAAACTTTGTAAATGAAAACAAAGATGTTTCTATTTATTAAAAAGTTTCAAAATATTCTAATCTGTTAAGGTGTTTTTTTCTTTACATTGTATAGTTTTTATGTGTGTTTTTTTTTTTCAGTTGAAAGATTACAACAAAGTTAACAAGAAAGAGACAATCTTTGATAAAGTGTTTAAAAGATCATTGAATGCCTTCCACAAAGAAATGCAGGCAACCATATCTGTAGAAAAACAGGTTTGTTAGTGTTCCCAAATAAATGTAAATTCTGGAAATAAATTCTGATTTAGGATTAAATAGAAGTACTTAAGGATTGGGAACTCTCACATGCTGCCATTGTCTCCTCAAAAAATGAAAATGATTTGTAATTTTCAACAGAAAGGAGAAATTCATCTGCCATACAGGAATCTCTTGACCAAGTTTGCTGTAACTCTGGAAGCAGAGGTGAAGCTTGAAAGGACCAATGCTTCGTTTCCAGTCACAATGGGTGTAAACGCATTCCGGGGATTTCTGGATGAGTTCATTAAACATCACAGGAAAGAGAAGAAGAAGCCGGACAAGAAAGTGGAAAACAAAAATCAGAAACCAGAGAAAACAAAAAAGGATATATATGTGAGTGCTTCTCATAGTTTGATATCAGTTAGGAAAAAACAATAACAAGCTTGAGTTATGTTTGATAAGGAACAGAGTCACTGTTTGGTAAAGCGAGAAATTAAATACAATGTGAACAAAAGTCAGAACACATGAATGAAGTTCTATTCAGCAAATATAGATAGTATGTTTATGCCCTGTTCACACGGAGAGTTTAATTCGAATTAAACGTAAGTTACTGCGAATTAAATTTGATCCGCGTTCACACGGAGAATTTAATGCGAATTAGTTTAATTCGAATTAGTTTACTGCGCATTAAATTACTTCGCTTTAGCTCCGTGTGAACGCTAAGCGAAGCTAATTCGAATTAAATTTCGACGCATGCGTAAGGGCAGAAATAGGTCACAGGCCACATGTCGATGGTCAAATATAGGTACTTGTGCTATTTTTGAGTAGAAAACAAAGGAATATCATGTTAATCACTAAAATGTGTACAGACACTATGACATTATGTCAAATGTATATCTGCTGTGCACAATATGACGTGATTTGTAAATGACGTCATAATAGCCTTACTGAATGGCTTATTGTAGAAATAAAATTTTAATTCGCATTAGTTTACTTCGCATTAGCTGTCGTGTGAACGCAATTTAATTCGCATTAGTTTAATTCGCATCATTTTGCTTCGCATTATTTTACTACGAATTAAACTCTCCGTGTGAACAGGGCATAAGATTGGCAGTACATGTATTTCAGGAGTTTTTAGGACACAAGTACAGTCTAACCCAGTTTGGTATCCCAACATTCTGTGAGTTTTGCTCCAATATTATATGGATCATGGAAAAAGGAAGTGTCTGCCAAGGTTAGTGCATGTGGTTATGAGCCTAGTTGTAAAACCTGACCACTTTGATACAGAATGTTAATTTCAAATATATTTTATTTTCCCATTTTTGACTGAGAAGTCTTTGTTTTATAGTTTGTAGATATACGTGCCATAAGAGATGTGTGAACAAGTCAACAAGCCATTGTAAAGGTGCACAGGTCAACCAGGTAAACTCAGTGTTAATTAATCACCTGGCAGTAAATTGCCTTGCCAAACCTCTATCTTGAATTATATCCTTTACCTCTACAGAAAAGTTGAAGCTTTAATTATGAATTATCCCTCTTAGTACAGTGTAAGACATATTTTGTTATATATAAGGATGTCATATTCATGCATATATACCAATATACATTACTTACTATCTTTCAAGACTTCGTTTTGTTTCCATATATCATGCTACAATAGTTAGGATTTCTCCTGCAAACCTGCATCCTCCAAATTTTTAACTTGAACATATTCAATGCTTGGTAGTATTAGTAATGTAGAACTTTTCCATGGATACCAGCTCATACTGTCTTGAAGAAAAAAACAAATTAAAGTTTTATGATTTCAGACTACTCGCCCTGTCAAACAACCTTTATCCCCCAAATCTGCACGTCCACACTTATTGTTTGAGCCGTTGCGACCCCGGGTCGAGTCAATGGACCATGCCAGGCCAACTGTTCTGGCTCTTATTGTCCAGCTCAAAAATATGGCTCAGGTTAAATTTAAATAGAAAAAAACTATAAAATGGCTTGGGTTGTCATAGAAATTATCTTAGATTTGACCTTTGTTGGGTGGCAAAAGATCATGTAAACATGACAGAAACTTACATTGATATATATATATATATATATATATATATATATATATATATATATATATATATTGGTCAATAGGACCTTTCATACCAACTAATTTTTGTCTTGCTATGAAAGTGGTCATTTATTAATAGTTTAAAATTTAGAATAGTACAGAAGCTCAAATATGAATCTATTTAAACAGAAATTGATTACAAAATAGGAATTTAACATTTTATTTAAATACAATGCTAAAATCAATAACAATATTGGCAGACAGTTGCATGTGTGTTTAGAGGAGGAGAGGTTAAATTTTCTAGGCTGTGCACTAATTAATCAGTTTATTAACAAACTCTGCTCCTTCTCTCTCTCACTAGTTCCCAGTTGATTGCTGCTTTTTCTGGGGTTCAGGTGACTTAGTGCGGGTTTTGTCAAACCTTGTGAGTTTCTCAGTGTTGTCTTTTTCTCTGATGTTTTGCCGCCCTGTGTTGTACATGTACATATTTTTCATTTTTATTAAACAAAAAATAATTAATATATTTAAAAATTTTATGTACTAAGAACATAATGTAGGCACTTTGCACAATTTCTTTTACAAACATATTTTGCTGACTCCTTAAATGTATACATTGTATCATTAAGCTTTATGTGAATTACATTTAGTGTTTAGCTTTGCTAGTGTCTTCTTTGTTTGGCTCTTGCTAGATTTGACTGTACATTTTATATTGCTAGGCTATCTAATGCAGTCAAAATTATATTATGCTTTACCGATATACTTCTCTTAAAGATATTGTTTACTATTTGGAGCCCATATTATATTTCTTAAACGTTCATGCATATCAACAAGCAGAGAAGGATATATTAAGACAGAAACCTTTTTTTCCATTGGCTATAAGTTTACTCCAGTGAGCTTTTTATATTTGTACATCTGTTTGCATAAGCTTTACAACATACTAGTATTGACTTTATTTCTATTTCACAGAATCCTGGGTCCAAAGTATATGGTGTTCCACTTGCTAGTCTAGTTTCTGATGAGCATAAAATTCCCGTTATAGTGGAAAGATTAATAAACGCCATAGAAACCCATGGGATGTATACTGTTGGTGTCTATCGCAAATCTGGTGCTAATGCCAAGGTCAAACAACTCAAACAAAACATTGACAGTGGCAAAGAAGGTACGATGCAAAAATATATATGCATACTATATTCCTTTGAAAAGAAAAAAGGATAAGTAGGTCAAATCTATTGAAAAATATGAAGAATGAAAGATTTGACTATACATGAAAGTTCTCTTCAAAGTTTTAAATTTTTCTTTTCAGATTTGACTTCGATAGATATTGAAGAGTATCCTATTCATGTTTTAACTACAATGCTCAAGTATTTCTTCCGTGAACTGCCAGAACCTTTATTGACCTTTGAACTCTATGATGATTTTCTGAGAACTTCAGGTATCTGCATTAATTGACAAGGAAAATCCTATTGTTAAATGAATCATTTTAATAAATTTCTGGGGAAAAAATCCAGGTTAAATCACAGGAGTTCACAGTTTTATCAATAAACAATGTAGACATTAACAAGTAAGCTTTATTGTAGCGAGCAAATTCTGCTTTAGCACCTTATTTAGTAAAACTAACAACATGCAGTATAATTTACATCAGTCTATGTTTCTTACCTGATTTCTGGTCCAGTCCCTCTCTCAATTGCCATAATTGACCCTAAAATCTAATATTAACAACATTTGAATAATTTATTTGATAAATTCAACTCGAAATACTTCAGAAGCCAATGATGTGATATCACACAGACCCTCACGGCGACCGCTTCTTTTGGAAATGTTGTTAATATTAGATTTTAACAGCTCACTGGTTAATTTTACATTGTTTATTGAGGAATCTGCTGACTCCTGTGGTTAAAATAGAGATTTACAGTAAATTACATTCTTTTTTATTAGCTCACCTGAGCTGAAAGCTCAAGTGAGCTTTTCTGATCACATTTTGTCCGTAGTCCGTTTGTCCGTCCGTCCGTCTGTAAACTTTTCACATTTTCGACTTCTTCTCCAGAACCACTGGGCCATTTTCAACCAAACTTGCCACAAAGCATCCTTGGGTGAAGGGGGTTCAAGTTTGTTCAAATGAAGGGCCATGCCCTCTTCCAAGGGGAGATAATTAAGAATAAGTGAAAATTTGGTGTCTTCTTTTAAAAATCTTCTTCTCAAGAACCATTGGGCCAGAAAAGTTGAAACTTTATGGGAAACCTTCATTACATAGTGTAGATTCAAATTTGTTCAAATCATGACCCCCCCGGGGGTTGGGTGGGGCCACAATGGGGGATCAAAGTTTTACATAGGAATATATAGGAAAATTCTTTAAAAATCTTCTTCTCAAGAACAACAAAGCCACAATTAGTCATATTGATATGAAATCATCCTCAGGTAGTGTAGATTTAAATTTGTTCAAATCATGACCCCCGGGGGTAGGGTGGGTCCACAATGGGGGATCAAAGTTTTACATAGGAATATATAGGAAAATTATTTAAAAATTTTCTTCTCAAGAACAACAAAGCCACAATTAGTCATATTGATATGGAATCATCCTTAGGTAGTGTAGATTCAATTTTGTCGAAATCAAGACCCCCGGGGGTAGGGTGGGTCCACAATGGGGGATCAAAGTTTTACATAGGAATAAATAGGAAAAATCTTTTAAAATCTTTTCAAGAACAGGAAAGCCGTGATTAGTCATTTTGATATTGAAGCATCCCCAAGTATTGTATATTCAAGTTTGTTCAAGGCATCCTCAGTAGTAGGGTGGGGCCATAATCGGGGATCAAGGTTTAACAAAAGAATATATATAAGAAATATCTTAAAAAATCTTCTTCTCAAGAACAACAAAGCCATTATTAGTCATATTGATATGGAAGCATCCTTAGGTAGTGTAGATTCAAGTTTGTTCAAATCTTGAACCCTCCCTCCCTTCCTACCCCCCAGGGTAGGATGGCAGACATCTTTAAAATTCCGTTTCAAGAACAGCAAAACCATGATTAGTTATATGAATATAGAAGCATCCTCAGAAAGGTTAGATTCAATTTCATTCAAAACATGGCAACTGGGGATAGGTTATGCCTAGAACAGTTGATCAAAGCTTTACGTATGAATATATAGAAGAAGAAATCTGCTGACAAAGAACAGCAGGGCCATATTGACTCAGGTGAGCGTTGTGGCCCATGGGCCTCTTGTTTGAAAAATGATAATAGAACAAAAATGTCATTAATATTCAAATTTTCCATTAAATATTTCAGAAATTCAAGATGAGAAGGAGAGATTACAAGCTATTTATGCAGTTATTGAGAAACTTCCTAAACCAAATCATGATCTGTTTGAAAGACTCATTTTCCATTTAGCAAGAATAGCCAATAATGAACCTTTAAACAAAATGTCATCTAATGGTTTAGCTATTATATTTGCCCCTGCCTTACTCAGAACCAACAAAAAACTACAAGCTCAAGATTCCCTCAACCAAGTGCCAAGACAAACTGCGTAAGTTTTTTGATCAGCCTTTAATTTGAAGTGTTAGATGCCAATACTTTTTGAAAAATAATTCTGAGATATTGAGATTGTACAAAGTGTTGAAAGCAGGAAAATAAGCCCAAAGTTTACAATTATTAGCTCACCTGAGCTGAAAGCTCAAGTGAGCTTTTCTGATCACATTTTGTCCGTAGTCCGTTTGTCCGTCCGTCCGTCTGTAAACTTTTCACATTTTCAACTTCTTCTCAAGAACCACTGGGCCAATTTTAACCAAACTTGGTACAAAGTATCCTTGGGTGAAGGGGAGTGTAAATTGTTAAAATAAAGGGCCACGTCCCCTTAAAAGGGGAGATAATCAAGAAAAGACAAAAATAGGGTGGGGTCATTAAAAAAATCTTCTTCTCAAGAACCAGTGGGCCAGAAAAGCTGAAACTTATGTGGAAGCATCCTGGGGTAGTGTAGATTCTAAATTGTTCAAATCATGACCCCCGGGGGTAGGGCGGGGCCACAATAGGGAATCCAAGTTTTACATTGAAATATATAAGAAAAATCTTTAAAAATCTTCTTCTCAAGAACCACTGGGCCAGAAAAGCTGAAACTTATATGGAAGCATCCTGGGGTAGTGTAGAATCTAAATTGTTCAAATCATGACCCCCGGGGGTTGGGCGGGGCCACAATAGGGAATCCAGGTTTTACATTGAAATATATAAGAAAAATCTTTAAAAATCTTCTTCTCAAGAACCATTGGGCCAGAAAAGCTGAAACTTATATGGAAGCATCCTGGGGTAGGGTAGAATCTAAATTATTCAAATCATGACCCCCGGGGGTAGGGCGGGGCCACAATAGGGAATCCAAGTTTTACATTGAAATATATAAGAAAAATCTTTTAAAATCTTCTTCTCAAAAACCACTGGGCCAGAAAAGCTGAAACTTATATGGAAGCATCCTGGGGTAGTGTAGATTATAAATTGTTCAAATCATGACCCCCGGGGGTAGGGCGGAGCCACAATAGGGAATCCAAGTTTTACATTCAAATATATAGGAAAAATCTTTAAAAATCTTCTTCTCGAGAACCACTAGGCCAGAAAAACTGAAACTTAAGTGGAAGCATCCATTGTTCAAATCATGGCCCCCGGGGGTAGGGCGGGACACAATAGGGAATCCAAGTTTTACATTGAAATATAAAAGAAAAATCTTTTAAAATCTTCTTCTCAAGAACCACTGGACCAATAAAGCTGAAACTTATTTGGAAGCATCCTGAGATAGTGTAGATTCTAAATTGTTCAAATCATAACCCCCAGGGGTAGGGCTTGGCCACAATAGGGAATCCAAGTTTTGCATTGAAATATATCGAAAAAACCTTAAAAAATCTTCTTCTCAAGAACCACTGGGCCAGAAACACTGAAACTTATATGGAAGCATCCTGGGGTAGGGTAGAATCTAGATTATTCAAATCATGACCCCCGGGGGTAGGGCGGGGCCACAATAGGGAATCCAAGTTTTACATTGAAATATATAAGAAAAATCTTTTAAAATCTTCTTCTCAAGAACCACTGGGCCAGAAAAGCTGAAACTTATATGGAAGCATCCTGGGGTAGTGTAGATTATAAATTGTTCAAATCATGACCCCCAGGGGTAGGGCGGAGCCACAATAGGGAATCCAAGTTTTACATTCAAATATATAGGAAAAATCTTTAAAAATCTTCTTCTCGAGAACCACTAGGCCAGAAAAACTGAAACTTAAGTGGAAGCATCCATTGTTCAAATCATGACCCCCGGGGGTAGGGCGGGACACAATAGGGAATCCAAGTTTTACATTGAAATATAAAAGAAAAATCTTTTAAAATCTTCTTCTCAAGAACCACTGGACCAATAAAGCTGAAACTTATTTGGAAGCATCCTGAGATAGTGTAGATTCTAAATTGTTCAAATCATGACCCCCAGGGGTAGGGCGGGGCCACAATAGGTATATTAAAAGGGAGGAAATCTGGTAAAGAACAGCATGGCCAAAGTTACTCAGGTGAGCGATGTGGCCCATGGGCCTCTTGTTTTAATGGTGTTCATTTACTGTTCAAACATTATACAACTGGAGTAATCATGTACATGTTTATTTTTTTGTTTTGAAAATTAAGGATGTCAATTCTCACAAAAGTCCTTTTTAAATTTTTCATAAATGTTATCAGTATTGATTATTGATGGAGAGGTGTAATCCTTACATTCTTTAAGTTTAATTGCAAACTTTGGAAAACTTCTATTTTTAGTGTGATAAAACAAATAATAACAGAGCAACTGTTCAAGATGAAGGAAACGTTCAATGACCTTAGCACACTGGAAACTGCTGAGGTGACTGCTGCTGATCGTCTCCATGTCGTTCGCCTCAGTATGAGGGCTAGGGTAAGGCTATTCTGTATCATCATTCTCATGGTTGTTCAAAAACCAAGCAAAAGTGGTTGAAAGCCATTTTTTAGCTCTACAGGTCATAGACCAGAAGAGCTTATGCCATAGTAAGATCCTTACATTTGTAAACAATTTTGGTTTGATTTCAATATAACTTAGACTACACTAGAGACATAATTCTCTATATTCAGTTTTGATTTCAATGAACAGTGTTGCTATGGTTACTAAAAATAGACATTTCTGTGAAATACTTTCAAAATGCTAGTCAAAATGCTGTTATCAAAGTTTCAAGTCCAAGTACTTCATTTCTTTTGGAAGTACAAACCAGTAGAGCTACAATCTCATCAGAGATTTCTGTTCCCAACTCTAAATAAAAGAGACTTCAGTAGAGATAGTAAAGCCTGTATTTATTTATTTACACAGAGTCCAGTACACCCCCCTCCCACTCTCCCTGAGCCTGAAGTGACCTGTATCGGTGAGGAGGCAGCAGTCTCTGAGGAGATGGATGTGGAGGAAGCAGAAGAGGAGGAAAAGGCCTTGTGTTCACACATAAGGTCCATACAGAAGGAAAGGTCAGTGACAGGCTAGCAGTAAGACAGCAGTAAGCATTGTGTTCACACACAAGGTCCATACAGAAGGAAAGGTCAGTGACAGGCTAGCAGTAAGACAGAAGTAAGCATTGTGTTCACACATAAGGTCCATACAGAAGGAAAGGACAGTGACAGGCTAGCAGTAAGACAGAAGTAAGCATTGTGTTCACACATAAGGTCCATACAGAAGGAAAGGACAGTGACAGGCTAGCAGTAAGACAGAAGTAAGCATTGTGTTCACACACAAGGTCCATACAGAAGGAAAGGTCAGTGACAGGCTAGCAGTAAGACAGAAGTAAGCATTGTGTTCACACATAAGGTCCATACAGAAGGAAAGGACAGTGACAGGCTAGCAGTAAGACAGAAGTAAGCATTGTGTTCACACATAAGGTCCATACAGAAGGAAAGGACAGTGACAGGCTAGCAGTAAGACAGAAGTAAGCATTGTGTTCACACATAAGGTCCATACAGAAGGAAAGGACAGTGACAGGCTAGCAGTAAGACAGAAGTAAGCATTGTGTTCACACACAAGGTCCATACAGAAGGAAAGGTCAGTGACAGGCTAGCAGTAAGACAGAAGTAAACATTGTGTTCACACACAAGGTCCATACAGAAGGAAAGGTCAGTGACAGGCTAGCAGTAAGACAGAAGTAAACATTGTGTTCACACACAAGGTCCATACAGAAGGAAAGGTCAGTGACAGGCTAGCAGTAAGACAGAAGAGTATTATGTCACTATAGTTCCATTTTAATTTGGTGTCAAAATATGTGTACAGGATGAGTGAAATTTGAATTTTACAATATTGGACATCTGGTAATGAGAGGTAGTATTCATCATATTATAGTGTAAACTGCAGTATATTTTTTCAAGTTTGGGTTTTTTGTTTTTTTTTTTGCAAGTATATTTAAAGTGTAACGTTGATATCCTCTTTTCTGAATGTTTTGTATAACTTTTGATGAGATTTTTATGTGAAATAACAGGGAAAATCTCACTACGAATCTTCCTGCTTTGGAATGTCGGCACTTGAGTTCCGATGATGATGGTTTGAGTACAGATGGCGTGGACAGTATATATGATACTGCTGATGAAGAGGAAAATGAAGAATATGCATTAACCTTTGACCTGCCAGGTATGTATATTTTGCACAAAAAGGAATTTGTGTGATGTGTGTTGACTTTTTAAAGAACTTATCAAAGATTTTCTTTTCCTGTTTTGAGCTTTGCATTCAGAGAATAGTAGTGAGAAGTCTGGGCAATCATGTTATTTTAATTGAAGACTAATAAAGAGAGTTGTGCAATAAAAAATGACAATTTTGATTAAGCAATATAAAGGAATGGGAATTTATGTAAAGGTATTAACATTTTGATGTAACAAGATATAGTTTATATGCATGTCCTGATTATTATCAGACAAACAGAGTGGGTGAGACTATACACAGTTTGCATAACTTTATATCATTGCCAAGTATAGTTGCATAGAACATGCTTCTTTAGAAAATATGACATAATAGTTTTTAACAAAGTTGATTTGATTTTGTACTGTTCTTTTTGGTGTAGACACATAAAGGTAAACAATGAGAAGGGAGGTTACTCAGGGTGTCCGGTATTTTTCTTTTGCTGCTTTTTATACTCTAGTACCTTTGTTTATGTGCCAAATAACCCAAACAAATGAGTATCAATGATCTGTTAAATATGACTTCTTTAAAATATACTTTTAAATAAATGTGTTCACTGTGTTTCTGTACAAGTTCAATATCAATAGAATGTGCACTATTAGTATAACACAATTCTTGGTATATTTAAAGAACCAATGTACAGACCATTGATACTCAACTACTAGCAGTCCCCACCATATGCTTTATATTGTCTGAATTAATTAAGGCTGTCAAATACATGTACAAGTCACAATGCACCTTGTTCAGAATCTGTACAACTTACACAGTAGCATTAATTAACCCAGAAACTTGTTCTTTTCTATAAGGGAAGAAATCAAAAGGGAAAGTAAATTCAAACCAAAGACCAAGGAGTAGTCAAACGTAGTGTGTGGTAATTGGAATGTTCAGATTATTATTTCTTTTTACCTGTACCTTTGTTTACATAGAAAATGCCTGTTTTATAAAAAGCAACATTTCTTTCATATCATTCTAATATTTCTTTTAATTTCTCAGGGATGGTTTGTGTATGGGTCTAATTGTAGGTATATTTCTATACAATGGTTCACCTTTTATTTCAGAACTTTTTATTCTCTCTTTTTTTCTGATCAGAATTAATTTTTGCTGTCTGTATGTATATTTGACATAAACTTTTAACATTTTATTCTTCTAATAAAATTGTGATTTGGCCATTTTCAACCAAAATTCACACAAAAGTATTCATGGTTAAAGGAAATTCTGCTTTATTTAAGGGCATTAGTGGTCAATTTTCATTTCATATCATAAGAAAATACCATCAATGAAGTTTATTCTCTGAGCCACTATGCTACAAATTGATGAAAACTCTTCTGTGAAAATAAAGACATGACCAGCAAACATGTATTATTTATTTCCTTTGATAAGTATAGAATTTATTTTTTCATTACCTAATAAGCAAATGTTGGTATATATTTTGTAGATAAATGTGTTGAAATGGTTGTCTTTGGCTTATTTTAGGGCTATTGTAATGAGATTCTTTACTTATGTTAATGTCAGAAAGCTCCATGTGACACAGGGGAGCAATGTAATCAAATTGCCTTTTGTTCTCTATATTGTTAAAATTAGTTGTCCTCTTCTATGTTCACCAAGAATTAAACTAATCTCTTATATTGTAATTTGAGTTTTCAAATAAGCAGTTTCTTTAGACATTTCATTGCATATTCTTAATGGAAAAATATAAACCAAATCCTGTGAAGAAGGCTTGCAGAGGCTCTTGGTTTGCTTCTGCTTTACCCCAAAATCTTTTAATAAAACTTTAACTCAGACTTATGCATTGAAAAGGTGTCTGTCATCCATCTTTGTCTGTTTGTCTGTGAACAATTTTTTTTTTCCAAAATCTACTTCTCCTTCACTCCTCCTTCTTTGTCCAACTTTGTGCACAGGTAGACTAAAAGAAGATGCATAATTTAAAACAGTTTTTGATTTTGAGGAACAATGTTGCCATGATTACTAAAACTCAAAAATTCTATGAAATTCTTTAAAAATATCAATCCTCCTACAGTTCTGATCAAATTTCAGTAGCAAAGAAGTCCATGATATCAGGATACATACATGTAATTTTGTATAATTTTGGCGTTTGATTACAATGTTCTGTGTTACCCGTTTAAAAATAGAAATTTCGATGAAATTATTTCAACTGCTTTTTCTCCTACAATTTTGGTACAATGTCAATAAAATACATAATTCTATCAGTTTTTGGTTTTTATGGATGGTTTTGCCATGGTTATTAAAAATCTAAATTTTTATGGAATTCTTTGAAAACACAACTTCTCAGGGATAGACATCAACTTACAGATTCACTTGCCCTTTGGGCAAGTGAACTCAAACTTTGACTTGTCCGAATACAAAACTTAGTTGCCCAAAATTTAGAAAGAAGGGAAACCGATAACTTAATTTATTATTGTAAATAAAGTGAGATATTTTTTTTTTATATTTGGCAAGTTAAGTGCCAGAAAAATATCTTGATGTGCAGGTGATGCTACATTTTAAATACTGTAAACTCACTCTGCCATGCAGCAATATCTCCTTTTAAATAAAATTCATATTTTTGAAAATTATTTTCTTAATGATCTTTTTGTGAATTTAGATTTTTCCCCCCTGAAAAACTGAAGCCACGCTAAAGAAAAACATTGGCCATGTTTTGAAACATAAATATCCTAATCAGAATACATTGTGTGCCGAGAATAACTGGTTTTCTTTATGTTCTGTGAGTAAATAAATGAGCTATTTTTAAATATCATATTTCATAATAAGAATGTTAAGAAGTCAGTTTTGTCAACTACCCAGAAAGAAAAATGGAATAACGAACCCGATTTTTGAATAAACGGCGCTACCGAGGAATTTCCGACTACAAAAAGAATGTCATATATTCCTGGTAGAAATCAAATGTTCAAATTATTGTTTTGTTTATAAACTAATGTAAGATTTAAAAAATCTATCAAATATTCACTTGCCCGATCGGACAAGTACATCAGCAGTTTCACTTGCCCGTACTGAGAATTTACTTGCCCCGGGCAATCAGACAACCGTTAATGTCGATCCCTGCTTCTATAGTTTGGATACACACAGTTACAATAAACAGTGTTCCAGCTAGGATCTGAAAATGGAGGGGTGCAAGAGAACTTAACATTTTTCACGAGCATTTGATACATAGGAATATCGCAATACTTTACCCTATAGTTCTTATTAAAAACATGTTATGCAAGTTGACTCTTCCCTAATTCAGTGTGTGGGATTTTATTTTTATGATATGGTAACTAAAAAGAATAATTTTAAAATCTTTCCAAATGCTACTATTCCAATCAATTGTGAAATAAATTCCCTATTCAACTACAAAATATGGAATTTTTTGTTTATTACATTTTGTGTGATTTTCTGTTTGTTTGTGTCTTTTCGTAACATAGTATCATTAGGCAGTGATGTCATAGATGAGTGTTTGAGACATCATAGCTTAGCAATTGTGAGATTGAAAACACTGTAGTATGGATTTCAACAACATATTTGGAGAATTTGGCAGTTTACATCTCTGTCAGGATGGTTTATTTACTCTATTTGATAACAGACCAGTAAGTTTGTTTTTTTTAGCTCACCTGAGCCGAAGGCTCAAGTGAGCTTTTCTGATTGAAATTTGTCCGTTGTCTGTCGTAGTTGTCATTGGCATTGTCGTAAACTTTTCACATTTTCATCTTCTTCTCCAGAACTACTGGGCCAATTTCAATCAAACTTGGCACAAAGTATCCTTGGGTAAAGGGGATTCAAGTTTGTTCAAATGAAGGGCCACGCCCCCTTCCAAGGGGAGATAATTACAAAATAGCAAAAAATAAATGGCATTATTGAAAAATCTTCTTCTCAAGAACCAGTGGGCCAGGAAAGATGAAACTCATGTAGAATTATTGTCAGGTAGTGTAGACTCAGATTTGTTCAAATCATGACCCCCGGGGGTAGGGTGGGGCCACAATGGACGATCAAAGTTTTACGTAGGAATATATAGGAAAAATCTTCTCAAGAACAGCAAAGCAATGATTGGTAATATTTAAATGGAAGCATCCTCAGGTGGTGTAGATTCAAGTTTGTTCAAATCATGACCCCCCAGGGGTAGGGTGGGGTCACAATAAATGATCAAAGTTTAACATAGGTGTATATAGGAAAAATCTTCAAAAATCTTCTTCTCAAGAACAGCAAAGCTATGATTGGTCATATTTATATGGAAGCATCCTCAGGTGATGTGGGTTCAAGTTTGTTCAAATCATGACCCCCGGGGGTAGGGTGGTGCCACAATGGAAGATTAAAGTTTTAATTAACATAGGAGCATATAGGAAAAATCTTCAAAAATCTTCTTCTCAAGAACAGCAAAGCTATGATTGGTCATATTTATATGGAAGCATCTGCAGGTGGTGTAGATTCAAATTTGTTCAAATCATGACCCCCGGGGGTAGGGTGGGGCCACAATGGACGATCAAAGTTTAACATAGGAGTATATAGGAAAAATCTTCAAAAATCTTATTCTCGAGAACAGCAAACTTACAAGTATGATTGGTCATATTTATTTGGAAGCATCCTCAGGTGGTGTAGATTCAAGTTTTTTCAAATCATGACCCCCGGGGGTAGGGTGGGGCCACAATGGACGATCAAAGTTTTACGTAGTAATATATAGGAAAAATCTTCTTCTCAAGAACAGCAAAGCTATGATTGGTCATATTTATATGGAAGCATCCTCAGGTGGTGTAGATTCAAGTTTGTTCAAATCATGACCTCCAGGGGTAGGGTGGGGCCACAATGAAAGTTCAAACTTGTAGAGAAAAAAGTCACAGTTAGTCAAAAAATCATGTAAGTATCCTTAGTTAGTGTAGATTTAATTTTGTTCAAATCATCCCCCCCCCACTCCCTTTTAGGGGTAGGTTGGGACCACTTATGCATTTAAGCTTTTCAATACTAAACAGATTTTTCCTCTTTTCCTAGCCACAGTGCTCAGGTGAGCGATGTGGCCCCTGGGCCTCTTGTTACAATACTCTTCATGAAGGGAAGGAAAAGGTCAAGTTTTGCTGTACTTCTGTTATTCTTTCACACTGTGACAAAATATCACTTTGATATTCTTTCACACTGTGACAAAATATAAATTTTATTCAATAAATGAATTACAGTAATTCACTGTTGAAAATGTAATAACTTTTTTTATTTCATTGAACAATGTTGCTGTGATTTTTTTTATAAATAGAATATAGTGAGTGGAATCCTTTCAAAATTCTACTCTTAGTACAGTTGGCTACAAAAAGAATACATGTAATTTAATGTAAAAACTTTCAAAATGCTTTTACACCCACATTTTTGATTTGATTTCATACATGTATATAAAAAAAAAAATGGCTAGATACATAATTCTGTTAATGTAAAACTAAAGAAAAGTGTTTCAAGTTCAGGTGCTTCTTTATAAGCACAAACTAGTAGAGCTACTTAAGGGATACTTTTTTTCTTCCATGGTATCCATATATGCATGTTAAGAGGTTTTTCTACAAGTTTTTCAAAGGATGAAGTATTTTAATTTCAGTTCTGGGGTCAGTAATGCTAAAAGAATGTTCATATGCAGTACTAACACATTTATTCTAAATGTCTTGTTGCCAGTGTTTTTAAGTTTGACTAGCAGAAGTTGTGCATTTTAAAAATTGTCTGATATGTCAAGAACAAAGTAAATTGTAAAACTGTCATTTAGCTGCATGTTATTTCATTTCTCTCTGAAAAATTAAATAATGCCACTTTCCATATTAAAATAATGTGTATATTAAATCAAACATTCTTAATTTCTTCCATCTTGAACCAATATTCTGACATACTTCCTCTTTATCATAAAACATATAAAGATTCCAAAAATTGTATCTATAGTCCTTACTAGTAAACAGTAATTTTGCCCTCATTGTATAAGAAGCATTAGATTAAGAAGTTAATATGAGAAATTTAAACATACCATTTTTATGTCTGCTTCAAATTTTGAAAGAAAATAAAGATTGTGTAATTTCAGTTTACTTTGTATATATTTAAATCACTATTCAGAATCTTAGATTTGATGGAGAAAATGAAATACTGTGTACTCATACTTAATTGTTTTATTACAGTGAGTCCACCCTCACAACTTCAGCACCTTACAAAGAGACGAGTATCCCACAATCCTTGTAAACGACCTCCCAAACGATACAGACCTCTACTGGATAAACGGGGGGATCAGTGTCTTTCCTGCAGCAGTGATGATTTTAGTGACCCTCTAGAGAGCACAGTAAATGATTCTGTGAACTCTGATAGTTCGGAGGGACCAGCAGTGCTTCCTATTGCTCACACCCGTGAACCCTCATGGGAGTCCAGTTCTGTCTCCATTCCGGCCCTACATAATATTTGTGAGGATGAGGATGAAATTATGGTCTAGTATTGGAGAACCCTGCCATTCCACATTTGCCATTCTGCCACATCTAAAAAATCATGTGTCATCCATTTTTACAGTGACCCATATCAGTTGTGGAAAACCATTCCAAGTCATCATGAATATTCATATTCTACCTCATTTGTGTACATAAGACAGAAATGCAATGACATGCCACATAGTCATTTTTTGTAAATGGGATGGCTAGGGTTTGAGAGATGTTTGCAGTGCTGCTTTTTGTTCAAATTTTAGTTTTATGTTTCTTTCTTTTTTTTTTTTTTTTTTTTTTTTTTTTTTACTATTATAAATAAAGAAAATGCATTATAGACTTATTAAGTGCCTAGATAACTCAATGGTTCACTATATATTTATTTTCAATCTTAAGTGTGCTTTATGATATTGTAAAATGACATTAATATGCAATTTAATTTTGCCAAAACTTGTGTATTTTTCAAGTGCAATAATAGATAGTATAGCGCTTTTGTATGCAGGGATAAAATGCAGACGTGAATTTTACTAAGTGTTTATGTATTAAATATGAGAAGTGTAGGTTTATGCACTTGATGCGTAAAAACTATTCTAGTCATGCAGTACAGAAGTTGTCACCATGGTGACATTAGAAGCTGTAGATTTGTTTATCTTGTTATCTTAATGCCAGTCTGATCTGAGACACAGTCCTTGTAAATATTCATTTGTACCATGTAATTTTGTCTTTCAACATTATTTTTTGCTGCTGTTAGAACAACACGATTGAATGGTAGTTGTACAGTTCCTGGTCAGTTTGTTAGGCTGTCTGTCAGGGCTGTAATAGATGTAGTTTGTGGTTTTTTGCATGTGCATTACTTTTGCATTACTGAGTATTCTATTTTCCAGAAGAGTGTTTAGCATTGGTGATATTAAAATAGCCATGATTCTGTTATAAACATGGACACTGATATTATATGACACAATAGAAACACTCTCTTGGTTGATGCTAAGAATGTGCTTTTGTTACAGCTGTTCATATTTTTTTTTTTAAAATAGAGGCTAATCCTTGTTCTATTACCTGTCACAAATAATTTGGGATGGATTTTAGGTATCCATAGAGTTTTTCCTGTGTACGCAAAGTATGAGTGTACAAATGTCACTAAATTATTGTTATTTTACAGCAATTGACCACCAAAATATGTTCTATTTTCATTTTAACATTTCTTACTGCATAGTTTATAACAGGGCCTTCATCAATGTATGAAAGTATTGCTCTTTCCCAGGAGCTTCACAGTGTCATAGATCTTGGACAATTTTATATTGTTTACATTTACTTTGGCAACACTTCTAAAACACCAACTTAAAAACTGTCATACAAATAAAAAAAAAACATGTTCGTACTGATACATAACAGTATTCTCATCTAATGAAAGGTGCTATGCTAGAGACATTTTGTGTAGAGGAGTTTTAAAGTAAAGCTGGCTAGACCTCCTTCACTCCTTACATCATGAAGATCATTCACATATCCGGTGTCTGATAAGAATTGATTTCACACTTTCATATAGTCTTTACTTTTTATTTATGAGAGTATTTTTTCTTCACTTATGTTTTTTAATGGTTTCTGTACAAGTGCCTCTGTCGATTTTCTTAAGGCTACAAAACATTGATGCTAGCAAACTATTCGTTATTGCATATTTTGGTATGGGAAAGTTTTGTAAATTATATTTTTAAACAAAAGGGACTGTTGAAAAAACTGAAATCTGATTTTGTAGTAAATGGGTAAGTCCATCATCAAACTGATGCTCAATTTTTTTTTTATGTTTAGCTCTGTATCACATTCCTAACAGTAGCTATCTTTTTGATGAAACTTTATTTTTATTTCTTTTATAAGCAAGCAGATAGCTGTATTTTTTTCAATAATGAACAATGGCTGTATTTTTTTTTTTATCAATGTTGAACAAACAGGAAAAGGTTCAGAATCCAAGAGAAAATGTCTGAACAAGATTAAAATGTGTCTCTCATTAATAAAAAATTAGTCACCAATATCTGTTCTGTGAATTAAAGGATTTATCTTGTTGTTCATCATTTGCTCATAATTCATTTAATATTCAAAGTGAGATATATTTCATGTGATATTGGAGGACCATTCCATTTATTCACTTATCAATAAAGGGTATTAATTGCACTGTATATGATGTTTGAATGGGAACAATTAAAAAGCATTAAACAAATACATAAGTTTGTTTTCTGATCATATAAATATTATTTATTTTCAAACCACATTTCCAAATAAAAACATTACACTGTATATTTAAGGAATCACTGTCTAGAACACTTTAGTAGAGCATGCCAGGGCATCAACAATAGTTGGAAACGTGGGATAATTGGCATAATGGGCAAAGCCCGTTATGCATAAATTATCCCACGTTTCAAACTATCATTGATGTCCCTGGCATGCTCTACTAACTAGACAGTGATTCCTTATATTTCCATTTCATTGTGAAATAAAATTGTAAATTTAGATTTTAAAAATGTAGACTAATAGATTTAAATTACATGACGCCTCACATGTCAATTTCGATAGTCCCCGCCCACTGACGTCAAACACAAAGAAAGCATGCATATTAGGCCTCCTTAGTTTTCCCCAAAACAGCCGCACGAGAATTACATGCATATTAAGCCTTCTTAGCTCCTGACCTTTCGCATTCCGGTAGAATTTTCAAGAATTCAACTCAACTAACTTTCAAAGAGTTATCACAGAGAAAACAAATAGAAATGGAAATATATATATATATATATACAGCTTTAAGTCAAGTTAAAAGTTTTGCATGAGTTAAATAAGCATGCAATTTTTAATTGCCTTTAATGTCCTTTTGAGTTATATGTTGGCAACTGCACCTAAAAACAGTATTTCCTCAACGTTTATGGCTGTATTCCCTCGACTAGTTTACATTATGTATGTCTCATAAGTTCCATCTTCACCTATCTGATCTCAAACTTGAACCGAAATTCTTGATTTGTAAAGGAGATGAGCAAAAGTTCACAACACTAACCGGTATATGTGCCCCAGGGTAAAATCTTCAAAAGCTTCTTTAAAATTTAAGCCAAGCAAAACCTATATATCAATGATTTGTTCTTGATTTATTCTTCAAAAAATATAGAAGGGAAGTCTTTAATTCTGTTTTCATTGCTGGTGTAAAGATGAATAATGACACCCCCTCCCCCAAGAAAAATGACCCCAAGCCATTGAAAAATGTAATTTATAGTAGAGAAAAAGGGGTCAGAATTCTACATGTGCTAACTATATAAGAAGTTGACCCCTGTTGGAAAATGACCCACATCCCAGCAGAGTAATACAAAGTTTAATAGAGGTAATTGATGCCAAGGTTTTGTCTCAACTTTTCATTCTCTTGCATTTTCTGACGAACACTTCGTGTAGATAGAAGGCAATTGATGTCAATTTATCATTAAAAAAACAGTCCAAAATATCATTACAGTTTGCTCGATTTACCTCAAGTGTGCATTTTGGCCCTTGCCTTTTGATTTATAATTTTTAATCTTTTTAACCACCCCCCACCCCAAAATACTCCAATAAATCTACAAGGGGTCATTATTCTATGGGGGCCATTTTAGGTCACCTCAACAAAGTTGGGGGGGGGGGGGAGCTTATGTAATACTCTCAGTGTCGGCGTCCCTGGCCGGTTAAAGTTTTTGGAGCAGATTTCTTTTCCCTACATTAATCAGAGATGCATGGAAGATGAAGCATGTTTAATTGTACCAGTCAAGGTTACAGGTGTTGCAATTTTAGCTAAAGAAAGACCCGATTTAAGTTTTTGGAGCAGGTTAAAGTTTTAGGAGCAGGTCTCATTTCCAAGTAAATAAAAGCCCTACTTTGACCAACTTGCATGAATGATACATCTAAGGATGTACACTACCAGGGCTAGCTGAATCTGATATAAATTTTCTGGATGAGTTAACAGATTAAAGTTTTTGGAGCAGGTCTTATTTCTAAGTAAACTATGAGACCTATATTGACCAAACTTGCATGGGTGGTGCATCTAAGGATGCACATTACCAGGCTTGCTTTGGATACCGCATCTGACCTACATTTTCCGGATGAATGACCAGATTAAGGTTTTTTTGAGCAGGTTCATTCTAAAGTAACTATAAGCCCTATGTTGACCAAATTTGCATGGATAATACATGTAAGGACTCACACGACCAGTCTTGTTTTGGATGCTGGATCTGACCTACATTTTTCAGATGAGTGACTAAGTTAAAGTTTTTGGAGCATGTTCATTCTTATTTGTCCTACATGGGCCAAACTGGCATTGATGATACATCTAAGGATACACAATACTGGACTTGGGACTTGCTTTGGATGCTGAATTTAATCTAGATGAGTGACCATGTTAAAGTTTTTGGAGCAGTTTCTTTCTATTAAGTAACTCTATGCTAACCAACTTCGAACTGATAATACATATTAATACATGCTAGCAGAGTTACTTCAGATGCTGGATTTCACCTACATTTTCCAAAAAAGTGACCAGGTTAAAGTTTGGAGCAGGTCCATTCCCAAGCAACTGTATGACCTACCTGGTCCAAACTTGCATGGATGATGCATCTAAGGATGCACACTACAAGATTATTTATAAGTTTTAATAAATTAGGGACTTTGCTTTACTTAAAGACAGCATTTGTTTAGGTGAGCTCTGTAATCTCTGATTACCTTACGTTTCTTCATGTAGGGTATGCAGATTATAAGAGTGATGCCACTTTTTCTACAGGCAAAAAGGTCATTTTTTGACCCCGAATAATGACCAAGGGTCATTTTTCAACATTGAATAATGACCAGGATTCATTTTTCAATAAAATGACTCCTGGTCATTATTCTACAGGGCTCACAACTGAAAAAGTACTACATGATAAATGTCTGAGATGAAAACTTTAAAATGTTGGAAATGAAAAGTTGAAAATTTATAATAAAGAAAAATTTGGAATGAAATGCAGCGACCTGCAAAATATTTTGCTTTTGAGTGACCTTGACATTATATTTTAACCTTGGTAAAAGATTATGGTATGCCATTGAGCCATGAATTTTTGTTTGAATCCATTCCAATCAAGGATCTCAGACTTATTGTCCAGACACTGCTTTGTAAAACAGATAGGTATTCTTGACAAAACCATGGACAATCAAGACAACCAATATTTTTTCTTTCTTGTTTAGGAGGGGGCATAATGATTTTAATGAAGAATCATGGGAAAAAAACAGTGTATCTGCTTCCTGTGTTGTCTTTTTACGATATCCTCCAACAGATTGAAAATAAAAGATTGAAAAAAAAAAAAGATAACTTAAAAAAAAACACTGTTCCATCCAAAACAAGAGGCCCAAGGGCCTAGAATCGCTCTTCTGATATACCCGGATGTAAATTGTACAATCCTATCACTTCTATTCCATTAGCCACTTAGTATCCTAAATACTTGGATAAAGCCTTGAAATTTGAAAAAAAAAGGTCATTGTGACCTACTTTTGAGTCAACATGACATGAGGTCCTAAGATGCATCAACTGACAAGATTTGATGATCCTAGTCTTTACAGTAAGCGAAATATCAAAGATTTAACAAAATATAATTTTAGGTCAACTTTGATGTGACCTTGAGACCACGCCCTTTGCCCCAGGGTGATGCCTTGAACAATTTTAAATCTACAACATATCCTCATCCTTATGTGTAAGTGTAGTGATAATCTGCCCAGTGGTTCTTGAGAAGAAGAAATTTTAGCAACCAGTACTTTTGTTTTAATTTCCCTAATTATCTCCCCTTGATTAAGACACATTCCTAGTTTTAGTACAAATAAAAGCACTTGGGTTAAGTGACAGATTTAAAAATCTTCTCAAGAACAAAGGAGCCAAGATTTCTAATGTTTGTATGGAAGCATCTTTGGGTAGTGTAGATTCAAGTTCGTTCAAATCCAGATTCCTGGGGATAAGATGAGACCACAATGGGCAATCAAAGTGTTACTTCAGAACAATTTATATAGGAAAAAAATCTCAACAACAGCTAAGCCATAATTAGTCATAAGCATTCTCAAGGAGACAAAGTGTAGATTCAAGTTTGTTCAAATCATAACTCTTGGGGGTAGGATGGGTCGATCCACAATATGTGATCAGATTTTAACATAGGAAAAATATCAGGGGGAAAAATCTGCTGCTAAAGAACACCCATAGTGGCCTATGTTTATTAATTCTATTTACATCTGAGGTGAATATTCAAATGGAAATATTACACAAACAACCTGTTAGACTGTACTTTTAAGACAAGTCTAGTGACCTACTACTTCTTGTCATGACCTTTGAGAAAGTTTACACAGAAATATATTTCTTGCTCATGTTTATTTGCAAATTGTAAATATTAATTTTGACCTAAAATCTGTGTTCTTTTCCATTCACAAAAAACCTAACAGACAGACAGACGGACGGACATGAATGCCATAATAAGTCCCATCTTAAGATGGCCATATAAAAAGTTCAAGCACATTTTGGTTCAGATCGTGAAAAAAAAAAGCAACATTCTGTAAGCTCTTTCGATGGAAAGACTGGAGTTGTATTTCTTTTTATGTTAAATGTTTTAAATAAAACAAATTCTAGAAAGCAAATATTTTATTTACAAAGTAATTCATATTAAATTCTTCATTTTTTTTTTATACCATTCTGCTTTACATTTGCAAGTTCTGTGGTTAAAAAAAAAAAATTCATACAGTTCACTATACTCTCATTGAAAAAAATATCTCTGTCTTTCACTCAGAACTTGGAAATAAGTTTTGTGTCATCATACAGAATACTGACAAGCTGGAATTCACTGCTTAGATGATATAATATCTCTTCTGAAGCACATTCTTAACAAACACATTAACTTCAAACATTCATCTTGGCATTGTTAATGTAAAACATGAAAAATGTTCTTAGAAAGATTTAATTTACTCTGATTGAATGAAAAGAAAATATTTCTTCTACAAATAAACAATATAGGATATGCTATTAATTTTGTTAATAATTACAAAGCATTTAATATATGTTGCAGGATATAAAAAGTAACTTTCAATTGGCAAAATGAAAGCATGAGTGTCTTGAACTTATTATTTGAAGTACTCTGGTAAAATAATGAATATCTTATTTTTATAAAGATACAAGGAAATATCACATATACAAATAGCACAATTTATTAATCACCAATATTTTTCACACATCAAACAAGAGGCTAATTCTTAAATCAGAAGTCTCTGACGAGACTGTAGCTCTACTGCTTTGTACTTATAACAAAGCAAGAGAAAAGTAGCACTTGGACTTGTAACTTTGCAACAGCAATAAATAGAATAATAATCCTTGCTTTAGTCTCTTTTTGTGGCAAGATTTAATTCAATCAGACTCAACTGTAGGAGGAAAGCCTTTTAAAAGAATTTTACAGAAATTTCTATTTTTAGTTATCATGGCAACATCATTCATCAAAATTAAAAAAAAAATGAGAGAGACAATTAAGTACCTTAGTGTAGTCTACTTGTGTGTCAAGTTGTATTGAAATCAGACCAAAATTGAGGAGGAGTAGGGTTTTGAAAGTATTTCACAGAAATTTCCATTTTTAGTAACCATGGCAACACCATTCGTCAAAATCAAATACTGATAAATAGAATTATGTATCTTAGTTTAATCTACTTGTGTTCCAAATTATATTGAAATCAGACCAAAACTGTGGGAGGAGTAGTGTTTTGAAAAATTGTTTAAAGACAGACAGATGGACAGCAAGACAGATGGATGGACTACAGACATGCACCTTACTATCGCATAAGCTATTCTGGTTTCTGACCAGTAGAGCTAAAAATGGCCTTATGGGATAAATTGCAGCTTTAAAAATATAGCATTATAGCATAATTTAGACAATGCTTATGGTATGCCTTCACTGTCTTCATTTCAACTTAAGGTATTCAATATAACGACTATATTTTGTACCTAATAAATGAATGGTCCGATATTTTTAATCATGGTAGCATTTTGAAGGTGTTATAAAATTAAAATACTCCACCAAAGGAATTTACAAAATTTTGATTATTATCAAATAAATTTCACCTTAAATTTTACATTGAAGTCTATGGGCAGTGCAGGTTATATTAAGATATTGTAAATAGTAATTTGAATTTCATAAAGATCTCTTGGTGAAAATATGCATAAACTCTCTCTTTATTAAAATATGAAATAAAATAAATCATTTACCGCAAATATTTTGACAAAATGAAAATTTTCTTTTTTTTTGGTCAAGGGCAGATAACTCTTTAAAAACTTTTAAGGTGCAAAATGACCTGCTTCTTTCATGTTATCAGCCATAAAAATTTGGTTCATTTCCCTTTCATTATTATCTAGCAATGCATTTTTAACTAGTTTAAAATAATTAAACATTGTTCAGAATCCATTCATTATACATTGAATACCTTAATTTTTAAAAGTAGAACAATCCCTAATGGTGTAGTTGAAAAATAAAAATATTGCAATCTCATACATAAAATTATATATACTTCAAAAAATATTTTGTATACCCCCCAATTCTGACTGTAATCAAAATTTTAATTCTTATTACATTGCATTTCTACAGGCATTCAGAATAAAATAATAAATATTTTAAACAGATAAAAAAAAAAGGTTGTGTTAATTAATAATCTCTTTTCTATAGCATGTCTTCCCTATTCTCAATGTTTATCACACTCACAGCTTTATACTGAATGTTGGCCACTGAAAGAATTTGTAGAAATATAATTCTTCCTCTATAAACAATGTCAACTAGATAACAAATATAGAGCAAAAACATGCCCATATGACTAGTCATATTAATGTAAAAATAGACAATTACAAAAATATTCATCACACTAAACACAGATGCAAGAAGCTTCCTCCTTTCTACAATGGGCTGTTATGTTTCTTTTTGCATGGGTTTTCTTGTATCATCTTTATTATGATCAAAATCAGTTGGAAGACAGTTCTAACAAGTGTTAAAGTTAATAACTTTTTTCAACATTTGAGTGGCAATTAAGTTACCTCACATCTTCATATAATAAAGATAATTACTTATGTTATTTACATAACAGACATGACAGAAAAAATATTGTACATAGAAAAAATTTTTTGAAGGAGTTGTACCCTGTAAAACTTATAGATCATAGAGATTAATAGATTATCAATGTGTTTTGAAAGTTAATATAAAAAATTTGTTAATGGATAACATTCAAAAAGCACTAAATTTGACAAGTACGGCACCATATCATACATTGTATGCTATAATGAACACAACTCACTGTGATACTTGAGAGACATCTACCCTAACATGCATGGAACAAAAATTAATGGAATGTAGACCAAATGAACTCTCGCTCTCATAATTCTAAAGCTTTGAAATCAAATGTGCAACAGAATGCATACTTAGACTACAATGTTCTAAGAGTCTTGAAAGCAAGCAATACACAGCAATTTTAATTAAAATTAAGAGTAATTTCAAAAACTCACTATTTGATACAGCTATAAATATGCATAGGACGCATCTTTATGGAAAATCAGTACATCAATATTTGAAATTATGATATATGGCTATGCTTAACTTACCATATTTTCCCTGTTAAGTGTCAAAATTTGTACAAGGGGGCAGTTATTTGTTATTCATAATGCCACCTTTTCTGTGAAATTTTTTGCACTCTAGCCCTATTAAAAAGTTTCTGACAAAATGTTCCAGATTATGTCAATCTGACTTCCACCTTTCCTACGAACCGATGACATAGCCAATTTCATCCGGCTTTATAATTTTCTATTGGTTTTAAAGATACGTCTCCTGGATTTGGACAATCTGATCAAGTAATAAAAGGAGGCCCTTATTCTCTGACATTCAGAATATACCTCATGGGGTGCTTATAGGGACACAGGTGCTTAATAGGGAAAATATGATATTTTTTTCATAGGACTTCTATGCACAAAACAAAATATTTCCCAAAAGAGATTTAAAATGGTTCAATAAACTTGAGTCACGTTTTTAAAAACATCCAACAAACTATGATTAACAGGTTTTTACACTCATATTGACAGTAAATATTGATACAATTGGTTTGACAATATAAATGCTGTAAATTCAAGATAATAGATGAACCAATCTTAGAAATTTATCACTTAGATGGAATCTCTCTTGTTTTTAGAGTGGTTTTCTTGTAGTACACTGAACTATATGACCAATGAAAATTCAATTCTGCTTGCAAATAACATTAAACACAGATTTTCCAGAAATGTTTATCAAACATAAGTACTTCTTTGCATTGATGAATTTTTAGAAAATTGAGCAAGTAAGAGATTCTTGTCTTCATCATCATATGATTTATTCTATTGAAAATATCCTCCCAAAGTATTGTGAAAAAATGTTTTTAAATCATTGCTATAAAATTTGACTTATATAACAAGTAAATATGAGGATTCAGAAGTGTAGTACATATATTTCAACTCATATGCATATAGGCATTCATATTTTATGAACAAATCTCTTTACAGAAAACAGAATATATTGCAACCAAAACAATGATTATTTAACACATCTGTCCAATAAAATGTCTGGTAATAAATTGAACATATGGATTAATGTAATACTGTAAAACTATTTTCTCAAATCATATATGTATAATATACCTTTCCTTACATGATTACATATAAAGGATTTATTAGATTGCATTTATAATTGCTGCACAGTATCATTCAAACACACAGCTGATTCTCTAAGAAAAACAAATGGTTAAAGATTCCCCTCATCCATCATCTTATGCATATCAGCAGTTATTGAGTCCATCTCCTTCTTATGAGGCCCTGAGGGATTAAACAAAGCATCCATTAATTCGTCTTTTGTGAAGAAGTTAAACACTGTATCCACACGACCTTTAGATTTGTCCGTGAGGTGTCGTTGTATGAGACTTTGTAGAAGTTGTCGGCATTCTTCAATGCTGGATTTCAGGAATGGTTTCTCATAGGTAAAATCCACTTCATGAAAGCTAACAACAGTCATGGAAAGAGAGTGAAACTTGCTTTTGAAGGATTCTGCAACCTGCAGTTCATCAGCATTGAACTGATCATTTCTGTAGAGGATGCCGACCTTGATGATGGTTTTAATGATGTACTTTAGCAACTTTTCTGCTTGTTTCTTGTCACCAGTAAAGTCTTTCATTATCCTATAAGCATTGTCTAAAACTTGACTTGTAGTATCATCAACAAATTGTTTGACAATCTTTTTGCTAGACATCTTTCCTAAAAGCTTCTTCTGGGCCCTCAGCCCAAAGCCTTTAGCATCAAACCCAGCTCCGGGTTCTGCCACTGCAAAAGATTAAAAAAATGTGTGTATTTAGGTGTATAACTCTGTAAATGCACATCATCCATTCCCATCCTCACTTTATAGTAAACTGTTGAATGAATTCACTAACATAAAATTCAAGTTCAAGGTCATAGAGAAGGTAAGGTCAGAAAATTATGACACAGTTGAATTGCTTTCAGAAATTGCTACTAATGAACTTTTTAAAATTAATTTTCAAAACCCATTGAAGACTGAATAGATCATGTTTAAGTACAACTGCACATTGACAGCACAACGGCCTTGTAGAAATATGTCCAGACATGAAAGCCTGTCTAAGGTTTAATTTTCAATGCAGCATGAAAATAATCGTACCTTATGTTTCTTCAGCCTGAGCCAATCATATAATATGATAAAAGAAGAAATACAATTTTTATATACCCTGTAATATATATATATATATATATTTTCACAATGAGAACTAATACTTATAACTACACTTGCAGTCTTTTGTGGTTATGTAGTTTTGATTCATTCCATCAAACTAACAGCCTAATGAACTCGAATAATTTTAAGTACTTTCTCTAATTTATGCAACATGGGTTTGATAGAAAGGGAAGGTTATTAATATATTTTTTACTAAGCAGAAAAATGCAACATATAAAAACAAAGAGTTTAAAAACAAGAGGCCCAAGGGCCTAAAATTGTTCTTCTGATAAATTGTATGACCCTATAACTTCCATTCTTAGACTTTTAGTATCCTATTTATTTATATAAAGCCTTGAAATTGAATGTCGATCCTCCCCCTGTACACCTCCATTCTTTGCCCAAAATCAACATATACCATGTAAATTTTATGCTTTGGACTGGGACTTTACATAAACATAGGTAATCAGAGATTACAGAGCTCACCTCGACAATTGTTGTCTGTAAGTAAGGCAAAGTCCCACATTAAACTTCTAATCTAGTGGTGTACATCCCAAGATGCAACATTTATGCAATTTTGATCTGATAGGGCTTGCAGTTAAGACCGCGGAATATTAACTGGCAAAATTGGAAATATGCAGCTTACGTCATCTCCATCTGTTACAGTCAAAATGTTTAATGATAGACAATGAAATGGGTGGGTACAATTCGACACGGACGTCCGAGAAAACATTGGATTGAAATTCTAGTTTGAAATTCATTTTCAATCCACCTGAGCTGTTTTCAAACCTAAATTGTGAATGTATGATCCAAAAGACAAATAATTTCAATTCTCCAATACATGTTGTTTGAAATTCATATTTATATGAGTATTTTAGCCTATAATTTTAAGGGCACGTAAAAGTAATATAGAAGACAGATTATTTTTTTCAGGGGACAGCCATTTGATTCTAGAAAGGGGGGGGGGGGGGGTGTCAAAAATTGTTGAGTCAGATCATGCCTTCACATTACAGAATATATTTTATTTCTAGGATGAAAAATGTTTGACAAATAAAAGCAGGGAGGGGTTGTCCAAACTAAAAGAAAACTTTCAATGACATATTTATTTCCAAGATCTTCATCCCCCCTCCCAGCACATACATACACATACCAAACAAATATTTGTTCCTTTATATTTCTTTAAAACACTGGACAGAAAATTCTGATTTAAATAAATTTCAAACTATTCGATTCCAAAATTGAAATTATTTGTCTTCTGGGTCAATCAGTAATACATGTATGTGCGTTCTAGCATAGCTGAGGTGGATTGAAAATGAATTTCAAACTAGAATTTCAATCCAATGTTTTCTCGGACGTCCGTGTTGAATTGTACCGCCCATTTCATTGTCTATCATTAAATGTTTTGACTGTAACAGATGAAAATGACGTAAGCTCCATGTTTCCAATTTTGCCAGTTAATGTTCCGCAGTATAACTTGGGAATAGACTTATCTAAAAACTTCTAACTAGTCACTCATCCAGCTTCTGAAGCAAGTTTGAGAGTGTTCATCCCTTGATGCATCATCCATGCAAGTTTGGTTCAGATAGGCTTATACGGTAGTTTCTTGGTAATAAACTTGCACCCAAAACATTAATCTGGTCCATCATCTGGAAAATGTATGTCAGATCCAGCAAGTGAAGCAAGCCTGGTATAAGTGTGCATCCTTAAATGTACATCATCAATGCAAGTTTGATCAACATAGGCCCTACAGTTACTTTAGAATGAACATGCTCCAAAAACATTAACCTGTTCACTCATCTGGAAAATACAGGTCAGATCCAGCATCCGAAACAAGCCTGGTAGTGTGCATCCATAGATGTATCATCCATGCAAGTTTGGTCAACATAGGCCTTATAGTTACTTTAGAATGAACATGCTCCAAAAACTTTAACCTGTTCACTCATCAAGAAATTATAGGTCAGATCCAGCATCTGAAGCAAGCCTGGTAGTGTGCATCCATAGATGTATCATCCATGCATGTTTGGTCAAAATAGAGCTTAGAGTTATTTGGAAATGAGACCTGCTCCAAAAACTAACCTGCACCAAAAACTTAAAACCTACACCAAAAACATTAACCTGGCCATTCCTTAGCTGAAATAATGCACTTTCACTACTGTACAGCAGGTTAAAATCGCGGTCGGAAAAGATCGCGATTTGTTCAACTTGCAGCAAATCGCGGTCGTTTGAATTCGCGGAAAGGAAAAATTATACAAAAAAAAAAACTTTCCACACTGAAAGTATTTTCCTTGCGTATTGTGTCGATTCTGAACCCGATTAAATAGAACGAAACACCGGACTGATCCCGATTAGAAGACAAAATGTTGTACAATTTACAATATTATGCATTCAGATAAATTTTCTTTCTTTCTTTCAATTAAATATTTTTGAAATACATATGAATCTATACTCGAGTGATTTTATTCAAGTGATTTCAAGTCGTATCCAATACAAGGCCCTTTGGCAGGTGTTCGTTCATAGGTATGTTTTGAGTAGAGTACAGAGTAGTATTTACTGCAGTATATTTAAATCTCCCTGAATCTAAATAAGTTGTCAGTACCGGTAATCAAAATGTTGAACTGTTAATAACATTGAATTAACGTGTAACAGTGTTGTCTTTACTACGTAAGTGCCTTGATTAAAGATAATAGGACTGAGTGATACGCACGGGTGAAATCTAACAATAGGCCTACATGTTCTACAGATAATTACATCGCACCTCTACTGGGTGGCAGAATTAAATGTTAGTTATAGATGTTTATTTATCAATTAAGATTTTTAAGAAACCAACTCAGTACGTCTTAGTAAATCAATTGATCCGTACACCTGCATAATTAGGAAGACAGTCTACATTTCCGCTATATTAATTACTGCTTTTATGTTTGCAAGGAAAAACAAATAGAGTTAACGAATCTAATCACAGATATCGGTATACTTCAATTTATCCTTATCAATTTTTGGAGCATTATTCACTGTATGTTGAATTCACGGAATTTTTATTTCCGCGAATATAGCGAATATTAACTCCGCGAGTTAATTTTAATTTCCTGCTGTACAGTATATGATCTATAGAGCCCCACCCTGGCACCAGAATCCCTGACTCTGGGACCATGAATTTCACAATTTTGGTAGAGGGCTCAATCAATTATTACAATCATGCCAACAGTCTGAGTGCTTGATGTGCAGGAATATGAAGAAGATTTTTAAAGATTGCATTAATTTTAGTGGTTTTAGCCCCAGCCCTCTGGCCCCATAGAGTCAGGGACAATGAAATTCACAAATTTTTGTTCCCCTTTACCCATAGATGCTATATGCCAAAATTGGTTGAAACCAGTTTAGCGGTTCCAGAGAAGAAGTTGAAAACATTCAAATTTTAAGGCAAGATGGACAACAAATGAGGACAGAAAAAACGGATAGCAATATTTCACCTGAGTGGTTCAGAAAAAAGAAAATAGGATATCATTTTTAAGAAGTTTAATGACCTTTTTTTCTTTCAAAATTGCAAAGATTTCTCGCACACAATGCATCAAAGTGTAATTCTGTCTAGCAGATACACTACACTATGTTCAAGTGGTTTATACTTAATGAGAGGCCTCCACATTGTGTGAACACTGCAGATGGACACTGTAAGATGCTTAAAAGTAAACACAACCTTGTCATTATAAGGAAAGTGGTTAACAATTTCTATGTGATTGTATAAACAATTAAGTTTCACCAATGTGTGGAAAAATACTCCCCTTGTCAATGAGCTGGGAAATTTTCCATCCTTGAAAATCTGCCCATTACACATCAATTCCTGAGTGTTTGAACTGATATTGTAATATAAGGATCATGCATCAAAATACATCAAGCAATCTGGTTGCATACTCACCCTCTCCCCCACCCCATGTTTCCATGGAATAAATACAGATGTCTAATGTGGAATTAAAAGCCAAATATTGAAGCATCTACATTTTTATAGACATTAAAATCTCTACACAGTACATAAGTACATTTATTACTGATGAGAAATCATGAGTATATATATACAGTTGAACTTCGGTAGCTCGAACACGGATATTTCAAATACCATGGATATGTCGAAGTGATTAGGAACACCTAACCACGTATTTCTTAAGTATTTAACCCTCAATATCTCAAACCCTGGGATTTCTCGAAGTTTTTTCTCAGTCAAATCGAGTTCGAGATAACGAGGATTGACTGTATACCTAAATTGTATTGTGTTGTTAAACTGTGAAAAACTAAAAACATTCTATTAGATATTCTTCATACTCCAATTCAAACTCTGGCATGCACCATACATGTTAACTACATCAAAAAGTGCATTAATAATCCCAATGCTTAGTATTTAATGTTCTGAAATACTGTGAATCCATGTAATTATTGGTGATCTAGCTTAGTTATAGTTTTAAACCTGAAAGTCAGTTTAAATTTCAGGGGGAGAAAGGGGGGGGGGGGGGGCAGATAGACAGCCACTAGACAATGCATGGGTATCAGAAAACCTTACAAGAGATTATAGCTCAGGTAATCAGGTACCACAAGCTAGAACAGTTGTTTCCTTTTTATTCAAAATCCTCACAAAAGTAACTAAACCTATAAAGAATACCAAGACAATTAATGAATTATAGCCTGAGCTATCATGGTGCTAGTTCTGGCAGATTATTCTTCTACAGATTATTTCACAAAAAATCGCATTAAAAAACAGACAAATTGTACGACTTTACGAGAAAATGGTATGCTTTGGAAAAAAAATATTTTGGTTGCAAAAGAATACTAAAGCATGTAAAGACTCAAACTATGACAAGGTCATAGCTCAAAAATATTGATCCCCAAAGAAAAGCTTTGTTACAAGGAATTCACTTGTGAAATATGAAAGCCCTAGCACAGCACATTAATAACGATTCTCTGTAACCACTTAAACTTCTTTGCCACGCATGGTCACCGATTTTGATGAAACTTTGCCCATTATTACAACTTGACACCAGAAACATATATCAAACAAAATTTCGTTGCTATGTGTCTTGGTTGCCATGGTAACAGCCAGAAAAGTTGAAAAAATTGAGATTTTCAGCTACTTTGAATCTTTATTTAAAGCCTTAATAAAGACTAAGAAAAACAAACAAACCATTCTCACAAAAACATGACACCTTGTTGCCACTTATGCTATAAAGAAACTATTTAGAATTTATCTCTAAGTAAGTGGTAACCATGGGTACATTTGGAATACATTTTAGATGCTGATAAATGCTCAATATTCACAAATGATAGATGTTACACGATCAAACTCAATCAACAACTTAAGAAAAACAATACAAAATATTTGACCTTAAGTAATCAGGTATTGGCAATATTATTCTAAAAATAACTTTCATGGTTGCCATGGTAACACAGTGATACCATGCAAAATCTGTCGCTATTATTGGGTTAATGCTACTATCTTGAGGAAAAACAAGAAAATTCATGACTGGCACATATACATCCTTAGGACCTTGCAACACCAACAGCATAAGAAAAATTGGGATTAATTGTTTTTCTGCAGTGTAACCATGGAAACAACGTACTAGTTGTTTAAAGTGATATATTTTTTGCTGCTTTAGAAATTTACTTACCTTTTAATCAAGAAACATATTATTTGACTAACCTTGAATAGTACTTATCTGGTAGAACTAAAGTTGAATATCATATATTGATAAAGTTTGTTGAAAAATACAACACTGTTGCTATGGTTACCAAGAAGTGAAAATGTTCGATTTTGTTAATTTTATATCAATATTAAACCCTATGTGCCAGCTTTTTGCATCCAGTTAGAGATTGGGTTGTAATCAAAATTGAAAGTCAGGTTAGTTATTCATAAATATCAATCATAAAATTTTTGGGAATCTACATACAAGGGTACGTATCCAAGGAAATATAATATTTTTCACATTTTTAAGCATATTTTTTCGGCTAATTTCCATAGCAAAGCTCTATTTAAAGAATTAAATTTGAAATTTTTGAAATGTGAAAATTAGGGTCACACAAACGCCTTTAAAAATTGATCATTAGTTATATAGAAATATGTTTTTTAAAAAGATAGGATAAGATTGAAACACTAAGAGAAGAAATTCAAAATCCCTTCGTGGTATTAAAACCATGGCAACCATTGCCAACCCATAAGAAATATCATAATTCGTCCTTGGCATATGTTTCAAGGATCTTTTGTCTATTATTTGCTTGCTTTTCAACCTATAATTTTTTTTATTTTTAAGTGTATGACTTTTTAAAATCAAATGAACAAAATTATTACTTTTGAATACTTTGTTTCCATAGTAACATATATAATAGTTGGTTTACCAATTATGTTTATCAAATATTTAAGACACCAAACCTTCAACTTTCAGAAACAGTCATTACCACTTGTTTGCTTTGCCGCAAACGTTAATTGTGGGACTCTGAACATGTTGAAAAATACCATTTTTCAAACTTTAGGACGTGTTGCTATGGAAACCATGACACGTAGCAACCAATTTTTGCCTGATTTGAGTTTAAGGTATCAAAGACTTTCATCGTAGAGAGTTTGGAGAAATTCTGAGACTATGCGTGCCACAGCTCCTATATAAAAGTTCAAGTCATTACAGAGAATGGCTCTTAACATTCAGAAACTATACCTGATTAAAAGTTTTTAACAAGTATGTCATACTCCAAGGTCAAAGTCATGTGGCCAAACTATTAGTACTAAAGAAAAGCTCTTGTAACATGGAATACATAAGTGAAACACGAAAGCCCTATTCAGAAGTTATGGCCAAGGTTAAAGTTTTCAAAAGTAGGTCAAACTCCATGGTCAAAGTCAAAAGTTAAAAAAGGTTCATACAAAAGAAAGGTCTGGTCACATGGAATACATATGTGTATTCATATAAAAGCCCTTGCACCAACCATTCAGAAGTTATGGCCAAGACTAAATTTAGTTCGGTAAAGGTCAGAATCAAGAGGTCAACTGTATTGGTACACAAAGAAAGGTCTTGTCACAAGAAATACACATGTGAAATATGAAAGCCCTAGCACCAACCATTCAAAAGTTATGGGCAAGTTTAAATAGACAAACAGACAGACCAGAAACTAAATGCCCCAGAATAAAACTCAAAGGAAATATTTTCAACAATTTACAAAAACACTTACCATTTATAAAAATATTACACTTTAATAATTTAATCAAAGTTAATGTCCCTGCTTCTGAATGAACCCCTAGAGCACCTCATCCCACTCCTCCCTGTAATTTTTTTATTTAAAAAGAAAGGCTGCCCCCTCCTGACAGTATCTCATAATTCCACAAGATCTCAGCATATAGAAAAGATATGTGAATACAATTGAAAAAAAAACCTTTCCCACAGTTTAATGTGCATGTGTAAACCCCTCATTCGGATACATCAAAGTGCATTGTTTTTGGTCATAAATATATATTACACTTGGAAAACGACACTTTAATTTTGTCCCTACATCACTTTAATCCAATAAATAACAAACCACTACTGGTCTGCTAAGGACAATAAAGGAACGGATCAAAGCTAATTTAAGAGACACAAATCTCTGTGTACTATAACTTACTCATTTTTATCACTAAGGTCTGAAAAACTTTCAAACTCATTCACTTTCAATATTAGTCCTTGATTATAATACTGCACATCTATATAATGTTACAGTAACTGTATACATGTATATATAAGTTATCAGGAATAGTTACGTATGTTTTCTTCAGTAAATATGAGCAATTATTGACATATTTATAATATTTATAGATGTTTAGTGCCATTACTCTAGTTGACTGGTGAATTACAGTAGATTAATGGATATATTTACACACACTTATTGGAATCTCTGTGGTATATTTGGTATATGTTCGTCATACAATCAACCATACATGGGTAAACACATTCTCATACTATTATATACTAAGTACACAAAAATGAAGTGTGCCTATGTTTTTTTTTTTATATATACGGTATTTTCAGATTAACACATTATCATATATACATATATATATACACACTAAACAATATGTATGCGAGCATGCAAACATACTGATGTCAGACTCGGAATTTCCTGTGCGATCATCTTCTCCACCAGACACTGTGATTACATAACCAGATAAGAAATTATGTCATTATTCATATATCACATTGTTATTAAAAGTATGAAAGAACATAAGAATTATTAATAAACATGTATTACATATTTAATAAGCATACATGTAGAATAAAAGCATTAATTAAAATCACAACAAATGTTGTAGAGTTTTATCATGGATCATGATCCTGTGGCAAAAGTTATAGGAAGGTCAGAACTAATTCCTAAAAACATTAAATTCTTTTATAAAAGAAAAATTAAAAAAAAAAAAAAAACATTGGTGAAGTTAGTTTGAGTATTTGACCTAGAATTACTTGAAAACAGAGCATGTTTGAACCCTGCTAGCTTGCAGCTATGCTATATGTCATTGGTGACTACGAAACTGAACAGAATGTAAAATGTGCTGATAATCTTTGGAATTCATTCATAGTACGTCTCTTAGATACTGTAAACCAAGTTTTATTCGTGTGTGAGAAATATCAAGGAGTTTAGCGATCTACTTTAACTCATGAATTCCCGTGAACCATTTATTTTGCTTTGTATCTGTAAAGAATACGTTTCCTCAATCACGAAAATTAATCATCCCAGAATGATTTCAATCTGACGAATCACAATTAAAAAATGATGCAAATAATTGTTGGTTTACAGTAATCTTTAGTCTGCAAATAAATTCAGATGAAAAGTTTTTCAAAAAGCCTACAGTATATACTCACCTATAAGTTGGTTTTTTGGGAGTTAAATTTTGGTCCAAAACTCTATGTCCGACTTATAGGCGAGTCATAAAAAGATTAGTATTTTTCTGGACAACGAAATGTAGTATTCTATAAACATTTCCAAGGATTATTGTTGAACAAAGTCTGGATATATTATATCATTTATGTATTCTAAGATTATACATAAAGTACAAGTATTTACATATTTTAATAACTTTATTTTTATCTAAAGTGTGCATTTAGTGTTTTTCTTAATGATTTAAAATTAAATATCGGCGTAATTTCTAAAAATATTAATCGAAACCAGCTAGGTTAAAACATTAGAGCATTCATTTGAAATTGTCAACTAAAGCTGGCAATAAGTTGCACTGACTTATAAGTAGGCCAATGGCAAATTCCTCCAAATAACCTCAAAAACTACAACCGACTTATAGGCGGACCGACTTACAGGCGAGTATATACGGTACATTCCAACCATGATTTCTTAAGGAAACAAACTATGTCTTTTTTTTTTATGTCTGGCCTAATAAATCATATAAATTTTTCAAATTTTATTATTACTCTTAATTTTACTCATTATTATCATGTTTCAGTTTCAAATATTTTGCTCAGTTGATTTCATCTCCTCACTGTCCATGTAACAAGTATAGAACTCTGCACATATCATAGCAGACTAACAGTATTGTAAGGCCTGATGAATAAGAAATGTACACATAAAAAATTACAATACTGATAGACTGCTCAGTGACTGTCTCAATTTCCATAATAATTTTTCTTATTGTACGAGTTTTAATCATTTTTTCTCATATTTACAGTGTTCTCTGTGAAACATTATTGACTGGCTGCATTTACTACCAATTCTCCTACCCGCAGGTTCCCCGAGTGCACATACTATCATGACTGATGGCTGATCAGCAGGTGTGTACACCAATTGACACCTGTGGCTTTAACCATTAAAATAACACTTAATTACTTCTGGTTACTTTCAGCCAGCAGCATTATCAATCCCATTCCACAGTATTTGATGTTCTACTCAGGGAAAATTTTAGAGAGCTTTTTGAAAATCTAATAAATCTTCCTTGCATTATTAGGGGTCTTGCTGTGTGCTTAACCTTGTAACATGTTTCTATGAACTGAAACTAGCTAATAAAGTAATAAGTGAAGATAAAAGCAAGTCTGCATTATGTTTCTTGTGTCAAAAATACCACAAAAATAAAATGAAATATACAACTTTGATTAAAAATATGATAAACAGCAAAGGTTTAATGGTGAATTCATCAACTTTACATTTGAGTCAATGAATTTAATCAATTTATAACAAGAGGCCCATAGGCCACATCACTCACCTGAGCACATCATTTTTCAATAACTGCCTATATTCCTTTGGATCAAAGTAATGTTTAGATTCTGTTTGGAATAATTTTTTTAAAGTGATTGAGAAAATTTGACATTTTACATTCACAAGGAAATATTAATCCAAACTTTGAATTAGGAATAAATCAGCCGTTACTATTTGTAAATGCTTTTGATATACTGAATCAGATTTATTTTCAGATTGTTCAGAATAGTAGGCTAATATACAACACAGTACATATAGGACTAATACAGAATGGAAAATAGCTCCACCTACTGTAGTCCCATAAAATACATTTTTTATCTAGCTTAAAGGATATTTTGTTAATTTTTATCTTTAATCTTATGGAAAAATACTATTCACAAATACTCTTATACATTTATACAGACACTTCCTGAAGAGCTCGATCACATCTTACTAGATAGTGCTAACGGACCAAAAATGGATAGAATTTTTTCAATCTGTTCGTGCCCGTTCGAATACATTTCTTTTCTGTTTCTTATGGTCCAGAAATGGATAAAATGGACATCTTTCTCAAGGCCTTAAGAATTATGTTCTAAATCTGTTTTGTCAGTTTCTCATTTATTCGTTACTGAACAAGAAGTCTGTGAGCCAATGCTCACTAATAATACCCCGCTTTGATGTGAATGTACACAAGTTCAGTTATGGACAGACACAAGGATGAAGAAGAAGTTGACATCGGATTCATACAGAAATGTATCCCATCCTATTGCAGGCCTAAACAAAGAGTGTCCTAAAATTTCAAGCATCTGCATTCAGTAGTTGCTGAGAAAACTGCGACCAAAATTTGTTCTGTATGGTACGGACAGATGCACAGATAAACAGAAAGTTGACATCAGATTTGTACAAAAAAGGAATCCCACCATATGGCATGCCAAACAAAGAGTGTGCTAAAATTTCAAGAATCTGCAATCAGTAGTTGCTGAGAAAACCGTGACCAAAATTTGTTATGTATGGTACGGACAGATGCACAGATAAACAGGAAGTTGACATCGGATTCGTACAAAAATTAACATGGCATGCCTAAACAAAGGATGTGCTAAAATTTCAAGCATCTGCAATCAGTAGTTGCTAAGATAACTGCGACCAAAATTTGCTATGTATGGTATGGACAGACGCATGGATAAACAGGAAGTTGACATCGGATTCCTACAAAAATGAATCCCACCATATGGCATGCCTCAACAAAGTGTGTGCTAAAATTTCAAGCATCTGGGATGAGTAGTTGCTGAGAAAACTGTGACGAAAAATTTGTCATGGACAGACAGACAGCTAGACACATAGACAGACGGACAGACAGACACACAAGGGTAAAAAGTATAACCCCCTCTACTTCGGAGTGGGGGTATAAAACGTGAAGTCTGTTAGTTGACTGTTGCTTGTATGCTACATGTCTATTTATTAAATGTACATTTTTTAATATATGTTTTATATGCTTCATGCATTGATTGCAAGAGCCTTGAAAAGAGTAGAGGGACCACTTTCATCAATGTATTACAAAAGAATTGTGTTCTGTCATCCTTTAATCATCCGCTAATGCTATTCGGCAAGGTGTGATCGAACCAGAATGTTTATTAACAAAGAAAGCCACCTTCAGATACATCCAAATTAAAAAGAGACAGAATAGAATTTGTTAAATTTTAAAGTACCTTGCTACTTAATTTGAATCAATATAGAATAAACATTTACAAAACAAAATTTCTAATGACATTTATCCACATTTCAACATTCAATGAAAATGACTGATTATATTTTCTGAACCCAAACATGTTAATTAATTTGTTTATTTCATCATGATTATTCTGGTAGTCACACGTTTTCCCAATTTCCTTCATTATGACAAAGTAATTAAAACCATATATTAACAAAAAATATTTCTACATTATTAAGAATTCTGAGTTTTGTATAAAATCCTGTATTTTACTCACTTGTGATTTGATCCGAGATCACTTGAGTTTACATCCACCGATGAAGTCAATCAGCAACTGGTAGGCAACATCTGTAGTAAAACAAAGTCTGAAATTTAATCATCTAAAAAAAATAAAGATGGGATAACTTTCCTCCTTCGATTATGTACAGCAAAAGTGGCATTGAAAAAAAACAAAACAAACAATTTTCTACAGTCAATAATAATTTGAAGGTTCAAACTCTCCCTGGTCAAATGAATCATCCACTTCACAGGTACTTATTACATGTATACTTGAAATTTGTCTGAGATTTTAAATTCTAATATTAATGTCAAATGATTCCTTATAGTGGCCCTGAAAATGCTACCAGCACTTCACAAGTCTTGAATAAGTTCAGTTGCCAGAAAAGTTGGCATAAACAGTTCTGATGTCTGAAACATTGTTTCTCTCATTCTTCTAATCTGAATCATTTGTGTGCATGATAGCTTAAATAAATGCCTGTGTTAAGTTCAAATGAACCAGAGGCCAGAGCCAATATAGCAGATAAAATCAAGCCATTATGGTCAACTTTTACAGATCAATATGTGTTCTAACAACAACACTGTGGCATAAAGAGTCACGAATTTATCTCTTGATAGTTTACAACAGCTGTGGAATTCAAACTAATGGGAAAGGTGAAGGTAAAGTACACAAGAGGCAGTCCAAGAACAGGTTTTTTTTACTACATTCAACTTTCACTTCTTATGCCTAGAAGGACTTTTAAATGAGATAAAACAGTTTAACAAAATGATTTTTTTTTAATAAAATGCCTCTGGTCTTACGTCAAATTTCTACAATGGTAAACTTTTTAATTGACTTTTAACTTTTGTGAATGACAATCTTTGACTGTGACACAATATGAGATCTCTATCTGACAAATTTTAATATTTATGACAAAGGTCAGAGTTAGACGATTATATGAATTTGTATTGTTTCAATGGACTTTTGAACTTGATTAATGTTCGTCATCTCCATATTTCATTACATTAACACATACTTAAAGTAAATTCTCAATAATCTGCATTTCTCACAAAAGACTGAAATTATTTGTATAAGCAATAACATACACACATGTACAGAAATCAAAAATGGTCATTTCTTCATATTATAGCATTTTTTTTATAAGAGTGGGTCTTTGCTCCTTTTTTTTTTTTTGGAAAGTTTATCATAAAAGTATGCATGAAAAGTATACACTTTTTGATTAACAAAAACATGGAACAAAGACCCAATATACCATTAAAATAAACTTTCATCACAATATTTGCATCTTTTTGAGAAATATTTGACTTGAGGTCCATTTAGTCAAGGTTCATATCATACCTCAGTTATGTACCAGTTGTTTACGTTGTGACCTGTACTAGAAGAGTCAAGTTTACAGTAAAAAAAAATTGCATTGAAAAGTGTTCCTTGTATAGATAAAAAGTGCAATGTAATAAACTTTTTAAATGAAAAAGATTTGCAAATATTTGAAGCAAAAAAAAAAAAAAAAAAGAAACAAACAAACAAAACAAAACAAAACAGTAAAATGATGTTTAATAAAACCCAGTTTATGGTTACAACTTTGTATAATGAATTGTCAATTTGTGGTACAACTTATAAAATGTATATGACTGTCCAGAAGAAACCCTGTCAAAGCAGGAATTTTTTTTTTTTATTGATTGATTTTCAAGACTTTTTCCAAAACATTGGGTTGGTAGGTCAGTAAATAAAAAAATAATAAAGAGTGCAATGCATTTAATTCATACCCCCCCCCCCAAAAAAAAAAAACATGAATGAACAAACAAACATTCTATTTTTCAACAATCTCCAAACTAATTTATATTCATTTTGTTGTTTGTTATGAAGTATCATTATTTGGGTAATTGGGTTTTCTACATAGAATCCAAATTAATTTCTTAAGTGTTAAAAAATTGCACATCACTTGTATTTTGGTAGTCAAGGCTCCATCCCCCCCCCCCCCCCTCCTCCCCCAAGAAGTTCTGGATCCACCACTGTATTGCTTGGATTTGAACCTCAAGAATACCACAATTTTATTTTTAAATCACAGGATAATTTTTGCTGAGAGAATTGCATCAGAAAAGTTAAATTTATTTTCATTATTTCAGAAATTTCAATGATAAGAACTTTTAGAGTACTTATTCACAAACTGAATGATTTTTGTATACTTGAACCTATAGGCATTTTGCATGCCTTCTTCACCCATCTCCTTACAATCAAAACAAACTAAATACAGTCAAGCCTTGTTATCTGGAACTTAATGGGACCAACAAAAAACTTTTGATATATCCAAGGGTTCTCGATATCAAGGGTAAAATGCTTTAAAAATGCGTGGTAAGGACTTCCCAATCACTTCGACATATTCATGGTATTCTAGATGTTGGTGTTCTAGATACTGAAGTTGAACTGTACCAGTAAATATGTATAAAACTTAAATTTTACCCTACCATCAGACAGATGGTTTGAGTTTACTAAACATTTCACCTGCTTATGCGAGATTATGATAGTTATGACACACAATAGCCCCTGGGTAATGGATATGCTCGGGAACTCGTCAGCTGGTCTGTTGTATCATTGTTGACACATTTTGGAACATGCATGCCTATTGCAGTCATTATTGCTATTGATTTGCCTGAAGTTATTTATTGCAAGGTTGATCTGACACATCAAAGAGAGCTGCTTCTATAACTTATCAAAATTCTGATATACTAAATAATTCACTATACTATAAAGGATAATGCTTTGTCATCCTTTTTTTTTTTTAATTCTATCAAAAGTAGAAAATGTGACCACAAATTTGCACTTATATATAGTGTTTGAATCATATAATGGTTATATCATATTTGGTATTACATTTTAATTGCAATCACAAGATTTGTATTCTAAACTAGAGAAAACATTTAGGTTTTGTTTCTTTGGGCAACATTCTATTTGGATAAAAAGACTGCCAATATTAATTAGAAAGTTAAGTGAAAAAGGTTGAGAAATGGTTAAAGAAAGTGTCAGTCAACAAGATTAAAACTTTTAGTTTTGAAGCATTCCTTTTGAATAAGATGACTTCTGTATTTCATATAAAATATAAACTCTTTTTATATGATGCCTATAGCTCCCCCTTGTACATATACAGGATATAGACACTGGGTGGCAAAAAAATCACAAGTGCTGCATTTATCATACAAGACAGACAATGCACATGCAACTCCATGTATCCTGCATCTGCACTGAACGCCAGCAGTTATGCTTCACAGCTTGGGCAAATAATCAGTGCATGAATTATCAAAGATCTTCAATATAATCGTATTTCGTCTAACTTATTCCACTGATCTTGATCTTCTTACTAAAGGCTTTGATACAAAGATATACACTAAATAGTAAAAATTTTAAAGCATAATTGCACAGACAATATCAATAGAAAAGATTAGATTCTGTAGGGTTTTAATATATATTTACTTTTCATGGTGGGTAGATTTATATAATGGCCTACTTAGAACTTTAAACAGAGGAAGAGTTTTATGTATAACAATGAACAGTGTGTTTATCAGGCAATCATGAATACATTTTTAAGTTTACACTACAAAAACGTTGCTGGCCTGCAGGGAAATAAATGGAGTAATTATACAGTAAATATTACAAATCAACGGGAAACTTATTTGTAAAGTGACCAGATAAATATCAACAATCAACGGGAAAACTTATTTGTAAAGTCAATCAAAACAGGTATTACATATATGTATTTGTACATGATAAACATATGGATTACATACACCTTTAATTTTTAAAAAAAATAAATCATTAAATGCACCTAAAATTAAATCAACTCATAAACAGAAACCAGATTATTAATGCACCTTCTTCATAATTCACAATTTTTATGAAGCATATTAAAATACCAGACAAACTTAAAGGGCAATTATGCTAGGAGATATATTTCTCTGAATAGATTTATACCGATATGGATAGGAACAAAATTAATACTTTATCTGCATATTACCTCAAGCATTAAAAAAAACTATCTTGTGGTGACACAAATTTACTTACCAGTACAATAAACGTAGGTATTAATTCCTGGTGCTTGTATAAATATATCTAACAAGCCAGCCCCCAGTCAGAATGTAACTGATCTCAAATGCTGGTGACTGAGTTTCCTGTCAAATCTGTGTTATATCCTGCCCTTTACCTACTTTAACTTCACAAGCTATTATAACTGAATGGCAGCAAAAACTCATTACATAAAATATCCAACACAATGTATTCATGTCTGATATAAACAGAAATTGTTGAAATATTCATTCCACCTACCTAATGGGTAATTAAACCAGTTGTTACAAGAATACCTCAGAAAATCCTTAATTATTTCTGAGAGATTTGCTCCAATTTTTATGTCAACTTTTTCTGTGATTTAAAAAATGGTTTTCTGTTGGAAAAAGAATTTTTCCTCTTCGTTTAATCCAGCAAGGCATTCCAGAGATTAAATATCTCTCTTGAAGACTGATGCATTGTGTCATGTGTGCAGTAAAGAAAAAATAATTTACTTTCTGAAAATATTGTATCAGATCATGTTGGATTCATATTTTTATAAAATTGCTCCCTGTGGCCCATTTCAACAGAAAATAGAGAAAAATCTGCCTTCAGTTTATCTTCACAGTGGAATAAAAATCAAATGATTATGTGCTAGGAAACACAAGGAAATGAAAGATTTATTCAAACACTGTTATACTCTCTTGTCAGCTGCTGATACATGGTGGGTATGTATTTTATCAATAGGGCAAGAGCCCTTCTATTCTCTTTAGAGAAGTGGACAGACGAAAGTGAAAGAGAATAGAGCCCTTCAAACACAAGCAGCTGCAGATTTTAATAAGAAAAAATGTACAATCAGTTATTGGTGGACACATTCTTGTGAAAGCTACTGGTCAAGTAATAATTGTATATCAATTATTTAATCAAAATAAAGCCCACAACAGCAACAATTTCCTTCAATGAACAACAGCTCTTTTGATTAATTAGTCCAATATAGAAATCACAGTTTTAATAGTTACATAAGTAAAGTGGTTTTTAAAAACTGCTAAATGCAGCTCCAACATGACTTGGAATTTGTTTTTAATCATCAAGCTTTTAAGTCTCAAGTAATGTCCATATTTAGGAGCCTAAAGCATTCTTATCTACTAGAATCTGCCTATTTTTTTGCCTATCTCAATGACATAAACATCTATTCTTCCTTTAAAGATATGTCAAGTTGAAATGTCTTTTCTGTTTAATTTTACCCCGCAAGCTTATTGTAGAATTGTTTGTATTTTACTTATAAAATACATTTCTTTCAGAAAATCAAAAAGTTAAGCAACATTTTATATGAGTGAGCAGAGGGTTTGTGAACCTTAAATGAGAATTTCACTGCAAACCTTTTAGAATGGATCTAAAAATATTGGACCAATGGTAGTGTACTCAAAATAGAAGTGTCTTACAGAGTAAAAGCTTTAAGAAGCGTCCTTGCATAAAGATCCTATGAATTTTCTAATATGATGATTTGGCTTAAAATCAAATGCACCTACCTGGACATCTACTGTTTAATTTATGTGTACCTTTCCTTAATTTATCCATGTTCCTATATAAAAATCTATACCCTCCTTTCTTGTTAATTGCCTTTTTTTGATAATGCCTATATTTAGAAACAGTAAACTGTAATGGATTCCTAGGACTGAAAAAAAAATCTATGAATAAAGCAAGTAATCTAAAATTGAACATATCATTATTGTTCACAAAACTGATTTGTCACTAATTTTTTTCAATCTCGGGTCTTTCTCATTAGATACACTAAAGTCTTGTTTTTATAGCAACTAAAGCATTGTGCCAAAAGTATTTCGTGACACTATGCACCTCATTTGTAAAGACAAAGAGGAAATTTCAAATAACTTGTGATACAGATCATGTTAACTATTGAAACTTGAACAGAGTAATTTTTCTCTAGAAAGTTACAAAATTGATAAATTTCTGCTGTCATCATTCTGAATTCTGACAGAATTGTAAACAAGCCAGTCACTCATAATGAGCTGAAAATCTAAAGAAATATCAACTATCTAGAGAAATTGATTGTTCAAAATGAAGTACGATAGTGAGAAAAAGTCTAGACTTAAAATGAACATATATTGGGAATTTAGAATCTATCATCAGATCATTTTGGAATAAATATTTAACCATGGGAGATCATTAAAAAAAATGAAAAGAAGCAGAGCTTCCATTCAAGATATCACAGCGGTATCAGAACTGGCTGGTCATACAAAAATGAACAATGGACGTATATGGCTTTGCTAGCCCTAGGTAGGGCTGGGAATGGACCTGCTCCAAAAACATTAATCTGGTTACTCATCTGGAAAATGTAGGTCAGATCCAGCATCTGAAGCAAATCTGGTGGTGTTCATCCCTAGATGCATCATCTATGCAAGTTTGGTCTACGTAGGACGTATAGTTACTTTGGAATGGAGCTGCTCCAAAAACTTTAACGTAGTGGCTCATCTGGAAAATGTAGGTCAGATCCACCATCCGAAACAAATCCCATAATGCATCATCCATGCAAGTTTGGTCCAGGTATGGCTCACTGTTACTTAGGAACTGACTTGCTCCTAAAACTTCAACTGGGACGCTGACACTAACACTGACGCCAAAGTGGGGGTATGGCATTAAAGCTCATCTTGACTTCGTAAAGGTGAGTTAAAAAATTGTGACTTCAAATTAAAGAAACTCTACAAAATAGGCAACAAAATATTTGGATGTTTGAAGAGCTCTTTGCAATTATTTTGGACTCTCAAATTCCCGTTTGATCAAAACTACCTGAGAACTCTTTACAATTCCAAACCATTCCTTTATCAACTGTAATTAAGTTACGGGAACATATCATCACATATAAGGTAAGTTAAGAATAAAATTTGTTACAATACTTAATGTTTATTCACATGAGGCACATCATTGTTTATGTCTGCCATTTTGAAAAATTGTGAATACTTTTGGCATGGCACTGTATTTTTGAGCATGTTTTATGACTTTCTCATAAAGCTGGCAAAGACTTTCCAATGTCTAAATTGATGCAACAAAAACATTCATAAACTATAAATAATGTTCATCTATTTTAACATACAACATTTTAAAAACTCTGATATGAGATATATAAATTACAAGTCACATTTAGGGTGTACAATGAAATAGGAGATAACGAACAGTATCCAAGCTCAAAGTCTATTAAAACAATACAAATCAGGAGCAGAGCAAACACGGACATCCAAAAACATCAGAGGTGGGATCAGGTACCATGGAGGAGTGAGCATCCTCTGCCGACCCATCAACCCCATTGTGTGCTCCTTGTCATGATCAGTAAATAACGGAAAAATCCGTCAACAATTCAGTGTGTAAATACAGTCAAACCTATCTTGAACTCAAAGGGACTGAGAAAAAACTTCAAGATATCCGAGGATTTGAGGTGTCCAGGGTAAAGTACTTAAAGAAAAAGGGGTTGGGACTTTCATATTACTTTGACATATCCATGGTATTCAAGATATCAGTGTTCGAGATACTGAAGTTCAGCTGTAATGGCCTAACAATTAGACAGTATGAAAAATGTCAGTCAGTCAAGTGTTCCTTACAGTACATTTTTTGGGGTGCATGGATACTTTCTCTGATTGAAAGGAACTTTTTCTCTTTTGCAATTCTGTTTAACTATGTTTAGTCAAAAGCTATCAATTAGCAATTTTAAAAAATCCAAGAAGAATATAGTAATGTATTCTAAATCTGTGATCAGTCTCTCCTCCAAATGCCTTGCTATCTGTATCTGAGCAAAATTTATCATAATTCGTAGAGATAAAAATGGTTTTAATGTACACATGGTACAATTAACAAAGCAATTCTTGTGTCACATGACTATAGGATTGAAGAATAAACATGCTTTGTATCCATGACATTCTCAAGGACATTAACTGAGTTGTATGTACATGCAGCACAATATATTTAAGTACAGCACAATATATAAGTACTGTAGATGACATGTGCTTCCTTGTTACCACAGAGTATTTATATATCATCAATTTCCTTATTCCTCAGTTTATTATAGCTATTATAATTCTAAACTGGCATGCTCCACACCCTGATCCTGACTGTAATTATTTGATGAACTATAATAATATGTTTACAACTTATTTTTAGCATTGAGCATACTGCTATTTATAGACATCTTTTGTTTATGCATGCACTTTAGAAATGCATACAAAAAAATAAGCAACTATTTTAATACAGTGAACAGAAGCAACATTTTCATCTTCATTAATCATATGAGCTGGGTAAATCTTGAACAAGTGCATTCTGTTTTATACATTCAGACATATTAAACAGTGATCTCTGACTGCTTAAATTTAGATTTCACATTATCTTATAGTCCATGAGCATGATTGAGATTTGAGGAAAACAGAGAAATGTAAACTATTCACATCTTTAAAATTATCAAAACTAATTGTAACAATATAATAGAATTTATATAAAAGTAATTTTTATTGATATAAAAACAATAAGGAATAATTTTCAGAATATTGCTGGAATTTTTTTTTTACAAATGATGGCATTGCTAACCCAGCTGTTACAAAGCATGCAAGGATGTTATTTTTGTTAACACCCTGTAAAAAATAATTTCTAGTTACATTCTGAGAATTCTTCTATTAATTTGAACTATATATGATTTAATCCGAGATTCTTCCGACTATAACCCCTGCTTTAATATTGTGACATGTGCAGGGGAGCACGTCACAAAGTAAAAGCAGGGGTTATAGTCAGATGAAACTCGGATTAAATACATTTCTGTTGGGTTGCTGGGAAATTTATGTTTACTGAACAGCTTAAAGCTAAAATGTACATATTTATGTGATGTAAATGCAAATCTTGTTAATTTATTTTGAATATTGCATGGAGATGGTAAGTCACACCGATTCCAATAACAAAAATTGATTTTCCAAGAACACCTGAATATTTTATTTATTTACAAATCTATGTAATTTTATGTTTCCCAAATATATAGCTTTCAAAGGATTATGTGTATTTGTTTTCTGTATGACTTGATACAAAATAAATGATGATAATGAGTATACAACTTAATGTTGTCTGTGATTACGGTGATTTTAAAAAATTGTCATTTCATCAGTATATCACTCACCATAAACAGTCTTACACATGCTGCAATACCTGCATGTGTATTATATTATATAGAGTACTTACTCTTATTACACATGACTTATCAGATTACAAACTCTTATAAAAGTAAACTGCTGAATTGTATAGCACAGACCTAACAAGACAGCTTATCACCACTCAGAATCCGGATGTAGAACATCTGGGCTAAACTCTTCACAAGGAAACAAAATAAGTTGAGAGAGACACCACTAAGTTTCAGATTTGTTATAAAACTCAAAATCGGGGCAAGATATATAAATATCAACATTTTCATAAGCTAAAAATTTATATTCATTCTAAAGTCTTATATAGACTTGACACAGATAAAACGTACCATTAGACTTTACCAGGATATATAATAAACATAATAATTTTTAACATGAATACAATATACTCCTACCTCGTGAAGTGGGCGAACGACAGAAAATAACTAGGCCCAACTTCCTGTAGTAAAGTTTGTAAACAAATTTAAGTTTCATAAAGTTAGTAAACTTTTTAAACTCTTTCTTTCCTATACTTACTAGTGATCTATTAAAGATGACAAAATATTTTGAAGCTCCTCAAGACATTAATAACACGGACACCTGCTAACTTATCCTAGTTGAACGACCTAGCATACACAGTCCATGACGTCACACTGGCGGATATGCATGATCCGGAAGGACTTTCTTAATATATTTGGCGACAAATTCAAAGTCTAAAATAGAACTAATTCGTCATAAAAAAAACAATATTGCATCAAAAGTCTCTCTCTAATTAAGTATGTACATATGTTACATTTCATTTAATATATTAATTAATATATTTAAAAAATAGGGTAGAATATTATTTGGAGTTACCCCGCATTCGCAATGTTCAGTGAAACAATGTACATGATGTAGCCTATTTGTTAGTACAAAATTGTGATTGACTTTCCCTTGAAAAAGAGATGAAAAAAGAGCAATATATCAATGAAATATAGTAGCACAGTATGTTTTTTCTGTAGAAAATTTCTTTTAAAATCAAATTTATTGGGAGTTCTAAGCGTGCATGTTGCTAAACGAAAAACAAGAGGCCCATGAGCCACAACGCGAACATGAGCACTTTGGTCATAATTTTTTAATATAAAAGTGCTCCCAACCTACCCCCAGGGGTTTGTAATTTAAAAAAAAAGATTCTACACTAACTGAAGATGCCTCAATATTTCGTTGACTAATCATGATAGAAGAATTTTCAAGATTTTTTCCTTAATAGTTCCATGTAAAACTTCAATTGTGACCCCGCCTTGCATCCTGGGGTCATGATTTAAACAAATTTGAAATAACACTACCTCAGGATGTTTCGATTTAAATATATTATGTACTTTCATGTAAATTAGTTGAATCTGATTTGTTGAGAAACATTTGTTATTAGTCCCTTATCGGTGAAACCGGAGGGAACTATAGGTTTCCTCTGAGTCTGTCCGTCCGTCTGTCTGTCCAGCTGTCCCTCTGTCTGTCTGTCAGTCTGTCCCAATTGGTTTTCCGCACATTTTTCTAAACGCTTGCAGATATCGAGCTCATTTTTGGTATGTGAGTGTATCTTGATGAGTTACAGATGAAGTTTGCATTTCGTACCGCTTCAATGATTTTTGACGCAATTTTTTTTCTAAATGCTGGCAGACATTGAGCTGATTTTAGGCATGTGACTTAACCTTGATGAGTTGTAGATCAAGTTCGCATTTCGCTTCATTGATTTTTGACGGAATTATGGCATTTTCAATTTTTAGCGGGAACCAGATTACATTTGCCGGTAGGGGGACTAGTATTGCTAATGCAATACTCTCAGAATGCTTGCATGCGCCGAGGTTGACAATGGTTTTCGAGGGGTGAACATTTTCAATGTTACACTCAACTACATGCAATATTTATTATATTATACTGAATGTTTTATACAAGTGAACCTTGCGCGCATAAATTCTGCGCAGTCACTATTTTTTGGAATATCACCCGTCGTCAAGCAATGCTGACTGTTGCTACGCTGGAGGGCGTGGCTTTATCATTAGTTGAATCTGATTCGTCGAGAAACATTGTTAAAAAACTTTATTACCTGCTGAATGATGAAGCCACGCCCTCCAGCGTAGCAACAGTCAACATTGCTTAACGACGGGTGATATTCCAAAAAATAGTGACTGCGCAGAATTTATGCGCACGAGGTTCACTATGTATTTGAATAAAACATTCAGTATAATATAACAAATATATTTATAGTGGAATCCAGTCAATAAATGTTTTGTTATACCTTTTATTTATTTTTTTTTGTTATACATGTATCTTGCTGGCTTCCATACCAACGAATGCAAATGAGATTTAGCTGACCCTGCCCACACTGACATAAGCGGTCCAATATCTCGTCCACAGGTTCAATATCTCAGTCTGCGGTCAAACATCGATTTTTTTTATGACTGCTCAGTAAAACATTAAAAATGTTTGACTTTTTAAAATGTAGATTTACATAGGAATTAATTTTTAAAGGTATAACAATGAAAATTTTCACACGTCGAAAACCATTGTCAACGTAGGCTGCGCCTCGGTTGACAATGGTTTTCTTGGGGTGAAAATCTTCAATGTTACACTCAATTACATGACAATATTTATATAATGACTAACCATGGCTTTGATGTTCTTGAGAAGAGACATTTTGAATATTTTCCCTATATATATATATATATATATCTAAACATTTGATCGCACTTTGTGGCCCTACCCTACCCCAGGGGTCATGATTTGAATAAACTTAAAAATCACCTTCTTGAATATGTTAAAGATTTCCACATAAATATGACTAGTCATGATTTTGCTGTCCTTTAAAGACTTTCCCTATATAATCCTTTTTAAAACTTTGATCGCCCATTGTGGCCCCATCCTTGCCCCAGGGGTCATCATTGAAAACCCTTGAATCTGCAAAACCTGAGGATGTTTCCATACAAATATTATTAGTCCCCTATCGGTGAAACCGGAAGGGACTATGGGTTTCCTCTGAGTCTGTTCGTCCGTCCGTCTGTCAGTCTGTCCCACTTGGTTTTCCGCAATTTTTTTTTTAAACATTTCTAGATATTGAGCTTATTTTTGGTATGTGAGTGTATTTTGATAAGTTATAGATCAAGTTTGCATTTCGTTCCACTTCAATGATTTTTGTCGGAATTACGACCTTTTCAATTTCTAAGTATTTTCCGCATTTTTTTTTCTAAACGCTTGCAGAAATTGAGCTGATTTTTAGTACGTGACTTTATCTTGATGAATTATAGATCAAGTTAGCATTTCGTTCCGCTTCATCAATTTTTGGCGGAATTATGGCATTTATAATTTTTAATGCTTTCATATCAATATGACTAATCATGGCTTTGCTATTCTTTAGCAGAAGAATTTTAAAGATTTTTTTTCCTATATGTTTCTACGTAAAACTTTGATCGCCCAATAAAATGTCAATTTAAGTAGTAAAATAATCTTTCAATTATTCAATTTAACAAAGTACCTCCACCACTAATATGTAATGGTAAATATTTTTATCCATCCTATTGACAAGGTTACTATTTTGCAGAGATTTCACATCATAATTAAAATTAAATCAAATTAAAACAAAATGCTATTCACCTTCTCGGTCTTTTTTATTCTATTCTCCCTTATAATTAACTATGTCGTCCTGTCTCAATTTCAAGATTGTGAGAGGATAGTCTTATTCAACTTATTTGCTTTTTCCACAAAAGAGGTATAGGTTTACAAATGTAGTATATTGTAAAGAACATGAGGCCCCCGGGCCACAACACTCACCTGAGTCAATATGGCCCTGCTGTTCTTCGTCAGCAATTTTTTTTAATAATATTTTCCTAGATGTAAAATTTCGATCCATGTTGTGACCAAACCATACCCTCAGGTGTTATGATTTGCGCAAAATTGAATCTACGCTATCCGAGGATGTTACCATATTCATATGACTTATCATGCCTTTGCTGTTCTTGAAAAGAAGATTTTTAAAGATTTGGTCCAACCCTACCCCTATGGGGTCATGATTTTAACAAACTTGAATCTACACTGATACTTCCATATCAATATGACTAACCATGGTTTTGCTGTTCTTCAGAAGAAGTTTTTTCCTGAATATTCCTATGAAAAACTTTGATTCCCCATTTTGGCTCCACCCTACCACCTAGGATCATGATTTCAACAAATACCTGAGGATGGTTTCATATCAGTATGACTAATTATTGCTTTGCTGTTCTTTAAAAGAAGATTTTAAAGAGATTTTCCTAAACATTGTACATGTATTCCTAGTTGAAACTTATTTTAGGTGTCAGGAAAAACATAAATGCTTCTGTGTATTTAGAAACCGGGAGGCTACCTAGGTAAATCACTCGATTGTCTAGAATGTTTAAATTCTGGTTTGAGGTATTATGTAGTGAAAATTGTATAACCAAAAATTGTTATGACGAATTATTTGACAACTGTGACAGAATGAAAAACAGTTTAGAAAAATTTAGGCTTTTGTATTGAAGAAAAATATTACAAAATTGGTTTAAGCAATAGACACTTTTAAGCTCACCTGAGCTTTCAGCTGATCAAGTGAGCTTTTCAGATTACATTTTGTACGTCTGTCCGTCCGTATCTCTTATGTATGTCTGCAAACTTTCCACAGTTTCGACTTCTTCTCCAGAACCTCTAGGCAAATTTCAACCAAACTTTTCACAGAACACCCTTGTGTGAAAGGGATTCAAGTTTGTTCACATGAAAGGTCATGCCCTCTTTCAAAATTGGTGGAAATTTGGTGACATCTTTTAAATATTTTCCTCTCAAGAATCACTTGGTCAAAAAAGTTGAAACTTATATGAAACCTTTTTACAGATTGTACTGGGTGTTGGGTGAGGCCACAATGGGGGATCAAAGTTTTATTTAGTTATATACAGGGAAAAAAATCTTCTAAATCTTCCTCTCAAGAATTAAAAAAGCCATGATTAGTAATATTTATATGGAAGCATCACCGACTAGTGTAGATTCAAATTTGTTCAAATATTGACCTGGGGGAAGAGGTTACAATGGGGATCAAAGTTTTACATAGGAATATATAAGAAACAATCTTTAACTCTTTTTTCATGAACAGCAAAGCCATAATTAGTCACATTGATATGGGAGCATCCTCAGGATGTGTAGACTGAAGTTTGTACAGTCATACATTACAACCATACATTTTCAGTTGACAGTTGAGGGGGAATTACCAAAAATTTCCTGCGAAGCAAAAAATAAAAAAAAAGGTCATCAACTACCAAAAATTCCTTGACAAGCCAAAAAAAGGTCATCAGGTGTTTTTATTGAGGGGGCACAAGCATATGGTATCTATGTTTAGTAATCTATATATCAGCAAAATTATGGGGGGGGGGGGGGGCACGTGCCCCCGGTTCCTACGGTCATGCATGTCTAGGAACAGATAGGAAAAACACTTTAAAAATCTTCTTCTAAAGAACAGCAAAACCATGACAAGTCATATTGATATGAAAGTATTCCCAAGTAGTGTAGATTCAAATTTGTTCCAATTATGACCCCTTGGGCTGGGGTGGGGCCACAATGGGGGATCAACATTTCAAATAGGAATACAATGTATAGGAAAATATCTTTAAAATCTTCTTTTAAAGAACAGCAAAGCAATAATTAGTCATATTGATATGAAAGCATCCTCAGGTATTTGATCCCGGGTTGTAGGGTTGGGCCAAAATGGGGGATCAAAGTTTTACATAGAAATATTTAGGAAAAATCTTTAAAAATCTTCTGAAGAACAGCAAAACTATGATTAGTCATATTGATATGGAAGTATCAGATAGTGTAGATTCAAGTTTGTTAAAATCATGACCCCTAAGGGTAGGGTTGGACCAAATCTTTAGAAATCTTCTTTTCAAGAACAGCAAAGGCATGATAAGTCATATGATAATGGTAACATCCTCGGATAGCGTAAGTTCAAGTTTGTGCAAATCATGACACCTTAGGGTAAGGTTTGATCACAACATGGATCAAAGTTTTACATCTAGGAAAATATTATTAAAAAAATCGCTGTCGAAGAACAGCAGGGCCATATTGACTCAGGTGAGCGATGTGTCCCGGGGGCCTCATGATCCTTATAATGTACAACTTTTGTAAACCTACAATGTATACCCTTTTGTGCAAAAAGCAATTAAGTTGAATTAGACTATGCTCTCACAATCTTGAAATAGATACAGGACACCATAGTAAATTATAAGGGAGAATAAAAAGACCGAAAAGGTGAATTAATTTGCCCTCATCTATTAAAATATCAAGAAGTATTATTGGCAGAAGCTATCTATTTTCTATTTCGTACAATTATTATGTGAAATCTCTGGAAAATGTTTATGAACCTTGTCAATAGGATGGATAAAAAAAAATACCATTCCATTTTAGTGGTGGGGTTACTTAACTTTTATTGGCAAATTTGATTAATGATTTAACAATTCTCCACTATTTACCAGAAGGAATAGTTTTATCTAAAATGTTTGATTTTTTGTTTACATGTACTCTTATTTCCTTTCTAGAAAAAGTAAACTGGCTAGCAATTTTCGTTACCGTTTCATCATGAAAGTGCATTGCTGGAAAAACAGTAACTCTAAGGTGCATGTCAAAACTAGCACAATATACAGCACGACACAACCTCTAACATTAAATAATCACGTGTAGATCATTTTCTTTTTAAAAAATCAACAGTTTTATTTTTATTATAGTACAAGTTACAACTTCATTGTAATTCCGCGCTAACTATCATTAAAGTTTTTCCAGCTGCTCACAAACTGGTAATTAAAAAACACAACTTTACAAATTGGACAATTGAAAGATTATTTTTCTACTTAAATTGACATTTTATGTTTACATAATTTTGTCATTTAAATTTGAGTTGAAGTTTTCTTATTTTGAAATTGCAAGTTCTAAGTGGTTTGAAAATCATTCATTTGTGCATTATTTTTTATTATTCATTTTCCTGTCCGATGAAGTGCAACATGCAGAAGAAAACCAGAAATCCCAAAAATCCACGTATCCCTTGACAAGAGGTAAGAATGAGGGACTCTTTCCCAAATTGGTAAATTACGACTGCTGGTTATATGTTTTTGTTGTTGTTGATCTTGTAATATAATATAACATAATGATTTGCACATAATTGTATACTAAATCAATCCTGTTGCAATTGGGTTTTTTTTAATTATTATTATTACATGTATTTTTATTTTTATCACTCGTAAACAGATAAAAGGAAAACTTGCTTATATTAATCAGGATTTCGGATGTATAAGTAACATGTAAATTTTGTTACCTCCCAAATTTACAACATGATATAAGGGTGCAGTGCTAATCAACTTAAGAATTTATGATTTAAAAAATTCGAAAATATCTAATTTTTGAGTAAAATGAGCTTTAATTCTTTTCGCATTAAAACAAAGAAGGAATTGAACGGCTAATGGTGGACTCATAACATCCATTTTTGAGATGAGAACGAGACTGGGGTTATAAAGGACTTAAGTGGATCATCGACCATCAAATACCATTACAAGATTACAATTCTTTTGTAGGATTATGGTGGTGAAAAGTGAGTATACTGTTGATTTCAATAATTATACTATATGTCATTATGCAACTGCAATTGTATGATTATATTTGTGATATTTGAAACAATTACTTATACATCCTATATATATAAATGGATTATAGACAAGATTTTTCTAGTAACTTAGCCCTCTTTATATAAAAAATAAAATCTATGCAGTCTATATCATGTAAAGCATATATATAAACATCAGAAGTGAGGCCTTCTAATTTCTCTCTCTCTCTCTCTCTCTCACTCTCTCATATATATATATATATAGAGAGAGAGAGAGAGTTTCCTTAAGGATGGATTCTTGTCAGCATTTTACGTCGTCAATGGGTCTCCATAAATTATGCAAGTCGTAAAATGCAAAATTCATATTTAATTATACTGAAGGAAAAACTATTAGTTAATTTGTCAGTTTAAGTAATGTTGAATCTATTTCAAAATGCACAGCACATGAAGCTAGAGCAGAGTCATTGATACTTCGTCCCTGCAAATTGTAATTGAGTAAACAATGATGTCAGAGTTTAATATGAATTGCGTTTAGAGAACGTGTACCATGTGAAAAATAACTAGGGGGTTTAATAATATTTGAGGCTATATAATTTTCAATTGGCTTACCGATATAGCATTTCTGGTTTCAACAATTAAGAGTATGACGGATTTTAAGTCTGGAACAAATGTTTTCTTTAAAAAAAAAAATTAAGTCTGCATTTTGGAACTGAATAATCATAAAACGGATACAACATTCCAGCAACAGATGAACGCGCCATAATTGGTTTAATAAAGGTAACATATATGTTACATATCTTTAATGATATATAATTTTTTATGATCTTGAGATACCATTATATTCTACATTCGATATTTCCTATATTTGAACCGCAATCAATCCAGCGAAAATAATGTGACAAATTAAATCTTAGATATTCCGGGTGACAAACCTTTAAAAAAAAATAGCTACGGTATTTCATAGTTATTTTTTTTTTAAATGTTAAATATGTAACTTTGGTATATGGATTAGTATTAAATTTGAGCAACCATTTGATTGCACCAAACTTTGAAAGCATGATGGTCCTAGAAGACTGTGTACTAGTAATTTTTTTGAAATAATGAAAAGAGTTATCGTAAGTAGATAATTTGAAAAATGTTATTTTGAGCAACGTCATTCATGTATATAACAGAAATTGTGAATGCTCATACTTTTACGTATTGTCGTCCTGTAAATATTTGTCGGTGACGATATGCACCTACCCTCGCTGCATATATTGTAGTCCATGGGCACGTATTGTTGCAGCTAAAAAATATAAAATAAAATATGCGTGTATATAATGCCGCCGGCGACGATATGTACACGTATATTTTTATCCTCACTGTACATATTGTCGTTCCACAGTTTTAGAGTAACTCAAGGAATTTTCATGTTTAGTTTTGTGAAATCTATTGATGTGTTGATTAAACGAACTGTATAGTGCAATAGTCCGAGTTTTTCTTTGTATATTATACAGAGTATACATGACAATATTTATATCGAATTCAAAATGATATCTTGAGTTTTCGATAGATTGCACATTCACTAAAAACAAGATTTTTTTTTACTCTCAGTTGACTCTCAGTTGACACTTGAACTCAACAGATAAACAAGACTTTTGCTCTCTCTCTCTCTCCCAGAAAACATCATTTGGCAACAGAATGCTCAAACGTTCGCAGTGCATATTGTAGCCGACGACAAATGTGCAGTTGAGTTAGGCAATTTTGTCGCACATTCTGCAGGGAGAAAAAAGGCTCGTCTCGGCACATATTGTCGATTGTGTCAAAATGTACCGGCGGGACGACTTCATAAGAAAATGTAATTGGCACTGGGAAGAAGCATCCTAAACAACAGGTCCGTAGCTGTTCCCTTGCTGGACCCACCCATGCTCAATTCAATAAATAATTCTACAACGGTTATTGCATAGGTCAAAGGAATGCCGCGGCCATTATTCTCCAATCAACAGAAATGGTCTGGGCCGTGAATATCGGCCTGAATAGCTTAGTACGTAAAGCACCTGATTATGTGATACCAGGTTCGATTCCCGGTCCAGCCATACATTTTCTCCCTTCCTGTTACATAATTTAGTGCTATTATCACCCATGGACTTGCATGTGAAAGCCCTTGGGTTGATTTGTTGATCAATAAGGACACTGTCCTTATTTTTACATTTGCAAATGTTTTCTTTTATATAACACTATTAAAAGCAACGCGTATCTATATCCGTATAAACACGGGTTCCTCGCGTCATAAACGTTTGACGTAATTTCTCAGTGACGTCATAAAGGGTTGACGCGCAATCAATGGATCAAATACGTGCCGTTGAGTTTGAAAAATAAAACATTTCACACTTTAAAACTTATAATCAGGAAAATATAAAATATGAATAAGTCATAAATGTAAATATAAGTAATAATGTATCATTTTTAAACATCTATCGGGATATAAATACGGGTTGGTACGAGATCAAATTTACCATAAAGCCCTTCGGGCTTTATGGAATTTGATCTCGTAACCAACCCGTATTTATATCCCGATAGATGTTTAAAAATGATACATTATTTCTTAAATACTACAGTATTATAACTGTTACGTTATAATGTAAGCTTTGGAACATTATGACGTCACAATGCTTACATATGGCAACTCGATTTTAACTTAATATTTGTTCTGGTCAAAAGATATAAAGATGAGCTTTTTAAATCGATTCACTCGAAGCATAAGAAGAAAATATGGCTCAGTAACAGAGTTTTTATTACAGAAAATGAATTTGATTTCACAAATTCGGACCGAATTTGAAAGGCATTTAATCAGCATCGACACCTATGAAGTGGTAAAACAGGTAATACAATAAAACATTTCATATATATGTAAAAGGTAGAGAGAGAAACCCCTTCTCATTTATTTATTTATCCACTTATTTTATTCACTAATTTTTTTAAATGTAATTTTGCTTATTACGTGAATAATTATAACTTTTTGTGTGGCCTACAAATCAGAGCAACACATACTGTGGGATCACTTTACCCGACGTCTTCCACCATGATATCTATTGACTGTTAAGACAGGGATTAGATATTAAGCATATATATCAAGACCTTTTGAAACATAAAGGAATGTGATTTTATGACCTCAAACTTGACCAATAACATTTTTTCAAGACTAGATATAAAGACAACCTCCCTCCCCCGATTTTCTGCACTACAAAGATATATGGTTATCTGGAACTTTTGATACGGTCTCAGAAAATAAAAAGAGCTCCATGAACATACCACAAATCTAGATTTGGGACTCACCTAAAACTGATGGTCCATAGGTATATTACTGGGTAGCTGCAGAACTGTAGCTCTCTGCTTGAGAAAATTCGGATAGATAAAGCAGCTTCATCTGTGTCCAAATTTTCTCAAGCAGAGATCGAGCTAGTTCTGCAGCTAACAACTGGGATTAAACTACTGGTACATGTCATAGAGTTGTCAATCAAGTATACAGACTGAAGTAGTTAAGCTCACTGTTTTCTTGCTACAAGACATTCAGTTAGAATTACCTGTTTGTTCCTTGATCTTATATATATATATATATATATATATATATATATATATATATATATATATATATATATATATATATATATATATATATTCCATTTCTATTTGTTTTCTCTGTGATAACTCTTTGAAAGTTAGGAGAGTTGATTTCTTGATCATTCTATCGGAATGTAAATTTCGCCAAGCGAAAGGTCAGGAGCTAAGAAGGCCTAATATGCATGTAATTCTTCGCCCGTTATGCAAATTATCCCACGTTTCCAACTATCGTTGATGCCCTGGCATACTCTACTAACTAGACAGTGATTCCTTAAATATTCTTGAATACATATATATGACTTTACCTCTCTTTTAGGGGATTCAGGGGTTAAATGTTAAATTTTGTTACTTAAGCGTATAAATTAAATATTTCTGAAAATCTTGGGGGGGGGGGGGTCTGGGAATTCTCAGGACCCCCCTCCCTCTAGATCCCTGCTCGAAAACTTATCTTAGCCCCAATTTTGCTTTCACAGGCGACACATGTATTTACACTTTGCAGGTTAATTCTAAGTTCCATATAATCTGTTTTATTTTTATATACAATTAAAAGGCAAAAAGTTTAGTCTTGGTGGAAATAATTCTCCAACATGCAGAAAACCAAAACAACAAAGTCAAACTCCTTATCGAGAAGTGTTCGCTTGTAAAACTGACAGAAGCGGAACGAACACACCAATTACTTAGATTGGAGAAAGATACAGGTAAAATGTCTCATGCTATTGATGTCTACATTTTACGATTACTAAAGCGGGAATGTGCCGTAACAAAAATAAAATGTTTGAGAAAATAAAAATTTAAATGTATTTGTGGTTTTAAAAAGAATGTATTTTAAGCATAAATTATCACTAGTGCAACTGTGTTTGACGAAATGCTTTTGATCATTTGTATGGTTGGTAGATGTAAGACTTTGCCAGTAGTTTTAATTAATATTCATGTCGACACGATATATCCCAGTGAGCTTGAAATAAGATACCACATAGTCTGACACGTCTGTTTCATATGTGGATATTTTACGAGGAAAAGATGATTAATGGTAATTTAACAACCAAGCTTTATGATAAATGTGATGACTTATACATTCCCTTACTCATGCAGCAATATACCCTTATCACCTGCATATGGGGTGTATATCTCTCAGTTGATTCGATACGCAAGAGCATGCTCTACGTGTGAACAATTTTTAAAACGAGGTAAGTTATTGGCAAACAAATTGACGAAGCAAGAATATCAACAGTCTCGTTCAAAGTCATCATTTCGTAAGTTCTATGGTCGATACAATGACCTTGTCAGCCCGTGAAACGTAAACTGTTTTTGTAAACAGGGCACGAGCTCTGTTATTGTTAAAGGTGCTTAGACACAGATTTGAACTTAATATTTTCTCGAATTTTCTGTATAATATCACGACTTATATATTGCAATAGCATTTCACACGAAAATATAATTAAAAGCTTATTTTATCTGGAAATTATTGGAACTACGAATTCCGGGACGCGTTTGATTAACACGTCTTTGCACTTACAAATTTTAACTTTATCCTTAATATTTAAGAAAAGAAGCGATTTTGTTATGTATTAATGAAAAATATTACATCTATAATCAAGAAAATTCAGAGTAGAAATGTTCGAAAGCAAAACCAGCTCACCAGTATTGTCAGTCCGTGCTCTGCGATGTGTACAGAGTTTAACAAATTGAACACGCCCGTGAAACGTTAAACTGTTTCTGTAAACAGGGCACGAGCTCTGTTATTGTTAATGTTTACGATTCACCGGGTGTGTTCAATTGTTAAACTCTGCACACACCACTGAGCACGGACTTGCAATACTGTGAGTGGGTTTTGCTTTCGAACATTTCTACTCTGAATTTTCTGGGTTATAGTTTTAATATTTTTCATTAATACACAACAAAATTGCCATTTTTCTTAAGTATTAAGAATTAAATTAAAATATGTGAAAGCGCAAGGATGTGTCAATCCAACGCGTCGTGAAATTCGAAGTTTTAATAACTTCGAGATGAAATAAGATTTTTATTATATTTTAGAATGAAATGCTATAGCAACATATAAGTCATGAAATTATACCGAAAATTTGAGAAAATGTTAACTTCAAATCTGTGTCCAAGCACCTTTAATGTTTACGATTCCCCGGGTGTGTTCAATTGTTAAACTCTGCACACACCACTGAGCACGGACTTACAATACTGTGAGTGGGTTTTGCTTTCGAACATTTCTACTCTGAATTTTCTGGGTTATAGTTTTAATATTTTTCATTAATACACAACAAAATTGCCACTTTTCTTAAGTATTAAGAATAAAATTAAAATATGTGAAAGCGCAAGGATGTGTCAATATAATGCGTCCAGAAATTCAAAGTTTTAATAACTTCGAGATGAAATAAGATTTTTATTATATTTTAGTATGAAATGCTATAGCAACACATAAGCCATGATATTATACAGAAAATTTGAGAAAATATTAACTTCAAATCTATGTCCAAGCACCTTTAAATCAATGCATACATAATTATAGAATTAACAAAAAATCATAATTCGCCAAAACTAAAATTTTATCAAGTTATTTCTGGTAAATTTTAAATACTAAAGATCAATTAATAGCAGAATGACTGTGATTAAGTGCACATAATATTGCAATAGAAATTCAAATAAGGGAGACACATCTATACCAACAGATTTTGAACGATTTTGCAATATTTGTAATACAGTAACGATTGAAAATGAATTTCATTTTCTATTCAACTGTCAAAATATAATAATCAAATGGTAGCTTTGGGAAGAAAATTAATGAATTGTTTTCAAGGTAAAATATAAGTGTGACAATATAAAAATCTACATAGGTTATTTATCAACTATATATTAACTTTATAATAAATTTACTCTTGGTCATAAGAATGGAATACTTTAGATTTATTCAAGAATTGCTTTTTTTCTTACAGAACTTAAAATAAGTTAACCAATTTAAATATAGTTAAATAATAATTTCGCTTAAGGTTCAAAAACTGGTATTTCATATGCCTGGTATTGCATGCTTCCAAGGGTATGTTCTAGAGGTATTGAAATCCCGTGCTCCATGTTCTGAAATCTGAAGTAGCTTTGCAGATAATGCCTGCAAGAGTGCAGGAACGCAAGGATGGCAAAATGTAGCATTGCTGGAACAGTTTCGAAAAAGAAAAAGAAAAGAGCTGAAAGACCAAAGGCATTGCTTGGAATACCACGTAATCCTACTGCTCGAGATGACTGTTTTTTATAGCGTCAGAATAAAATCTGCTTCCAACGTAAGATATGAATGTTGAAAGAGAATAAACGTTAGACTTTCTAGTTCCACAATAAATAGAGGCCTAATCAAACGTGGTCTTAGAAGACAGATCTCTTTTGAATGAACTTGGAGAGCAAAGATGTTTAAAATTTACTGTGGGCTCAGCAACATCGTGGGAATTCTTTGATACATTGGAGACACGTCATCGTTACAGATGAATCCAGATTTCTGCTGCACAAACCTAATGGAAGATTCCGGGTACGTCGGCAACGAAGCGAACGCTTTACTGAGGACTGTACTGATGGCACTGTGATGTCAGGAAACATGCAGCTCTGCATGTTTGGGACGGAATAAACTATGGTGGCAGAACTATTCTAACAATGTCAAGGGTGAGCGATATCGTCAGCTTCTACAGACAGAACTCGTTTCATATGCCAGACAACACTTGCAGAAATTTTCTGCATGACTACGCTACGCCGCATCGTGCTTGTTTGGTACAGGCCTTTTTCCAGCAAGAGGATATAAACTACAAATGTAATTGCCATGGCCTGTATACTCACGTGACTGCAACTCTATTGAGCATGTGTGGGGTATTCTTGATAGAGCCGTTAGAGACTTTGATGTCAAGCCATTAATACTGGAAGAACTTGCCCAAGCTTTTCAAGAGGAATGACAAATATCAAAATATCAGACGAGGAAAATGAATAAACTGATTGAAAGCATACCAAGACGCACCCAAGCCGTTAACGAAACCAAGGCTAGACAAGACATTAAAGCTTTTTCTTCTTTATTCAATTTGCTCCCGTTATCAGACCTAAACTTGAGATGTATGAATGATTTATTTAACAGATTATACCGTCAATTAAATTTTTATACTCAAATTCTGAGGGTAGATATTCCATATTTATGATAAAGTGTATATATAATAAAATCGTACTATGTACAGCATACGCAATCGACGAAAATAGATATTGGCAGAGTTTCTTTGTTTCGTATCCGCCAAGCGTGAAGATTTTCTTTTTATTATTGCATGGTGAATAACTCCTTAAATTGCAGGACCATTATATACATAAAAATCTCTATCTTTCCACTAGTAAACTATCCTGAAACTTGTATCTTTGGTTTATCTACAGTGTTAATGATGTAAGCACATGTAATATGTAATCTATACAAAAGAGCCAATATTTATGAAAGAAAGCTCTTAGTCTAGTATCAACCAATCAAAAAATCATTATAAAGCCTACTTTTTCTTTACTAATTTTTTTTCTTAATTCAGAATTACTTAAGAAAAGCACCTGCTGTTGCGGCTTAGCTTTACAATGCCTTAATGTCAAATATGCAAATGAGGCGAAATTATACAGTATCTGGAGAAAATTATGCAGCGATCTGCGAGAAAATGGTTGGTAGTACAAAATACTTTCAAAATGAAAATCTCTATTTTATATAAACTTTAACATTTTCTATAGGTAAAAAAAATTTCTCTTTCAGGATACTGCAAAGATTGGCTGTTTACTCAAGAAGTTTTGAAAAATTCCAGTGACGTCACCAAGAATGTAAGCTGATGATTTGATGTTCTGAAATTATAGAACCAATGCCAAATTTTCATGAATAAAAGTGAAATTTTAAACTGTTTTCCAGGCCAAACGAATGCGACGACGTGTTCAGAGGGGCGTGTCGTACAACGAGAGAGGTGCTACTCATTATCAATTTGTCGCCATTTCCGGTTCCAGTTTTGTCGACCACGGTTTCAGGATTCTGCAAGACGAAGTGGATGTGGCAAAGTTTGCTAAAGAAAAATGAACTACCGGTAGTGAAGGACATCTTGTACAATAATGGATTACAGAATGAAATAACAGTCAGATAGTCAACTGTTTTGTTAACTCACGTGAATAGAAGGTTCAAGTGATATTTTCTGATCGCCTGTTGTCCGTTATCTGTCTGTCTGTCCGTATGTTAACTTTTTAATCTAGGTTCACTGGACAAATTTCAACCAAACTTACCACAGAGCATCCTTGAGTGAAGGGGATTTAAGTTTGTTCAAATGAATGCCATGTACTCAAGCAACATCAGATAGTGCATAATCATGTTTGTTTAATTGCTCAGGAGTAGGGTGGGGCTCAGAGTTTTACATCGGAAAATATTGGAAATAAAAAAAAAAAAAATTAAAAAAAAAAAAAAATTCAATCAAAGCGGGACCACACCAAATAATATAGATATGCACATATACCTAACTTTTGTGGATTCAAGTTTTTCAAAACATGGACCTGGGGGGGGGGGCTAAGACTGGGGATCAAAGTTACATAATGCATATATAGGTAAGTTGTTAAAAACTTATCCAAAACACAAAGGCCATGTTAGTCATATTTATATTTAACACCCTCATGTGTGGATTTTTTAACTTCATTTAAATCGTAACCCCTATTGGCTAGAGTGAGGCTATAATTTGGGGGGGGGGGGCAAAACTTTCCATGGGGATACAGAGGGAACAAATCTTTTGAAATTTTCAGAGGAAGAACAGCAGGACCGAGGTGATTCAGGTGCGTGAGCATTGTCGCCATGGTTCTCATTACTATATAAAGATATGATGTAAATGCTCTGGTTTAATACAATATTGATTATACAAATAATAAAGTGAAAACAAAATAAATTGACTTAGGATGATATTATTTTTATTATCGTTTAACATGAAACACACACACACACACACGCACACATTTAAGTACAACAGACATTAAGTAGTACACAGAGGTCAATTAAACGGCACATAGATCATTGAGCATTCTTGTAGCTTCGGCGTTTTCTCCCCAGCAACCAGCCACCACCTGTTGACTTTCTTTTCAATGTGATATTGAATTGAAAGCAGCCAAGTTGAATTCCTGTGCTTGGATGTAAAACTGTTGCTTTTATGGTATAGTCACCCTACGAAAAAATTAATAATGCAAAAACACACTTTATTCAGTAATATATTTGCATATGGAATACTAGTGTGATCTGTTTGAATTTTTCTCAAAAAGCTTTTGATTCTCAAGCAGAAAGTAACATAGAAAATTGTGTCTTACATCAGCAATGAAATTAAGAGCAGGGTCCAATTCGGCGATGTCGATTTTATAATTAGAGATGGTTATGTTCTGAACGGCGATAGGGCAGTGAGTGAATACCCCCACGGATTCGAACATCTTCTTAATCTGCAGGCCCAGGTCTCGCTGTCCTTGTCGGGTTCCATTGAGCATATTGTCAATGACAGAACAGCCATCAAGGATGCTACACAAGATTGACAGAAAGAAAAAAAATCAAGATATCTTGGATTTTCGCCTTTGTAATTGTTATACAAGAATGATACTTGGGGATGAGGTGTAATATACACACAAATTAAAATGTGATGATTTGTTGTATTATTTTACCTTAAAGTTTTCTAAGATTACACAGATATTAACAAAAAGAAAAAAATAACAAGTGTTAAAAATATACCAATTAAAACCTACCAGCTTCCCAGATCCCCTACGCAAGGAATATGTACATCAGCTCCTAGAGCGGTGTGGCGGGTAATATCGAACTGGATTGCTGCTCCTGCTTCTATTTGTTTGAGAACAGAAGCTGTGAAGGAAATGTGGAGTGGCCCGGGGGTCAGGACTGGTGTAGGATTCACAGCCACAGAGTGAACCTTTAGTGCCTGGTGAACTGTATCAGTAGCTATTTTTGTAGAAGAAAAATGAAGTGCATAAACTGTCTGCTTGTTTTGCTAATGGGAATGGAATAATCTTAGAGAGGAATAGTAGAAGTACGGTAAGCCCTCGGTTAATAAAAGGCTTCCAAAGATCATACAAAACCACAAAAACCGCATGAATACCTACATAAGTGAAAGAAAAAAACCTGTTTTACTTATGTTGGTATTTCATGCAGGACAGGCTTTATCAGTCATAATTTCAATAATGGCAGCTTCACTGCTTAATGAAAAAATCTTATAGTTCCAGCAGAAAAGGCTTGTAACAATACTGTCTTTGATTGTAAGGCTCATTATTACAACTGTATTTTAGAAGAACTTGGTTTTAATTCTACATTTGGAAATCCAACTTATAGTTCACTTTCTAAGGATAAAGTTCTTTAAAATCACTTTTCAATCTTTAAAACTTTTGACATTCAGTCAACGAAAGTGGAATTCGATCTACCCTACCGTTAATGAATTCCTAAACTTCAAAATCCTCACAAAGATACATTGCCGGGTCCTGACACTGCTCTACAAAGCCCCTATCTTTATTCCTCACAAAAATATTAACTGCTGTAAAGGAGAAACTTCGGACGTACTTTGCTATAGAATATTCGGGAAGTAGTGTGAATCAAATGTAAATTCTTAAAAATTCCAAAGAACGTTTTGAAGACTAAAATCACAAAAAATTTTTCAAAGGTCAGTAACATTAAAACATATGACTTTTTGACACTTTATACAACTATTCCTCACGATGAATTAAGAACTAGGCATTTTAATATCACAGACATCTACTTCTTCGATAAAGATGGAACTCGGAAATTTTCATATCTTGTGTTTGGTCATCTATAAAATTACTTTGTTAAAAAATCACCTGATTATACACATGAGTACTCTGTGGTTGATATTACAAGTATGCTGGAGTTTCTCATTGACAACATCTATGTAGTCTTTGGGGACCAGGTCTTCCAACAATTTGTTGGAATACCAAAGAGCACTAATTGTGCTCCTTTATTTACCAACCCGTTTTTATATTCCTACGAACAGAATTTATTAAAAAGATTCTACATGAGAAGAAGAAAATACTTGCTGTGGCCTTAAACTCGATATTTAGATATATCGACGACGTTTTATCAATTAACAATTATAGTTAATTCCATTCATTTGTCGACCCGATATATCCCAGTGAACTCTAAATAAAAGACACTACAGAATCTGCCATATCCGTTACATATTTGGATGTTTTACTGACTATAGAGGACAAGGATCAACTAACAACTAAAACGTATGACAAACAAGATGACTTCAGATTTTACATTGTCAACTTTCCTTATTTGTGTAGTAATATAATACTTATATTTCACTCTAACTTGCTTATGGTGTTTATGTCTCCAAACTTATTCGATACACAAGAGCATGAATACAATAATTTTTAAACCGAAGCAGGCTACTGACAAAAAATTGATGTTACAGGGATTTCAACAACCTTGTTCAAAGTCAGAATTTCGTAAATTTTATGGGCGTTATAATGACCTTTTTAGCAAATACAACCTATCACTGGGTCGTATTTTGACTGACGTTTTTATTCCCATTGTTAGGCCAATGTTTTTATACTAAATTTGACTACGAATTATTCCGTCTGCCTGATTAATACATAGGGCTCAATGCGGTTGTGGTCGATCGAAAAGGGGATGCTTAATCCTCCTAGGCACCTGATCCCACCTCTGAATTTGCCAGGGGTCAATGTGTTATTTCATAAGCTAATTTAAAAGAGACATAACAATTTTTAATTTTTTTTAAAAATCATGCAATCAAATGTCATTTACATTAATGTCACCTCTAAAAAGAAGACCAAAATTACATACGACATATCCTATACCATCTCATTACTTCTAAAAAACTTATATGATCCAATCAAAAGAATATAAAGATAATTATAAAAAGAAAACATCCACAATAAAGATATCCGTACTTACTGCAGCTTTGCCACTGGAAAGTGTGGTACTCCGCATCAACTTGCCATACAGAAAGAAAGACCACAACAAACAGACGAGCATACATGTTGGAGAGGATTTTGGGAGAATCTTCTGCCAGGAATGGGACATATTTCCATAATTTGTTCTTTTTATACCTATGGTATACCACTCAAGAGTGTCACATATTTCAGTTGCACAATAAGATGTGAACTTTGAAAAGCAAGAAACATGCAGAAAAATAGTGAGGAAGCATTCCTCTGATGAAAGTTCAATGTTCATTTGTGTGATAAAAGAGGCACCAAAAGGATTTAGCGAGAAATATGTTTACATATTCTTCTTAATTACTGTTCAATAGACCTTAGAAGAATAAGTGCATGGTTGGGCGTTGTTGCTACTTTGAAAATCATCAAATCTAATTAAGAAATGTTCCCATTGTAATATTTATAAAATTTTGCGTTTCCACAATCCCCTAAGACACTGGGATGGAACAAAGTCCAGTGTAATATTGCACCTTAAAATCAAGGTTATCAATGATAAAGTTCCGTATTTTGTGGCCTAGATGACGAAGAACATTTCATGTACTCAACTTTGGTTCAAGGTATCGGAATCGATTTATTTCAAATCAAAATTGGAATAAAGTAGATATTTAAACTAAAAATCTTTAAAAATTTCAAAAGCTGTAGATAATGAAATTACTTGTATATAGATGGTAAAAATTAGGAATTATACAAACAAATATGTTCACACGAAGACAAGTCTTATTTACCAGTCAATTTGCAATGATAGTAACACAAAGAATGTTGAATACTTATAAATGCTGAGAACAAATGAATTTTCCCAGTAAATAATATGATCAGATTGTTTGCATATCTATCTCATCAGCACCGTCCCTATTTGATTTTCCTTTCTTTCGTCAACACATTATGTGTTACTTCTGAAAGTGTTAATTTATTCAGCATTAGTGGAAGGATAGTGATCATCTAATACTCTTAAAATAAGGAAATCATCTCAAACTGCTCTTTTGTATTTTATAAAGTGTATTGAAACACATATTCATAGCGTTTATTACCACACTTTCAACATTCTTGTTTTGAAGCTAGCATGCAATTAAAAATTTTAATTACCAAACCTTTTTTTTCAGATTTACGATTGAATCGGATATTCTGTAAGAAAAGACAATTATGTCATTTGTTAGGTAGCATATTAATAGATGCATGTTGTGTTTGCAAAGCGATAGAGACAAAGCATTTCGAATGTTCATTGACGAGTGTATGGTTGTGTCACATTGAATATCGATATATTAATGGACGTCTGATGCCGTGCCCTATCACACTTGAAGAGGAGGCCTATAACTACAATAGCGTTTTATATATAAGAACATTTATAAAAAAAAAAATCCCACAAACAGAATAGGTATAACTTTTTGTGATGTAGTGTCTTTCTGACATATTTTCTATTTAGCAATAAAAATCTGCATTATGACGAAAATATGTCAGAAAGCCAGTAGATTCAAATTTGGATTTAAGATCAATGGTAGTCAAATAAAGGCCCATGAGTCTTTTCAAAATGAAATCTAATTTCTTGAAATTCGGATTGCATATCAATTTCAGGGCTCAGATTACGATGGGTCCAATTTAACAAACATGCATTAAATTCTCGGGCTGCCAGTCCAACAAAGTCTATATCATGGCTTTGGACCTCGGGAAACTGACACAAAAATGTTGTCTCTAACGATATCCTTAAAGCTTTCAAGTTTCAACAAAAAAAATATACATATGACTAAATAAATACATAAATAGAAAATACACCTATCAAATGATAAATCAGTTTCAATCTGTACTTTCAATTCTTTAATTATAACAAGATATTGTATCTAAAAAGATAGTGATATAAACTTGAATCATGGTCGTTTATCTTCAACGTCAATGTTATGGTTGCAGATAAACTAAAAACTACAAATATTATTCTGTCATATCCTTGGTATGCAGAGGCAGAAAAGAGAATGAAAGTTTACCACAGCAGTTGGTCATGTATCAGTGAAGATCTTGATTCAAATCCCACAGGTCAAAGTTATTGTAACAGTTCAGCCAAATTTAACTGTCTGTCTCCTATTTCTCAAGTGTTTTGCCGAAACCTTGATTTAAGGTAAAATTCTTTGTGACCTATGTCTCAAAAATTAGGGATTCATAAAACTTCTTAGTATATTCTTAAGTTTAAAAAATCACTTAAGTTATGTATTTTTTACTTAAGTTCCCTAAGTATTACTTTTGGTAGAAATACTTAAGTGTAATTCATAAACATTTTTAGTGCTTAAGTATTGACTTAAAGTTAAGTGTCCTGAGGAGGTGTCTTAAGTAGATAAGAAATACATGTTTCTTCATCAAATTAAAAATAATGGTGGACAGAAGAAATCTCAATTTTCATTAAGAAACCATGCTATATCATGTAACTAGAAACTCTTTCGACTTTGAAATATTTATCAACTACAGGCCCGTAGGAAGCAATTTCAGTTGGGGGGGGGGGGCATTTTTCAGTTGACAGTTGAGGGGGCACTACCAAAATTTCCTGACAAGCAATTAAAAAAAAAGGTCATCAGACGTTTTTATTGACGGGGCACAAGCATGTAGTATCTATGTTTACTATAGTAATCTATATATCGGTAAAATTATTGGGGGGGGGGGGGCTGCGCTTCCAACACCTCTGTCAACGCTCGTTGTACAAGATTCTTGTACAAATTTTAAACATTGAAAATCTAAAGTTAAAATCGTAATAAATTAATGTAATTACAAGTATCAATAAAGATATTTATCATTTATTTTAAAACTATCATCCTTTAAAACGATTCATTTTCCCTTTTTAGCTCATCTCAACGAAGTTGGGGAGCTTATATGTAATACCCTCGGCGTCGGTATCGGCGTCCCAGGTTAAAGCTTTGAAGCAAATTTCTTTTCAAGTACTTCTATGCCTTATATTAATCAGAGATGCATGGAGGATGCTTCTAGTATGTTTCATTGTACCAGTCAAGGTTTCAGATGCTGCAGTTTCAGCTGAAGAATGACCAGGTTAATGTTTTTGGTGCAGGTTAAAGTTCTTGGAGCCGGTCTCATTTCTAAGTAACTATAAGGCCTATATTGACCAAACTTGCATGGATGATACATCTAAGGATGCACACTACTGGACTTGCCTCGGATGCTGGATGTGACCTACATTTTCCGGTTGAGTGACCAGGTAAAAGTTTTTTGGAGCAGGTCTCATTTCCAAGTAACTTTAAGCTATATAATGACCAAACTTGCATGGATGATACATCTAAGGATGCACACTATTGGACTTGCTTCGGATGCTGGATGTGACTACATTTTCCGGTTGAGTGACCAGGTTAAAGTTTTTGGAGCAGGTCTCATTTCCAAGTAACTATAAGCCCAAATTGCCAAACTTGCATGGATGATACAGCTAAGGATGCACACTATTGGACTTGCTTCGGATGCTGGATCTGACTACATTTTCCGGTTGAGTGACCAGGTTAAAGTTTTTCGAGCAGGTCTCATTTCCAAGTAACTTTAAGCCATATGCTGACCAAACTTGCATGATACACCTAAAGATGCACACTAGCAGGCCTGCTTCGGATGCTGTATCTGACTTACATTTTCCAGATGAGTGACCAGGTTAAAGTAAACTATAAGGGCTATGAGAATCAAACTTGCATGGATGATGCATCACGGAATGAATACTCTCAAACTAGCTTCAGATGCTGGATATGACTTACATTTTCTGGATGATTGACTAGTTTAAAGTTTTTAGGTAAGTCCATTCCTAAGTAACTGCAAGCCCTTGCATAAGTGCATAAATGTTACATCTAGGGATGCACACTACTAAGATTATTAGTTTGGGACTTTGCCTTACTTAAAGACATCATTCGTTGAGGTGAGCTCTATAATCTCTGATTACCTATCAGTATGTTTTTTAAGGAACTATTTTAGGGAGTAAAAATGAAAAACTTGGATAAAAATTCTTTAAGGGGATGGTAGATTAAAAATAAGCCCTTTCTACTGAAAAATAAAAAGATCAAAAACAATATTTACGGTAATATAATTTCCCCCTACATGTATATAATTTTCCCAAGAATCTTGTATAACAAGCGCTGACAGAGGTGTACATATGTATGTTGGAGCGTAGCGGGAACGACAGCTCTGGTTAGAGATCCGTTATGATGTAATACATACCTCCCATGGCCGTAGGAACCGGGGGGCACGGAGGACCCAGCCCCCAATAATTTTTTCCGATATATAGATTACTATAGAAAACAAAGCTACTATATGCTTGTGCCTATATGCTTGTCAAGGAATTTTTGGTAGTTAATAGTGCCCCCCAACTGAAAATGTATGGCTGTGTCCCCCTCCCCCAATTGAAATTGCTTCCTACGGGCCTGCCTCCACCACACGGGAGCCAGTCAAAACGCCCCAAACAAAACCGTACCGGTCAAAACGCCCTATAATTTTGGTCAGAGAGCCCCATGATTTTGGTCAAAGCGCCCCCTTATAGAATTTTACGGGAAATTGATGTTACAATACCGTTCCCAAGTATTGGTCAAAGCTCCCCCTTGTTCTTGGTCAAAGCACTCAATGGAGAATTTCATATAAAAAATTCTTTACGAAACCTTCCTCAAGTATTGGTCAAAACGCCCCCTGATTTTGGTCAAAGTGGCCCATGACATATTTAAAGGGGGAAAGACGATATGAAACCGTTTCTAATTATTTGTCAATGTGCCTTATATTTTTTTTTTCAAAATATCACTATGTATTTTATTGTTTTTCTTATTTTCTTATGTTCAGGCACCAATTTAATTTAATGTAGGAATTAATAAAATTCAAGTATCATGAATTTCACTTATTTTTCGTCAAAGTGCATCCAATGATAAATACTGAGAATGTATTTGAGCAAGTACTTATGATTCAATTTATACTCTTGTATTATGAATTAAAAGTTTGCAATCAATTTATTATACAGTAAATTGTTATTTAATGGTAAATGGATTCAGGCAAATTCAAGTTCATTGAAATTCCCTTTTTTTTTCGTCGAAGTGCAACCAATGAT